TGTGTGAAGTTGGCGTTGATTTTGGCAGCATCTTGAAGCCTGCCCCACAGAGTCCAGCTGACACACAGACGCCTCTGTCTAATGGAAAAGGCTTCCAGGGACAGGTTCCACTGTATGACTCTCAAAGCCATGGCTCCAGCATGTCACGCCCCTCTCCCATGTCACTGCCCCTCTGTCACTGCTGTCTGTCACCCTGTTCCTATACCTGCACCTGTGAGGAACTTGACAATGACTTCCAGATATAGCCTGGGGATATTTTCATCTAAGCCACTGGTCACAGCCTGTTGCGGTTTGGCCCATAGTTTGGGTGTCCCCCAAACGCCCATGTGTCAAGGACTTGGTCTCCCAAAGTCTTCTGTTAATGGTTACGGCTGGAATGTAATCTAATCATGGTGTCTAAAGGTGGGGCCTGCAAAGGTGATCAGGTTAGACTGGGTGCTAGGGAGGGGCCCAGGACTGAATCAGGAAGCAGTTAAATGACCAGGTACACACCTTCCCTTAGTGGCTCACCATGTGAACCTCCCTCTGTACTTGTCTGGCATCCATCACCCTCAGCAGAAGCCAGACTAAAGGGGCTGCCTGATCTTGTACTGCAAACCTCCAAAACTGGTATGTGTTAGCTCCTCTCAGGTATTTAAGTTACTCTGGTGGGGATGATGCATTCGCAGGTACACTTAGGAGTTCTTGTTAAGATGACTTCTTTTCTCCTCCCAAAAAACTGAGTTAGGAGCACAGTAGCTCTGTTTCCAGAAAGCAGAGCTCAGAATAAACTTGCATGAATTTCACAAGCTCTTCTATGACAAAGAGGTCAAAACCAACCCGAAAAGACCTTATGCATGAGAAAAAAGTTTCTGTATCTTAACTCCAAACTTCCTCTAGAGCCAATTAAGCAATGGAATTATTTTCAGATTGCTGACTTACTCTAAATATTATCAAACTCTGCTGACAAGCTAACCTGTAACAGGAAATTCAACAGAGTGAAGTCCACATTACATTATCTTTAATAGATAAATCCAGTCCTAACCAAGGTTTATGTCAAGCCCAGCGATTCAACATCCATACAGTTTTGGTATGGCTGATTGGGTTTATATATTTTGTTACTACGCATGGAAAGGAAAGTTACAGATAATTAGTGCTCCTTGAATTTTTGCAGAAAAGCTGATCATGAAAGTGACTATCTTTCAAACTGCAGATCATCATAAAAATAAATCCAAACAAAATATAAAACTGGATCTGTCTGGGGATTATGATCCTGACCTCGATCCCATGTCACAAACATGGGTTGGAACCTTCCATTGTTTTCCGCCAGGTACTTTTCTGAAGGATTCATTACAGCATGAAACTAAGCTACACAAAACATCTCAACTCCTACGAAACATGAGTAACTATCATTTGCTTCTCCTGTAAACAATAACTCCAGCAATACTGACACAGGTCTCCAGTGCCACAGGAAGAAGTGGAATGTAACATCATGAAGTGCAGTGAGTGCTCGGTCTTCTAAGCCTACTTGTGATTTTAACATATTCTTCCCTGTTGCCTTATCAACTTTATTAGGAACCCCCGGAGACAGGGCAAGACACTGTAGGAATATGTTTGATATATAGTTGGATTAAATAACAACCTAATATATCAAACATATCACACAGAGGCCTGCAGAAAAGGCATCCAGGTTTGACCCAGCTTGAGAATAGGCACAGTACGGAGGTGACAGCTGCGGGGGGTGGTCACCAGTGCAGCGACTCCCACCCCTGGCTCTCTCGGGAGTGCAGGTCTGCCTGCAGGTGGCCAACAGCGCCATCGGCAATGGTATCAGCACATACACCAGGGCTCACTGGCTTTCTGGTTTTGCTCTCTTTACCCCTTTCCCCAGTCAATGGTGCATTCAAAATGGGGCACAAGTGCTCGTCACTCAAGTCTGAGAGATTCCAGGCAAAAGATGTTTCAACTTTGAAGGCCTGACGTGGGACTACACCAAAAGCATTTTCATGAACCGTGCATCGTTCTCCTAGTCAAGCAGGGCAATTTAAACAAAATCATCAACAAACACTCCCCAGCTATGGAAGGAAGGCAGGTTCACGTTCATTTTACACTGAGAGACAGAAAGAGAGAGAGAGAGAGATTGTGTGTGTGTGTGTGCATGTGCGTGTGTGTGTTGTGTTGGGGGGTAGAGTTATAGGAACAGTGATATAACAACAACTGTTTATTTGCAGTATCCTGAGGATTTTTAAGTTATAAGCAAGGATAGAGAGTTGCAATGAACTTCAAAATACTGTTTGATTTTGGAGCTGGATTTTTTTTTTTTTTAAACTGAGGAAACAGGTTCCTTTATAAGAGCAAGGGGAATATTCTATTTCAGGCAGAAGTTACCACAAAGTGGACTGCCCTCCTGGACAGACACAAAATCTGTGGTTTGGTAAAATGATTTTACATAATATCCACATGACAGGAGCCTGTGGTCAACAGGCAGGGACAGACTTCACGCCTTCTAAAACATTCTAGAAACACCCAGCTCCCTCCCTAAATGCGATGCACTCAACCTCAAATAGGCACCCGCAAAAGAAGGGACCCCAATCCTCGGTGAACCTCGAGCTTTGCTGAAGTCCCCTCTACTTTCCTGTAAAAACCCTTGCGGCAAACACAAAGGCTGGATGATCTAGTGCAGTGCAGGGCGTCCTCACGGGCCCACAGCAGGAGCCAGCCCTAATCTGTAGTGCCAATATTGTGAAAATAATGTTTTATAAAACTTAAAAACACAGACTCCGTTCCATCATCACTGCTCTATCTTCTTCCTCCGCCCCCATCTTGGGCAGATGTGTCTCACACCGTCATGATCAGAAGGAGCAAGTGTTCCCGGGACATGGTACCTGAGCACCTGCTCCAGGACACACAGCCCCAGCGTCCAGCACTCTTAGCGGCTGCACCACCTTCCCTTCAAGGGGTACTCACATCCAGCTTCTCACCACTACACGCAAGGCTGAGAGAACGAGCCTCGACATGCACACAACCTTCTTTCCTTCTTGGATTTCCTTCCTTGGACAGGTTCCCAAAGGTGAAATTAATGGCTTAAGGGGCCCAGTTAAAACATGAAGGGCCCCCATGTGACGAGAGCAGACTTAGGAGAGGGGGTGGGTTGGTATGGATGGAAACTGCCACCCAGAGCCCACACAGCTCAGTCACAGTGGTCTGACCTGGGGCAAGGCAATTCGTCCCTAAAGGTGTTGCTAAGTCCTCATGGACTTTGTGTGAGGATCAGATGAGCTCATCCATAGAGAACCCATAGACTGCTTAGATATGCCTTGTGCGCTATCCTTGTGAGTTCTGTCCACCCCCAGCCCTGCCTATGCAATAATTTTTCTTTCTGGCATTTTCCTGGAATAAAATTCTCAGATGCGTATTTCTGGTGATGATGACGACAACAATGGTGATAGCTGTCATTTATGGAGACTTATTGTACGTCAGGCACTGCGTTCTTACAGTACCTCCTTTGCTTACTCATCGAGTATGGAAATGACTGGACAGAGGGAAGCCAGGACCAGAGACGCACTAGAGCTCAGAAGGACCAAGGCTAAGTGGCCGAAACGGGAGCTCTCAGGATATGGTGAAGTGCTCCTGTGCAACCAGCACCAGGCCGATTCTCCAGAATGCCAGTGTGACAAGGCCTCGGGCAGCAGCAGACTGAACCTTCCCCTTGTAGGAGGCAGCCACTGGCCATATCAGATAAGGAAATGGAAAAACAATGAAAGCACCCAACCTTTAAATCTCAGTCAGTGGTTAATTCTGAAGTCCAAAGTACACTTTCCACTCAGGATTAACTCGATTTATAAAGCAGAACAAAGACACAGCCAGAAAATGGAGCCGCCCCTACACCCACGCTTAGTTCTTAAAGAAACCTCTGACTACACCAGGTAACCCAAGGCTTGGAGGTTAGAGGCCGGCAGAGAAAACCATGGTGAGCCCAAAAATCAGAAGTCAAGACACTTAAATGACTTTTGGTAAGAAATTTGACCAAGTCTAGAGCAACTATTAGGAGACAGATTCTAGGAAGCTGAAGGTTTTAACAACCTTCCCCGGAGTCACTGACTACGTCAGCATCAGCCAGGGTACTGCTCTTGAGCTAGCTGACGCGTTTCGGTACCCAGACTCTATCCTGTGCTCTTAGAAAAACGGGCAGAATTTCAGGAATATCTAAACGAGGGGATCTAACTTTTCATTGAGGAGAAGGCTCACGTTTTACTTCCTGATGCATTTCTTAGAAGGGAGGCGAGTTACAAGTAACAGGAAGAACCTGCTTGAATAGGGGGAAAAAGAGGCCTCCTCTGGTTCCAACGTCTTCCTGCTCTGGGTGGGGGTGGGGTGGAGAGGGGTGGGTACAGCTCCCGAACAGGCTTGAGTTTGGAGATGGCCGCAGCCTTTCACCCTTTTAATTAGAATCTGCCCTTCCCAGTGCCCAGCCCACGAGTCTCTCTTTCCTTTAACCGGCTATTTCTCTGGACATACAGCCCTGAGGTTTTCAACACTGATCCAGAAGGGACACAGAGATGACAACACACGCTGCGGAAGCCTGGCGAGGGGCACGCTCCTGAGGCTCCCACGGCCCTCTGTGGGTTTCTAAGGCAAGCAGAGGCCCCGCATCGCCATCTCTGTGAAAGGCATGATAGAAACCAGAAAACTGGATGCCGACCGTCTCCCAGGAGCAGGAACTTCACAGGAAGCATCCCACACCTACTTTATATAATGAAAACGTGTAATTCGTATTCAAAATCAAAAGGCTTGATTGTCCTGTACACCCAGAGGGATTTTTCCAGGTGGTTACCTTGAAAGACTTGCCCACTGTTTTTTTCCCCCTATTTTCTGAAAGAGAAGGAGTTGGGCAGGCCCAGTAGGGCTGCTGCTTTGCAGTCTAAGCAGGGGGAAGGAGACAGCCCCTGCCCCCGCCCGCAATACCCATTCACAGCCCTCACTGGAAGATTGCAGCCGCGCAGCCGCGGGTGAACACTCACTTTTGGCTTTGCTCTTGGCTTTAGCTGCTCTAATTTCTTTGCAGCAGCCTCAATGGATGCTGCAGCCCCCAGTAATTCTGTTTCTGCGATGACGGTTGGGTCTTCTGGATCCACCCATTCTGTTCCTAAAATTAGTTTAAAAAAAGGTCATGCGTGGGAACTACAGATTTCGGCACTAGCTTAATTACAAACAACAGTAGAATTTCCATGCAAGAAGGCCCTCGAGAGCTGAGAGCCTACTGCCTATATTGTCTTCTCTCAAGCTCTCATGAACATGGCGGGGAGCTAACCTGGTTTTCTCAATCAGTTGTTTGTAGCAGGGTATTTTGCAAAGTTCAAGGCAAACAGAATTAAAAGGTAAGTTTATTTGGGTGTGAAAAAACACTGAAACCTGTGCATACAAAACAAAATCCCGGAAAGTATGCATTATAAATAAATGCATGGATTTAAAAGGTTTTTTTGCACCTAAATATCTTTTAGTGTTTTGTGAAGCCAGCGTTTGGTGCAGCAGTTATGATGCTGGGTGAGAGGCTGGCATCCCTTATCAGAGTGCCTGGGTTCAAGCCCCTCAAGCCTGGATTCTGGGTCCTGCTAATGAGCACCCTGGGGGGCAACAGGTGATGGCTCAAGTCCTGGGTCCCTGCCACCCAAATGGGAGGCCTGTAGCTCCTGGCTCCAGGCTTCAGCCTGGTCCAGCCTGGATTGTTATGGGCATTTGGGGTCTGAGGCTGTGGTTGGAAGATCTTTCTGTGCCTGCCTGCCTGTCATGTCTTCCCCCACTCCCTGCACCCCTTGCCTTTCAAATAACAAAGAAATAAAAATGTGAAAAATTTAACTGTATTTCAGTGCACTTTGTAAAGTACCCTCATACTGTCCTATCACAGCCATGTATATCAGCTGTGAAAATCAAGCTCTCACAGGCCAAGCCTCGAGCCTTCCTCTGACTTCTGCCTTATAGCTCATGCCTGCAAGCAAGCCAGTGTGTCTCCAGACTATGCCTTGCACCACGTGGAGATCTGCCATTCTCTTCTGGGCCCACAGGGGGAACAGCACTGGCCTCAACTCACAGGGAGAGACACTGTCCCCGGGGAGCTGACTGCTTCTATGGAAGCAAGAAGGGGAGCACAGACAACTTGGGAAGACATGGCTGTTTCCTACACACGGGGCATTACTCGAATGGGAATAAATACCCTGCTGAATGAGCATAGATAAAAAGAATCGACCAGACTCCTCGGAGAAACCAGCAGTTTATATGAATTGTACCTGTGCAGCTGTCATACTTGATTCAAAGACTGCAGGAATGACTTGCCTTGCACTGGAAGTTACTTCTGATATCTAACTCTGTATCACCTTGCTTTAAACAGGTACCCTCCCGTGCTCCTCCTGGCTATACCTGCCAATGAAGCGCCTGTGCTCTCTCTTGCTCTGCTCCATCTGCCATGCCAGCCTGGCCCTGGGGACGCCCCAGTTATAAGGACCCAAGAGAATGCCACCTACCTTTCATGGCTTCGGCGGCCTGAATGAGCTCCGTCACGGCGCCGGCGACCCTCTTGGAGAAAGCAGCCAGCTGATGCTTGAGTTCCGGGGTTGGTTTCTGAAGGATCTATGGGTGAAGAACAAGTCAAGTGCGTAAGGAGCACGGTCACCATGGCGACAGGCAGCGCACTCCCTGGTGGACCTGGCGTCAGATGCTCTCTGTCCCAAAGTGACTTGTGGAGCTTGGGAGAAAACATTTTAGACTCCTTGGGCTTGTTTCTTTAAGTGAGAAATGAGACAGTGGAAACCACGGGTGCCTTGAAGGTGGCTTCTGACAGTTCCCAAAGACCAGAGAGGGGACAAAGTCCACTTCTGTCCTGGAAGAAATATAAGCACCTGAAATTACTCACAGGCCATGCATGGCCTGAGTGAGCACTGAAGACCAAGCTCTGGGCCAGCTGCTGCTTGTGACACCACCACAACTGTGAGACCATTGGAAACGTGTGACTCATGGGGGTTTTGGAGACAAAAATCCCCATGTAGGCAGCATTTCACCAAGCAAGAGGGCCGTTCCTGAAAAAGCAATCCTCTTCTGGGTTCTGCCTACCAGGGAGAAGCCATGCGCGTCGGCCTTCTTTCGAACCAGTGCAAAAGCTTTAAAAATTGTTTTCTGCTTTTTGTGATATTAAAAAGGCATGGGTGACTCCAAACACTAAGTTGACTTAAAGGACATCCCCTCAGCTGGCTGCTGTTCAAAGTTGTCCGAGAATGGAACTCAGAAACTGGATGAGAACTGCTTACTTTCTTCCACCGTGCATTTCGGACCTGATGGGAAGCATCCTGTGCCTTCCTAATTTGGAACTCCCCCTCCCAACAGCCTTTGCTGCATTTTCTCCCCAGGGCCCGCGACGGGAAGCTCCAGGTTTAGGCATGTTAAGACAGCCCGGAGCTAAATTCGACCACTGTCGGTCTTTGGACATCTGGGAGGCTCGGAGCTGAGGACGAAGCATGAGCTTTGGAACGGGACAGACCTGTGTTCATACCTGGCTTCAAGGTCGCTCCTTTGTGAGTACTGAACCCCTCAGCACCTGCTGTCTCATCTGTAAAACTTGCCAATGCCTATCCCTCAGGGCTGGCATAAAGATCAAATGGAGTAACCCTTGGGAAATACTTCATGCGGTGCCTGGATCACAGTAGGCATTCATTAAGTGTTAATTCCAAACTTCTGGGTGCCTCAGACCTATTCTCACCTGGCTAAGTGGCAGAATCACTCTCTCAGGGGGTTGGAAAAGATGGCATTTGGACCCCAGGGCCTACCCCTCCTTGCACATGGCTGCAGGAAGCTTAGTAGATAACTGGTTATACCGTGAGCAGCCCCAGCCTCGTGGATACACACACCTTAAGTTAGACTTGTACTGATTAACCAGTGCTTTTTGAGCATTACGTCACATGCCTCTATTTCCATTCTCCCTTCTTCTGGTATCCTTTAAGTTTATTTTGTATTTGCTGATGTTTGATCATTCCAGATGATCAGTTGTGTTAATTCTCTTAGCCTATGAATCTATCACTCCACAGATACTAAGATTTCTGTACAGACCTATGAATGGGTGAGCATGAGGGAAACGAATGAGAGAAAATCAGATCAACACACTCCTAGGACTCCTACATTGAAGGCTTCCTAGACCAGGTGCAAAAGAAGACTAGAGCCACGGGGAGGTACAGGAGAGGGGCAAATGCCTACTAGGTTCTCACAGAACCGGTGGGGAGGCAGTTAAGTTCAGGAGTCAAGGTCAATGCATCTACCTAACCTGCCATGCAATTCCTCACCCTTTCTCAAAGTTTCAGCTGACTTATTATTAAGTGCAACAACAGTGCTTTCCGTATAGGTGGGGTGGAATCCTATCAGTGAATACACAAAGGAATATTGAGAGAACTGTGGGAGTGAGGAGAGTCAGTGACTACTAACTGACATGATCTTTCTAAGGTGACAAAATGCTCTACAATCAGAATACGGTAACAGTCGCACAATGCTGTACACCCACTAAAACTAATCAGTTGTATGCTTCGAATGAATTTTGTCAGATGTCAATTATGTCTCCATAAGGCTGTTTAAAAGGAGAAATCAATGTGACATCAGATACAATGATAACAGGAAGCAGAGATATAATCTTAAAAATAATTTGATGATTTCTGCAAACAAAAACCTTCACCCTATATGTTTATATAAGTTCATTCTAAATGCTTAATGTCTGAGATATAAATGATATAAACAGTTTTAACTGTTGTAATTTCCAGGTTATAGCTGCACATAAATTCTCTATGGTAGTGTTGTTATTTTTCTTTCTTTTTTTATAGTTTATCTTTGTCTCAGTTGCCCCAACAAGACTTGTTAGGAAACTGACAACAAATCACACCCTGGGAGAAACTACTTCCAAAACACATCTGACAAAAAACTTATTATCTAGAAAAACCTAAAGAATTCTAAAGCTCAAAAGAAAAAAAAAAAAAACCAACCAGCAAAAAACAGGCAAAAGATCTGAGCAGACATTTTAGCAAAAAAGCTATACAGAAAGCAAACAGGTACACAAAAAGACTTTCAACAATAGAAATTAAAATCACAATGAGATACCACCATATACTCACTACGGTGGCTAAAACAAGAAAAAATTAAAAATGACAAGTGGTAGCAGGATATAGAGTGAGGAGAATTCTCACACACTGCTGGTGGAAATGTAAAACAGTACAAACTTTGGAAAGCAATTTTTTTTCTAAAAAGTTAAACATACACCTATCCTACGATCCAAACATTCCACTTGTAGGTATCTACCCAAGAGCAATGGACAGATACTGGCACAAAGACTTGAGTATGAAATGCTCTTCAAAGCTTTATTCGTAGTTAAAAAAAAAAAAAAAAAAAGCAAGCAACCCAAATGACCACCAATAGTATTTCAATACAATGAAATACTCCTTAGCTGTAGACACATTATTTATGCATACAACAAAATGGATGCAATTGAAAATTCTGATGCTGAATGAAGGAGTGGATGCTGTGTGACTTCATTTATAGAAGCAGCTAGAAAATGCACGCAAGTCAGCAACAATAAGCAGATCGGTGGTTTCCTAGGAATTTTGAGGGGTGATGAATACATTCATTGTTTTGATTGCTGGTGATGGCTTTACAGATGTATTCCCATATCAATAACCAAAACATATCCTTTAACTATGTGTTGTTCATTGTATACTAGTTATGTCTCCAAAACTGGAAAAAGAGCTACAGGTGTGGAGAGATGTACTGAAATCATCAAAGCACAATGATTAAAGACTTCTGCCTGTAGAAGAGCCCTTGATGTAGACAAAGGACCCCTCCTGTGTACCCTACGGGCTCTCTCACACAGGGACCAGCCTCAATTAAAGTACTCTAACTTTACGTGAGGCAGGAAGAAAGGGCTTCTATTTTTATTCCACTATTAAGTCAATATGACTTCTAATAGTGATCAAAAGACAGATTCACATTAAAGTTCTGCTAGTGGAAGAGACAGTAATTTTGGCCCTGCCAAAGACTGCATATTGTGGTTTTGCAAAAATCCTGAACTGTGATTGCCGCAGATGCAAGGTGGCTGCCGCTCGCCCTGCACACAAGTCTCAGGGTGAGCCAGCAAACAGCAAATGCAGGAGGCCAACACCACTGCAGTGGGCACCTATCTCTAAAACTTCCTAGAGCAGCTCCCAGGGCAGCAAGAGCCCAAGGTCAACACCGTGCTTGCTGAGAGCTAACTGGATTCTCCAGAGAACTGGCCAAGCAAGGGTTATTACTTTGTAGCTTCCAAATGGGCATCTGGGGTCTGGGATCTCTCTCAACAGATGAAGGCCCTTTCTGTGGGAGTGCGCTTAGGCTCCTTTGATGGGAGAGGGGGAAGCCAGAAATGGCCCAGGGCTTTGCTTTCTGGAGGCCCCGGATGCACACATGATTAAGGATGCAGAATCACAATGGTCATTTGCATCTTTGCAGGGGAGAAAAGAGAATGGGAAATCTGAAGGGTGCAGAATTATTACTGATATGTTGTTTTAGAACTTAAACACCTGAAGCAAATCAAATAAAATGTTAATGAGCCAAACCAATTAGAGAGGCGGGTATGCAGGTAATATTATTCTCTGTTTCTTTAAGGATTTTCTAAAGTAAAACTAAAATAGACCAACCAGCCAAGAAAGGCTCGATGGCATTTTATCTGAACAAGGTTCACATAGTGTAGTCTCCCCCATATTTTCATGTACCTAAATTTAACGGAAGTAGCCCACTCAAGAAGATCCTGAACCACTCCTGCCACCTCAGAGTGGTGTGGATTGTTGGGCACTTTCTCCAAACCTTGCTTCTACCCCCCCCCCCATTTTTAAAAATTTATTTGACAAGTAGAGTTACAGACCGTGAGAGAGACAGAGAGAAAGGTCTTCCTTCTGTTGGTTCACCCCCCAAATGGCCGCTACAGCTGGCGCTGCGCCGATCCGAAGGCAGGAGCCAGGTGCTTCCTCCTGGTCTCCCACGCGGGTACAGGGGCCCAAGCACCTGGGCCATCCTCCACTGCCTTCCCAGGCCACAGCAGAGAGCTGGACTGGAAGAGGAGCAACCAGGACTAGAACCAGGCGCTCATATGGGATGCCAGCGCCGCAGGTGGAGGATTAACCAAGTGAGCCACGGCGCCGGCCCCTCTCTTTCCCCTTTTGTAACACAGCTGTCAAGACTCTTCCACCTATTCCCTGAGTCATTAAAAACGGTTTTTCAAGCATTCGGGGAGGCTGCTCTGGTTTAGGTTGACTTTCTTTTCAGAATGGTCATCTGATCACACCTCCTCCACTGCACTCCCGGGCCACAGCAGAGAGCTGGCCTGGAAGAGGGGCAATTGGAACAGAATCCGGTGCCCCAACCGGGACTAGAACCTGGGGTACCGGCACCGCAGGCGGAGGATTAGCCTAGTGAGCCACGGCGCCAGCCAGAAAACACCTTTCAAAGAGAGCTGTGCCCAGCTTTCCAGAGAACAAAAACAAAAACGCAAACAAATGAGTACACATGCTCCTTCGCTCTTCTCCGTAGAAGTCGGAGCCACCAGCACGTCTCACCCCGGGGGGGCCGAAGAGTCGTGACCGCAAACCCTGAGATGATTTCTGTTTATTTTTTAAAAGGCTGAAGTTTCACTATCATTTGGCTTTACTTCTTGTTAACATTTTCAGTGGAGCACTGGCTACCATAAACCTCCTTAACAGCCTTAGAGAAACAGGACATTAATGCAAATGTCTGCTATAACTGCAGGTGACAATGACGATAATAACACAGAATGAGCAAAAGAAACCCCGGTTTGCAACACAGAAGGTCTATAGTAAATGCAAGGAGGGATCGGTCATAGAACACTGGTCTTCTAGACGGTGAATGGCCACAGGAGAAACACCTGTGGCTGTGTAGCGCAGGCCAGTTTTGCCCGAGACTGGAGAAGAAAGCAGTGGCCACCCACGGGCCCCCGGCCTCCAGGAGAACCTCCTGACCAAAACTCGCTAAATTCTGTGCGATGTTGTGTCTCCTTGCAGCAAATGCCCTTCTTCCATTACAGAAAAAGCCACTGATGGTCATTACTGAAGCCTAGTAGGGACCAAGTGGCCATTAAGCAGGGGTCTCTGAAGGCGTGGCCTGGGCAAAGTTCCTCCAGTTTCTCTGATGTTCCCCAGCGACCCTGATGTGACCTCCGCCTCTCTCTGCAAAGTGGCCTGCTATCTGGCCTCTTCCTCCTCCTCCTCGGACAGACACACACCGTGCATCAAGGACGTCTGGTCTCATCTTGCTCACCCCATCACAGGGCACGGGGAGGAGAGGTGAGGAGGAGAGAGGAAGCAAGAGATCCACGCAGCAGCTTGTTCCCAGACACCAGGGCATGTTTCCGGTCTGCACGAAGTCAGGGGAGTGGCCTGTGAGGGCTCCAGTTTCCTCTTCCCAGGGGATATACTTCTCCTTATGACAAGTGCTGGCACCTGCCCTCCCTTGGGGAGCAAGAACCCCTCTCTCTGCAACAAGCCATCTTTCTGCTGGAGAGGGAGGGAGGAGACCACCAGTCCGCTACCCATCATAAGGGCTGCCTGCCCGCTTTCTACCCAGGCTGTGGATTTGCCAGAGACGAAGCTGGGGGCTGATCCCTAGGGCACAACGCTCTCATCATGCGACTCACCAAGAGCAAAGGCAGAAAGTGCCGACCTGAGGGTCACGGATACCGGGCTTGGCCCGCAGGCACATGTGCAGGAGAGAGCATGGCTCAGAGTGGGGAAGTGGAAATGAGGGGATCCCTCTGCCTCCCGCCTGCCCCCCATATGAACGAGATGAAAACAAGAGAGACAACAAGGAGGAGAAATGGAGGGTAGGAGGAGAGCCCCCACTTGGGGAGCACTGGGGGCCCCAATGCCGTAAGCCGGGACTTAGCTGCCAGCCAGCAGGGAAAGGCACCTTCCAGTCGGCAGACTTCAATCCAGCAGCCGGAGAGTGTTAGCTCAGCCACACAGCCCTGGGTTTCCAGACACGCTCGCTCAATCCTCCATAAACTGCCTGTTAAACACCTGACAAAACTGAGGCCCAGACAGGACAGTGGCCATGTGGCTGCCTAGACGGCAGAGCCAGGAGCTGAACTCAATTCTTCTAGCCCTCAGCCTTCCAAATCCACTGGCCCCTCTCTGCTGCCCAGCTGCCAGTTAAGATCCTACACGACTCAGGAAACTGCTCCAGGAAGACAAAGATGTCTTTTTCCCTTTCCCATGAATTTCCTGCTAGGAGGCTTGAGGGTTGAACACTTCACATGATCACATGTGTGTTAGTTTGGCCACAGAGGCTCCTGCCTGTGACTCTGTCCAGCTTGGATGGTCCTTGCCCAGCCCACATAGAATGCAGGGATTTCTATTTGTAAGGACCCAGCATTTGGAAGCTTAGGAAGGAGTCCCAGGCTGGCTACTGTCCCCACAGCTATGCCTCAGCACTGACTGCAGTTACCAGGATGAAGAATAAAAACAAGGATCCCTAGAAGACCCAAGACGCTCAACATCAGAGATAACTGGTTTTAAGGAGAAGGCAGTGAATGCCAGAACGAGCAGGAGTGCGATTGATTTGACCCCAGCTCTGCTGAGGAAAAGCTAGGTGAGCTCAACCAAGGACAGACTTTGCTGAGTCTCAGATCACTTCCCTGGCTGGCCGGCCAAAGGCACAAGGACAAGATGAGAAAAACAGTGAATGTCCGGCCAGCCAAGGAAAAGACACATGTGACTGTGCGCCAGAGAGCGGCCTGTTGTGACTCTCGGGTGAGGTCTGGGACAAGCCGGGTGATGGTGGAGGGAAGGCATCAATGTTTTCTCTTCTTGATGTGCTCAGGACTCCACGACTTACATGGTTCTAAGTGTGCTTCCAGGACATGGGGGAGATGGACACTCAGCATCCGTCTGTCTTGTTTTCCAGGGTTTGGTCCTCAAGCTGTGTGGCGAGTTAAGTCACCAGGAGCCAGCAGTTTGCACAGCCCGGGTGGGCAGTCCACCTGCCATGACCACTGTCCCATACTCCCCACGGGCACATGCCACTCCCACCTTCCCAGTGCATCCCTAGGTCAGGCACACTGGCCTCCAGCATTCTTGGGAGGACAGGAAGAGGTGACAAGAGGCCAGCAGGTCATTGGCAGCACTAGTGAGAGCTTCCCAAGGTTGTCACAGAAGCCCTCCATGTCTGGACATGCTGGGGTCTTCCTAACACGCCCTCCTGGCTTTTCTGGGAGTGGCCCTGGAAGCCTTCCTGCTTTGCCCCTCACCCTGCCCACTCCTCCTCCTCGTAGGCACCAGTCTTGCCTCTCTCTGGAGTAAGAAAGAGCCAGCTCCCCTGGATTCTAGCCACCACTTTCTCTGGTCACTGAGCTCAGTCCAGTTCCAGCCCTACAAGCTGTGCCCAGACCACGCTCAAAGAGGGAAGATGTGCACCAGACCCCGTGGGACCAGGCAGGTGGGACACGCAGCTGTCGCCCGGCTTTGCCCACCGCCCCCACCCCTCACCCTCCTTACCACTAGCACATGCTCCAGCAGGTCCAGGTAGCCGAGGGCGCACTCCGTCCCGTGGCGCAAGGCTCTGCTTCGTACCTCCTCGCTGACATCGGCGTGGAAGGATGCTTGCTGCAGGGAGAGAGAAGGCATCTGTCGCAAGGCAGAAAAAGCCACTTTAGGAGTCACCCAGCCTGGGAGCAGAGTAGGGGGCAACCGGGACCCCAATGCAAGAGACCTCTGCCAAACCCGTCCCCACACCCCGAAGACTGACCCCCACCCCACTGCAGGTTCTGTGACACAGCTTGTGTTGCCTTAAGGCCACAGCGACAGAAACCACTCACTCTGGTCCCTGTTTTACCCCTCTCCCACCCCCTTTCACTGAAATGCAAAAAACCCCACACACACTCAAAAGTTCAGGAAAGAGTGCCACATGCACTATAAATTCCAGGCAAGATTCATGATTAGGGGGCCACGGCAGGAGACGGACTGACCCGGGGTCAACGAGGGAGGATTCCTGAAGGCTCCATTTGTGGGCTCAGCAAGCCCAGGTTCCCACCCCCTGACCTGACTACCCTGCGGTCACAGTGAGGCCTCCATGACCAGGGGGCCCTGTGGCTCCTCTCCTGGGACACTGCAGATAGCAAGCACGCCAGCACCCCCGGAGGCCCCATAACTCATCTCACGTTATGCAAGTGTTGAGATAAGCGAGCCAGGGCACTGGGGTGACAGAGCTTTTTCCTTGCACTTGTGACCTGGCACCTCGAGTCTTTTAGGAGATAGCATTTCCCACAGCATGCCCATTCATAGGGTTGCCAGATAAAACCCCCAGTTAAATATGCAATGCAGATAAACAGCGAAACAAATTTTAGTGCAAGTATGAGACACCCCATTTTTCATTTGCTAAACCTGGTAATCCTACCCATTTAGCCATTCTACCTTTTATGGCTTCCCTCTGGAAACAACTTTAGAGGTTTAGAGAAACACATAAAATAGAAAACCACACATAAATCACAAATCGGGACAGACACAAATCACAAACCAGGTTAAAAGATCGAGATGGAAGGGGATGAGGGCCTGGACCCATGCACTGACCCACTGGAGGCCCATGCGGGGTGTGGGTGGGGACTGACCTGGCCCCCACCCCTGCAGTAAGTGGCCCCAGCATTTGTGACTTAGGAGCTAGCATGACTCATCTGAAGCCTCAGAAGCGGGAACCAGGAGCCTGTTCTCAGCACTACCATGCTTTGTTCAGCCCTGAGCCCCTGTGTCCGACGTGAGGCCAGAGCCCATGTCTGCTGAGACACCAGTGTGGAGTGACACAGACTACGCCACCGCTCAGGCACCTCCAGCAGGTCACAGGCAAGGCCCCCGCTGAGGGTCCTGGGAGAGGTGAGGTTGAGGCGTTCCTATCCACGGCGGTGGCTGTGTCACTCGGGAGAACAATCTGGCATTGATTAAAATTGTTACATTTGACCCACAAATGTGGCTTCTGGGACTCTTGCCCAAGGAAATAACCCAAATCACGGGACAAACAGATAGGCCCAAGATGCTCTTAACAGTAAAGTTCATGATTTAAAAAACTGCAGACGACCTAGACGTCTGCTAATAGGGGAAAGATAATATTCACTAGCAGACGGCTTTGCAGTCATTAAGTCAGTACTGAAGACTCCTAGCAACAGAGAAACAGCCCTGTGACATCACTGATAACAGCAGACACAAAACCCAACAAAACAAACATGTGTAAGTAACCAGAAAGAAAAACACGAGTGCTGACTCAGGTTTCGGGGGGGACTCTGCCGGGGCGGTTGGCATAACCTTCCAGTCCCACAGAGCGAGCAGAGGGTAGCTTCCTGTGCATCTCCGTCTGCCCTGCCTGCCCTGCTCGGCCCCAACGTGGGGGCCCCCAGAGGGCACCGCGGCTTCCTCCAGAGCCACCGCTCAGCATCCTGGTTTTCTCTGTGTGTGTATGTGCTGCACACACATCCGTTTCTGTCCAGCTGCCTCATTTCCAGACATGGAGACAAAGGAATGGAAGTGTTACTGGGTTTGTGCAATAAGCCCCGTGCTAAGAGCAGCCACAGGGTCAACAGGGACACTGGCCCTCTCGTCTGGCCTGGCGGTGTGAGGTAGACACACAAGTTCTTAGTCTGTCCTGCATGGCCAGGATGCTGTGATGCAGATGGGAGCTGACGCTGGGCACACAGCACCCGTGCTTTTCTCCAGGACCTCCCCCCAATGAAGATATGGGGGAACCTCTGATTAAGAGACCTAAAACTTTGAGTTCCATTCTATTTCCACCTCAATCGTGGTTTTTGTTGTTGCTATTACTTCCCCTTTTATTTCAAGTCTATGACACAGGGACTGAAGTGCCTGTCACTCATCAACAGGAAAGACCATGAGTATTGTGGCTGGGAGGCCATGGGCAACAGGTATCAACTGGCAGAGCTGGTGCCAGTTCTGGTCCTCACAGAGAAGAGCTATGTGATGTTGGTCATGCCACCCAACCTCTCTCTTTTTCAGAAAAGACCGATTTACTTATTTGAAAGCAAAATGAGAGGGAGAGGGAGACAGAGAGGTCATCCATCTGCTGGTTGCCTCCCCAAATGCTTGCAACAACGGGGCCTGTCCAAGCTGAAGCAAGGAGCCAGCATCAGGGTCTCCCACACGAATTGCAGCAACCCAGGTACTTGGGCCATCATCTGCTGCTTCCCTGTGCATTAGCAGGAGGCTGGATTAGAAGCCGAGTAGCTAGGACTCGAACAGGCCCTCAGGAATGGAATGTAGGGGACCCAAGTGCTGGTTTCACCCACTGTGCCACAATTCCTGCCCTGCCACTTAACCTTTCTGAGCCTCTGTTTCATCACCTGGCACGTCAGAATAATGACTTTACCTTTGTCATCAAGAGCAAATGACAGAATACATGTGACAGCCTCTGCATAATAATAGGTGCCCTGGGATACCATGATGTCCTCGGGGCATGTCCTGCCTGTAAAATCCTCTTCTTTGATTCATAGAGTGACCCCTGGGGAAGCTATCCCTCTGGTGGGCAGAATCACTAAGCATATCAAAATGGTGAGTATTTGCAGCCTCAGGACAGAGTCGAAACCTATTGGCTTAGCACCCCCTATCCTTCACGGAGGAGCCTGCCCTACCTCCCACTGCAGCCTTTCCAACCCCTTGCTTACCCCTTTCTCTCCGGTGCACAAGCAGTCCCATCAACTGGCACTGCCCCTGCTGGCCAGGTCCTTGCTGGCCATTTCTTCAGCCCTCTGTCTCCTCCTGTTACCCACCACTTACCTCCACATCATCCCACCTCAGAGTTGGACCCTACAGTGGCAACCTCTATAGAACTCAACACTACCACAAAGCAGGGCTCGGCTCCCTCAGACCCCAGTCTATAACAGATGTTTTTCCAATTCTGTGGCTAGCTCCCCCCACCTCCACTCACCACAGCAGTGGTCACCAAGCCAACACTGAACAGAAGTCAGAGGCACTGGGGCAAGTCTGTCCCTAGAGGTTGGAGGCCTGTGGGTGCTCCATGGGTGGAAGATAACATGAGGGCTCGTACAGGGGACCTTCTTAAAAATATCTACTTCTTTGAGAGGCAGAGAGAGAAAGACACACAAACACGCACAGAGAGACAGAGAGAGCTCCCATCTACTCAAACACTCCCCAGAAGTCCACACTGGCAGGGGCTGGGCAGGTCCAAAGCTGGGAGCTGGGAATTCAATCCTGGTCTCTCACATGGAGGGAAAGGACTCAACTACTTAAGCCATCACCACTGCATCCAGGGGGGTGTGTTACCAGAAAGCAGATGTCAGTATCAAGAGGCTGGTATGGAACCTAGGCACTCTGATAGGGAACATGGTTGTCATCACTGCTGGGCCACATGCCCACCACTGGGTCACTTTCTTAATAGATAAAAATAAAAGCAAGATCGTAGGGCTCAGGTCTCCGGGGCTCCACACCCTCCCACCCACTCTGCCTCCCTCCGCCCGGCATGGGCTCAGGGCAGCTGATCTAGTTATCCACCTGAGGATCAGAAGAGTCTCTGAGACACCCGACAGACAGCACACAGGCTGGAAGGTAGCTCCCCAAAGTGTGTACTGCTGCTTTCACCCACTTTTTCAACCAGTGGTGGCCACACTTTTCCCTGGGGCAAAATGGCAAATGTGTGGAGGAGGCAGCAAAGGCGGCAGGCAGAAGAGCAAACACGGCTCATCTGGAGGGCTCTGACTGAGCGCTGCAGTCTCCGCTTCCTACTCTCACTGGGCCTCTGCTGCCCTCTGGGAGGAAGGCTTCCTGCCCAGTTAGGAAAAGCAAAGGTCAGGTCAGCCGGGCTTGCCCCCTCCCTCTTCAACACAAAGCGCCCGAGAGCTGCTTCCCACAGACAGACGCAGACATTGTTTTAAAAAAAGTAGATTATCTTAAAAAATTTTCCCTTTTACCAGAAAACCAGACAGAGAGAAAGACAGAGATCTTCCATCCACTGGCGCACTCCCCGAATGTTCACAGCAGCTGGACTGGGCTAGTCCAAAGCCAGAAGCCAGGAATCCAACCCTGGTCTCACAGGTGGAAGGCAGAGCTCCAAGGACTTGAGCTGACACACACTGCCTCCCGAAGTGTGCTTTAGCAGAAAGCTGGACTTACAGGTGGAGGTGGGACTTGAACCCGGGCACTCCAATACGGGATGTGAGTCTCAACTGATGAAAGGAACCACCTCCACCCCCAGCATATGCTGTCTTCAGTCTGTATCTTATGACCAAGCTTCAGACACTGAGCTGCTCCCTGCTACACTGTACAGCCCCTCTTCTCCTTCCGATGACACCAAACAACTTAAATCCTGACAAGCCACCAAGCCGTCCAGCCAGAGCAAGGCCAAGGCCTTTACCTTGCAAGCCGTCAACATGTCTGAAACGGCTTTGCGGCTCAGGTTGGCGGTGGCAATCACGTCCTCCTGTCTACACGAGTTCCCCGCTGCCACAGCTTTGGCTGTTGCCATGGTGATGCCCTTCGTCATCCTTATCGATTCTTCAGGTGACGATGTCTTTTCAGGTACCTCTTGGGACTGGAACACCTGCAAGTCAGAAAGAGAAGGGGTGAAAAAAATCACAAAGGAAAGGGTAACAAGCCTTTATTCTTATCCAACCAGGCTGTAGCTCAGCATCTGAAAGTGGAGCCAGCTACTGGAAGAAAATACCCAAATGACAGGAAACTGGAAATTTAAGTACAGGCATGTTCTTGCTTTCAAGATTCTAGCACAGATGCAATCCTCAAGGCTACACTTGACATCAGCAGAAGCCAGAGGTTAACGTTTGCAGCACAGATCTGTTCGTCAACAGAAACCCACGGCCGGGATTTGCATACTTTGCATCCCAGGTGCTTGTGTGGCCTCTTGGTTCCCTTCCTCTGTGCCCGCTGCTGCTTTAGCAGTTTCCAGAACCTCAGCAATCCTGGTGCTGGTTCTGGAGCAGGGCTGACCCGAATGCATCACTCTGCACCGCGCCCCCGCTTCAGGAAGCTGTGAGGGTGGGGAAATGAAGCATTGACTCCTTCTATTCTTAGCCCATCTTGCAATTAAATCTGCATAATTGTACAGAGGTGTTCGTGTCAAGCGTGCCATGGTGACACTGAATATGTAACAGCATGCGTGCACACAAACCTTTAGAGTTTGAAGCTTCACCTGTCAGTCAAGTTGGTCGTTTCTGCTTCAACTCCAAGTCCTAACAAGAGGGACAGGTACCCTGGCTGTGAGCTGAATGTGCACCTGTCCCTGTGCTTGGGGGCCTTCATCGCAGGTAGGGCTGCCCTGTTCTCTGCCTGAGGCAACTGTGTATCGACAGGGAGAAAGGACTCAGCCAGCATCCTGGACACATGACACCATTGTCAAACATCACTGTACCCTCAAAGTGGGCAGGAGCATTTAAAGCAGCCCAGGACCCCAACTCCCAGGTGCTCTCCTGAATGCGGTAGTGGATTTTAAGCCACATGGACACAGTGCTCCACATTTCAGCACACGCTCCCTGGAAACACAGCCTCCAGGTGAATTCTAGATCCCACTGGTCTACCGGGAATGACCAAGTGTCAGTCACTGCCTGGGAAAGCTCCAAAGTTCAACTCTTCTCTTCCTTTGTCACCAACAGGCCCACGCACACCTATCAGAGCCCGTGCCCAGACTTGAGTAGGAAATGCCCAGCCCATGCAGCCAGGGAGGTGCCAGGCAGCAGTGTGTAAGGACACCACTAGCTCTGGGTAGCTCCTGCATTTCTTCATTTCTCTCTTTTTTTTAAAGATTTTATTTGAGAGTTAGAGTTACAGACAGTGAGAGGGAGAGACAGACAGAAAGGTATCCTTCCATTGGTTCACTCCCCAAATGGCCGCAACGGCCGGAGCTGTGCCCATTTGGATCCAAGAGCCAGCAGCTTCTTCCTGGTCTCCCACGTGGGTGCAGGGGCCCAAGCACTTGGACCATCTACTGCCTTCCCAGGCCATAGCAGAGAGCTGGACTGGAAGAGGAGCAGCTGGGACTAGAACCGGTATCCATATAGGATGCTGGTGCCGCAGGCAGAGGATTAACCCACTGCGCCACGGCGCCAGCCCTATCTTCATTTCTCTTTCAAAGTGTGAACTAAGCACAACATCAGCCAGGCCTGGATCCATTAGAGACCCCAGAACCCAAGCCTCCACCCCCCAAACCCCATGACCAGGGCTGGTGCTATGGCATAGTAGGTTAAGCATCTGCCTGCAGCACTGCCATCCCATGTAGGTACTGGTTTGCGTCCCGGCTGCTCCACTTCTGATCCAGCTCCCTGCTGATAGCCTGGGAAAGCAGCGGAGGATGGTTCAAGTGCTTGGGCCCCTGCACCCACGTGGGAGACTGAAAGCAGCTTCTGGTTCCTTGTTTTTCGATTAGCGTAGCTCTGGCTGTTGCAGCCCACTGGAGAGGAAACCAGTGGATGAAAGACCTCTCTAACTCAGCCTCTCAAATAAATAAATAAAACTTTAAAAAACAAAACAAAACACCAAGAAAACCTATAGGATCACTTGTTTCTAGTGCTGATCCTCAGGGCACCTAAACAGTTGACCCCCAAAAAAGGTGCAGAACAAGTGGAAGCAAAGGAAGGTTCCCCAGTACTTCCACCCACCCACCCAAAACTCAGTCTGTCGTGTGACCTCCCATTAAAAAAGCTCAGGGGCTGGCGCTGTGGCACAGCGGGCTGAAGCCCTGGCACGCAGCACTGGTATCCCATGTGGGCACTGGTTTGAGTTCCCGGTTGTTCCGCTTCCGATCCAGCTCCCTGCTAATGCACCTGGGAAAGCAGTGGAGGACGGCTTAAGAAGCAGCTCCTGGCTCCTGGCTTTGGATCAGCTCAGCTCTGTCTGTTGTGGCCATTTGGGGAGTGAACCATCAGATAGAAGACATTTCTCTCTCTTTGTTTCTACCTCTCTATGTAACTCTTTCAAATAAATAAAAATAAATCTTTAAAAAAAATCTCAGCTTGAAACCATCCCTTTCAGCCTATTTCTCTCTGTAGGAACTAAGATATCAACACACAGCCGATATGAGATCATAAGAACAGACATCATCCCCTCCACAGCAACTTAGGGATTGCCACCCTACACTGCTGAAACAAGGCGGCAAAATGAACAGGGTCTATGCCTCTAAGATCAGACCCCTCCAACAGGAAGGAGCTGGATCTCAAAGGCCCACGTCTCAGGGAAAGGCTCCCATCACTTTCCACCTCCAAAAGTGAACCTCACCCGACAAAGTCCACACGTGTGCAGCAGCGTGAGCTGTTAGCAACAGCACATGAGTCATGAGAGGCCACACATGTACTTGTGAATGGACCTTGGGCTGAGTGTTAACAGCCACACTGATGTGCCCTTTGCCAGGAATCCTCCACGATGCTGTGGTTTCATGCTGTGATTTCAGTGGCATGAAGCCTGAATTGTCCTACATGATGCAGTCCAGTGAATTCCTTAATTACCACTACACACTCTTTTTTTTTTTTTTTTTTTTTTTTGACAGGCAGAGTGGACAGTGAGAGAGAGAGAGACAGAGAGAAAGGTCTTCCTTTGCCGTTGGTTCACCCTCCAATGGCCGCCGCTGCAGCCGGCGCACCGCGCTGATCCGATGGCAGGAGCCAGGATCCAGGTGCTTTTTCCTGGTCTCCCATGGGGTGCAGGGCCCAAGCACCTGGGCCATCCTCCACTGCACTCCCTGGCCATAGCAGAGAGCTGGCCTGGAAGAGGGGCAACCGGGACAGAATCCGGCGCCCCAACCGGGACTAGAACCCGGTGTGCCGGCGCCGCAAGGTGGAGGATTAGCCTATTGAGCCACGGCGCCGGCTCGACTACACACTCTTCCTAGCCAGACTCTGCCGCATGTGGTCTCAACTATGCAGTGCTATCCACAGGCAGGTGAGGAGGCTTCCCTGGTTCAGGGGTCCCAGGCGACCCCTCTTTATGCTTCAATTCTCACACAAGCTCCTGCTAGGTCAGCAGGTGCCCCAGGGAGGGGACCCCTTACCGTGAGCTCCTGCTTTATGTACTCGATGGTGGCCTCCAGCGCCCTTGTGCCCCGGGTGGCTTCATCCTCCACTGCCTTCACAGTCTTGAGGAGAGAAGTGACGTTGGTCACCATCACCTGCAGAGGAAAAGAGAACAGTACACTACTTGCTTCAGCTCTTTATTTATTTATTTATTTTTAGAGAGAGAGCTCCCGTTTTACTCCTCAAATGCCCACAACAGCCAGGACTGGGCTGGGCCCAACCTGGGAAAGCAACCCAGGTTCTCCCACATGACTGAGCCATCACCCAGTGCCTCCCAGGGTCTGCATTAGCAGGAAGCTGGAATTGGGAGCCAGAGCTGGGAACTAAACCCAGGCATGCTGCTATGGGATGCAGACGTCTTCACTGGTGTCTCAAGTGCTAGGCCAAATGTTTGCCCTGTTACTTCTGACCTGACGATGTTAGCAAGACAACTCTTTGTCCTTTAAGTGAGAAAGAAATGCAGATGTGTATTCTCCCAGTACTCTCATACAGACTGTCCTACCCCTCAAGCTAATCCACTACCTTTGCGGCTCCCTTGAGCTGGTACATGGAGGGGTCATCAGCTGGCTTGCTGGCAGCTCCCTTGGTTGCACCAATGAGGTCAGAAAGGGCCTTGGCCACATCTTTGATGGCGTTGATCAGCACCACCTGAAAGAGAGCACAGTCACGTAAGCAGGCGTTCAGCAGACGCTGGCTGACTTCCCTAGGGCCTTGCACGCCAAGGGCGAGCTTGGACACGAGGATTGAGAGACGGGCAGGTCTCTATGTCACCAGCTCTGAAGCCTGCAAGTTACGCATTACCCCCCGGGAAGCCACAGTTGGGCGTTCTGGTGCAGGAATGTGGACTTTCCAGGGGTGGCTGAAGCTGAGACAGAATGGGGAGGCTGGGTCTGAAAATATAGCATATTTACAACTGCAGACCCAGCAACCCTGCTGAAAGCTGCCCAGGACAGGGTGAAGGCATGTGGGAGGAGCTAGCACTGACCCCAGCCTGACACCCTCATCACTGAGAACATTCTCTTAATCTCACACTGGGCTACAAGGCCGCCCTGGTACCCATGCCTGCCCCTCTGGCTTATAGGAGGCTCTGCCTCCCTCAGTATGTGATGCGGATGTAGGTTGCTCTTCCTCCCCATGGCTGATTCCCACTCAGGACCTTTGTTCTTGCTGGAACCCGACTCTTCCGGTTGTTTGGGTCTCAGCTCCGACGTCAAGTCCTGCACCTGTCTTGACCACGCCGGCTATCAGCCCACCCCCCGAGCACTGTTCTCTTCACGGCATTTCACCGTACATGAATGCCTTTCTGTTCTCTTGTGCACTGTCTACTCTTCGATGCAGATGCAAGCTCCAGGAGGCTCGGGCCAGACTTCCTATCTGTTCTATGCTCAGAGCAGGGTACAGGCACCAGTAAATGCTTGTGGAATGAATGAAGCCCAGGAAAAGATGCATTATCTATGTTAACTTCTCTAACTGGACAGTGTTGGACTTGGAATCAGCAGTAGGGGTCACAGGCAGGACCTATGTGATTTTGGCACAGCATGTAAGTCATTCAGGTCACCTCGGCCCAGCAGTTCCACAGTTCTATGATCGTAACCACAACTGCCTCCCTGTGTGCCGGCAGCTCTGGGTGCTGAACCAAGCACTCTGCATGCATCACCTCATTTAATCCTCGCCACCATCTTTTCCAGCAGGAACTCCAAGCCTTAAGCCCACACTCCCAGAGCCTGGGAGAGGCTGAGTGGGGAGTACGGGCCCTGATTCCCACGATCTGAAGGGCCAAAGTCTTAACCTCTACTCTATGAGGGTACTTCAGAAAGTTCAAGGAAAATGGAATTAAAAAATGTTGATTTAGAGGCAAAAAACTGAAGTCCATGGATATGTGGGGTCTTCAAGGCACTCATGAAAAATGCTTATTATTAAAAATTTCATTTGCATCCAGGTAAACATATTACTTTTTAAAAGATTTCCACATTTTTAAAATTTGAAAGATGAAAGTCTTCCATCCACTGGTTCACTCCTCAAGTGCCTGCAACAGCTGGAGCTGGGCCAGGCTGAAGCCAGGAGTGCGAGAACACAATTGTGGTCTCCCATGGGGGTGGCAGGAAACCAAGTACTTGAGCCATCATATGCTGCCTCCCAGGGTGTGCACTTGCAGGACACTGGATGGGAAGTTGAGGAGCTGGGACTAGAACCAGGCACTCTGATGTGGGATGCATGCATCCCAAGCAGCAACTTACGTGCTGTGCCCAATACCTGCCAATATAAAACTATTTTTAAATTTCATTCTTTACGAACCTTCTGAAGCACCCTCGTGCATCAGGCTCAGAGGCTCTGACTCCTTGTCTACAGGTAGAATTAGCAGCATCAGCCCTGCCTACCCCACGGAATACTGGGAGGATGAGCTGGGACAACGCATGTGAAAACCTACCAGGGACTCAGAGTCCTAGACAGCTGCATCAAAGGAAGCGATTTTGCAGCCCCCTGCCCTTTGCCATCCCCTTGTGTGCCCTGTCAGCTTGAGAGACCAGCAACCTCAGCCTCAGAGCCCATGGGGCAGCCCAGGGCTCGCAAGGAAGGTACCTGCATGGACCGCACACTCATTCCTGAGGTCACAGTGATGGGGGTAGGGATGACAAGGGCAGACACAGGCATGGCCAGCCAAGGCCTGCTGTCCACACCCACAGTACCCAGCACTCTGTCCCATCCCTGGTCACTTGACAACTGACGAGTAGGGACATCTTTCTTATAGCATCTTTTTAAATTAACAAGATCTCATTAGAAGTTGGTACTTCAGGATATCTAGACCTCTAGGAGTTAAAATCCTACAGCAACAGCACAAACATATCTAAACAACCCAATTAAAGCACGGGCCCACATTGTAGTGCAGTGGGTTATTTGCCAGCATCCCATATTGGAGCACTGTTTCAAGCTCTGGATGTTCCAGTTTCAATCTAACTTTCTGCTAATGCACCTGGGAAAGCAGCAGAGAGTGGCTGCCACCCATGTGGGAGACCAGGATGGAGTTCTTGGCTCCTGGATTTGGTCTGGTCCAGCCCTCACTGTCATGGCCATGTGGGGAGTGAACCAGTGGGTAGAAAATCTCTTTATGCTCTCCCTCTCTCTTAACTCTACCTCTCAAATTAATTTTTCAAAAATATTTTATTAATTTATTTGAGAGAGTTGCAGAGGGAGAGATAGAGAGAAAGGTCTTCTATCTATTGGTTCACTTTCCAAACAGCCATAATAGCTGGAGCTGCGAAGCTGGGCTGATCAGAAGCCAGGAGCTTCTTCCAGGTCTTCCACGTGAGTACAGGGACCCGAGCACTTGGGTCATCTTTCACTGCTTTCTCAGGCCATAAGCAGAGAGCTGGTTTGGAAGAGGAACAGCTGAGACATGAACTGGCGCCACTTGGGATGCCGGTGCCACAAGTGTAGGCTTAGCCCACTACACCACAGTGCCGGCCCCAAACAATCAATCTTAAAAAAGAGAAAAAAAAAAAGAAAAAGAAAAATGGGCCAAGGACTTGAAGAGACACTTCTCCAAAGAAGAAACACATGGCCAAAAGTTATACACAAAGGAGCTCAGTGTCACCCACCGTCAGTGGAATGCAAGTCAAATGTCCACCTCACATCTGCAAGGTGGACCATTACTAAAAAAAATAAAAAATAAAAAAAAGCAAATGTTGGTGAGGATGCAGAGAAAGAAGCCAGAGTGCACTGTGAGTGGGAAGGCAAAGTGGACCAGGCACCACAAAAACAACATGGAGGGCACTCAAAAAAAAAAAAAATTTTCAAAACCAGAATGACCCTACGACCCTCTCAAATAAATGAGCCTATGACCAGCAATCTCTCCTTAAAAGAACTGAAATCAGGACTTGAACAAGTTGTGAGCACTCTGGTGTTCACAGCAGCATAATTCCCAAGATATGAAGCGTGGTGAACTCTCACAGTGGGATATTATTTAGCCCAAAAAAGGGAGGAAACCCTGCAATGACCACAGCGTGGATGAATCCTGACGATACGAGACTAAGCGAAACAAGCCGCTCCCAGAACAAACATATCACATTTCCGCTCACATGACGAGCCTGAAACTCAAACTCACAGACACAGAGGGGCGGGCAACGAGCGCTCCCATGGAAGACTGTCACATGTCAGTCACACAAGCTGAGTGAGTTCCAGCGCCCTGCGGCACAGCACTGGGCCAGGGGTCAGCAGGGCTGCATCGCACACCTGCTAACCTCTTACGGAGGTGGATCGCACGTCAATGCTTTCAACACAAAAAAAGAAACACAGGCAAGGAAAGAGGTTGATGGCAAGGGAGAGGCTCGCGCTGGCCACCTCTGTGGCCGAGCAGTAGATACAAGGGGCCTCATTCTACGATTCTACTGTATATGCGATGAGAAGTACTATAATAAGCTAACAGGAAAACCAAGTGTCTGCAACAATTCGATGCATTTCTCTGCATTAAGACACTTGGATCCTCTCAGGCCACTGGGCTTTGGCCAGGAGCATGTGCTTCTGCTGTGGACACTCTGAGGATTTATTCTTAAACTTTCCATTCCTTCGTCAGAGTGGACAAAAAAATCCTGCAGGCAGGGATTCCTGTGAATGCTTAGAGCTCCCAGGGGCAGCCAGACTGCTCTCTGATGTTATCAGAAATCCAGAAGAATGTCCCAACGGCAGCATGACAGTGTCCTCGTGGATCTCGGCTCCCCTCAAGGACATCGGGAGGGAAGGCTCAGATCACATGGGAACAAAGTCCGTGGGCTCAGGTCCACCAGCACGGTCACTGCCGCCCACCTGGGCACTGAACAGCAGGGGGTTCTGTTTGGTTTTGTCCAAACAGATCGATTTACCAGTGAAAATCCAAGTGTTTACCAAAGGCTGGTGTGAGCATAGGGAGAAGTGTGTCTCAGGTTTTGCACTCTTAGGCACAGGTAGCATCTATGTGGGGATGACTTGGCTGGCTGTTGGTTCAGCACGGATCTGTGGGGCATCCACTGCAGGCCAGGAGCTGCACCAGGTACACCAGCTCCAAAGAATAAACTGCGGCGACCGTTCTTGAGGTGTTTCTGGGATGGGGGATCAAGGAACAGGCAGCGGATGTGCATGAACTTGAGGGCCCAGGAGCATGGAGTCCTTCAGAGGCAACCTTCTCAAGGCGGGCTGTGAGCTGTGGTACAGTTCACTTCCTCACCCACATCTAGCTGCTGCCCACCACCCCACACAGCAGCTGGGGCCATCGTGGGCCTCGGTGGCACTGCAGCCCGTGGCCAGGTTGCAGACTTGGGTCTTTCTCGACTCTGCCATGTCTGGTGCGTTCAGACCCTTCCTCCTCAGTGCTGGGCCCCTGACTTTCCTCCCACAGCTGCCACTTCTCAAGCTCCCTACACACTTCCCCTTAATATGGCCCTCAGCGTTGAATTCCTCAGGGCTCTGCCTGGACCACTTTCTTCTCTCCCTCTCCTGCAGTTGCAAGGGCTATCTAGGAGGCAATGATTCCCAAATCCATGTTCCTGTATCTGGGCCGGTGCATGCCCAATCACTAGGTCCACCTGCACGTCTCCCTGGCACCTCCAATGCCACACATCCTGACTGCACTCACCAGCAGCCCCCAAGGCTGGTCCTCCCTCCAGGGAGCTCTACCTGGGTCCATGGGGTCCCCATCCACACCCTGCTGGAGGTGAGTGCAGTGAGGTGTGGAACCTCATCTCATGCTCACCTCATCTCCTAATGCCCACTGTGTCCAGTCCTTTACCACACTGGCTGAGGCCCCCTTGTAGGTTCCTCCCAGATCTGTAGGTTTTTCTCCACCCCCATGACACCCCACCTCGGGGATGCTTGGATCAACACTTTCTACTGCTTCACCAAAGCAGACACACACACATGCACTGTGGGCTTCAACTGGTCCCTGCAAAACCTCTTCTGAGGCCTGGTGCTGGGTGGTCGTGAGATCTCGAGGAAGGCACTCCCCAGGCCCTGTGCATACCTGGGTCTCAGGGTCATCGGAGCCCAGGCTGGCTGCCCCCAGCTTGACCACCTCGGCCAGCTGGGTGATGGTGGCTGCCGAGGACTGCGCCGCCTGGGCCAGCTTGTCTGGAGTGGATGCAGCCCCCGACACAAGCAGCTTCGTGTCTTCCACCAAGGCCTTGGCTGTCTTCAGAATGTTCTCCCTGGGGATGCAGGCAGGACAGAAAGAAAGGGTAAAACCTGAGGACTAGGAGTCAGGCAGAGAAGGGAATCTTCCCAGGGGGCTTTTGATTAAAGGCTTTGAAGGCTAAAAGGCGGCACTCTACCTTGCCTTACTGCAGGTATGGGGGACATGTGGCCTGTGGGCTGTGTAGGGCCTGTGAAACCACGTGGTCTGGCCCTGCCAAGGCAACCCCAGGCAGGACTCAAAGTTTAAGAAACCTGGGGCCTGTGCTGTGGTACATCAGGCCAAACTGCTACCTGCAGCACCAGCATCCACGTGAGCGCCAGTTCAAGTCCTGGCTCTTCTACTTCTCACCCAGCTCCCCATTAATGGCCTGGCAAAGCAAGAGAAGATAATCCAAGTCCCTGAGCCCCTGCACCCATGCGGGAGACCCAAAGGAAGCTCCTGGCTCCTGGCTTTGGCCTGGGCCAGTCCCAGCTGTTGCGACTATTTGGGGAGTGAACCAGCGGATGGAAGATCTCTGTGTCTCCCTCTCTCTAACTCTACCTTTCAAACAAACAAATGCTTCAAAAAAATTCAAGAAATGCACAGCAGGCTAATCTTTGAACTGATCATTTAAAGATGCTACAAATATTCAAATGGCCCTTGGCAGAAGAAAGGTCCCCAGCCCTGCTATGGGGGGTGCTCAGCTTCCACGTGGGCAATGCTGAGCAGCAAGCACAGAGTGGATCAGCTGCAGTAAAATTTCTGCAAAAGTTTCAGGCCTAGCAGTGCAATGAAACAAAAGCTCAGCTCCTTTGGTTCCTGCTCTCTGTCCAGACTTCAACACGTACAATTATTAAAAGCCAGAAACTAGACTTTAGACAAAAAATATGTGCTGTGGAGGCACCTGGTTTGGGGCACGTTGTCCAGGGATCAGAGTCCAAGGGGCCAGGCTCTGGGAGGCACAGCGAGGCACTGGGAATCTGTGCCCAGCCCAGCTCTGGGCAGGCTATGGGTGAGGATTTGGAGTTTCCAGGCCCAAGTGGTGAGTGCCCAGCGGCAGCCTTGTGAGCCAGGCTCTCAGAGCAAGGCTGGCAGAGGCAGCGGGCTGGGAGCACCTCTCCCCAAACCATCCCCAAGTGCCTGTGCTGGTGCTCCGGAACCTGCCGGGGTGGGGAGCGGCCCGAGGAACAGAGCTCCCTAGTCCAGAGAGGGAAAGCTCAACAAGACGTCCTCGGCTGGTACCGGCTGCACTTCGGGCTGTTGAGGGCAAAGCTCAAGTGTGACTTGGTGCTGACAGTGGCTTCTTGGGGTCATAGGGTTCCTTTTCCCTACTTGAGCATCGTGCTGAAATAAGACCAGGTAATGGCATTTCTGACCCTGGGGTGGTGGCTCCAAGGTCGACCCTGAGTGACAGGGTCAGGCCAGCCCGGGCCCCTCTGGGAAGGAGGCCTCCTACCTGTGGTCCGCAAAGGTCTCGCTGTTCTCCGCGTTCAGCGTCCCTGCCGTGGCAAACATGATGGTGGTGTCCAGGTCGGCGATGATCCCAGACACCGCAGTAGCGGCTGTGATGCATGCCTGGGTCCCCTTGTTCCCAGCCTGCAGGGCTGACAGCACCAAGGACACCTGGGGACAGAAGTGGAGTGAGAATCAGAGCCGTGAACCAGAGAAAATGTGACCCACATTTTCATCGATTCTGAAGACACAATTCTCTTCTCTCCTGTGAGTCAACACAGCTTAGGGTTCACAGCCTCAGTCTGAATCCCAGCTCGGTCATTTATGGGCCACACGACCTTGGGCAAGCTGTTTCACCTCTCTGAGTCTCAGGTTTCTCATCTATAAAATGGGGCTATTCCTTCTTGCCAATCAGGGTGGTTGAGCAGATGGAGGGGGGGAAACCAAGTGTCCAGCAAGGATCTGCACACAGGAGGAGTTCAGCAGAGGGCAGAGGGCAGATGCTACTGCTCATCCATTACTATTCTGTTTCTAAAACAACCAAGATGGGTCAGAGTGCAGGCTTCTGTGACAGGCCTGGCCCTCTCCACCCTTTCATTAAGATGGTGATAGGGACAGCCCAGTGCCAACACCTGTCCTTCACCTGCAGAGGGGATCCTGGAGGGGCTGGAGTCCAGAGGGGACCCACCCAAGTAACCTCCCCACTCCTGAGGCTCCAGCAAGTCATCAACCACCACTGAGAAAGGATTCCAGGGACCTGAGGTCCAGGCTAAGGGGCGAACCCAGTGTTTTTCCTTGCAGAAACCTGTGTGCACCCCTTCCCAGCCCTCTAGCACCCCTTCACTGTTCCGGGCAGGCATCCTCGACCATGGCACACCCTGCTTATAAGGGTCTCAACCACGTGTCAGTTTCACCTGCCCTTCGCTACTTGGACACACCACCTGCTCTCTGGGTCTGTGCTCTGCTTGCAAGGCCGCTTCCTCTTGTCCAGCCACTGACCTCCTCATGCTGCACGAGGAGGTTCAAGATCCCTACTGGGACACCTCCCCAGAATCTCTTCATCCAGAGACAGCGCTGCCTCCCAGGATTCCATAGCATACTCTCCTTGCACTCAGAGTAGCCCACTGCCCAAAGGTTAAGAACAGTCTCTTATACAGTAGGCAGTGGCCTAGCGGTTCACTTGCTGGTTGGGATGCCTACACTCTGTATCGCACAGTACCTGGATTTAAGCCCAGCTTTGCTCCCAATCCCAGCTTTCTGCTAATGCATACCAGGAGGCAGCAGGCAATGGTTCAAGGACTTCAGTGCCTGCCATTTGCTTGGGAAACCTGGGCTGAATTCCCAGCTCCACACTTTGGCCTGACCTGGTCCTGGCTAGGCATCTGAGGAGTGAACCACTGGATGGGAATTTTGTTTGTCTTTCAAATAAGCTTTTTAAATTCCCAGAAAAACAACAACAACAAAACCCAGTATGCTTCAGGCTAGTGGCTGGAGACTGTGAGGCCAAGAGCTCTTATACCCAATTCTGGGTACACCACCAGCACCCTTGATGGTAGCTGACTCGATGAACGGTCTGAAAACATCCTGTGAATAGATTTTTTAAGACATGCTGTACAGGGCAGAGGGGCATTAGCGAGAAGCACAGGGTCTGAGATGTCCTCTCTCCTGTGCCGCTCAGATCTCAGCAGGAGAGGCACAGGGATGGCTGCCTAGCATCTGCATGTCCCAGGACCAGCCCACAATCAACTCTTTATCTTCCTCGCTTGCCCAATCCTCTTTTAAAAGCCACCAGGAAAAGGCGAGTCAGACAGGCACAGGACTGGCCAGGGAAGGAGGGATCCAATTTCTAGAAGAACTCAGAGCAGGCAGAGACAAGGCACGGGAAGTCTGCAGGCAGGGTGGAGGGGAGCTGTCCTTAGCCAAGGTTAGGAAAAAATGAGTCTGGAAACAGAGGCCCACCCACTGCAAAAGTTGTGCAAGCCAGCAGGTGCTCGCTGAGGGCTCTGGGGCTGGGCACACAAAGGGAGAAAAGTCAAGGGGCTCACGGTTGGAGCTGCACTGTGTACCTCACCAAGGCCTGAGGCCAACTGGGTGCCGGTGGGAAGGGAGATTAGAAGAGGAGTGGCACCGAGCAAGAAACCACCAAAAAGGCTGTGGACAACCAGGAGAGCCGGCCACCCCCCAGCTCTGCTCCTTCTCCAGGTGTCGTACATCAGAGCTTTTGCCTTAAGCAGCAGCAAGGCCAAGGCCAGCTCGGGAAGATCGTGTGGCTTGGCCACGCTCACAAATACGCCCTCTCCTGCCCCTAGTGCTCCTGCTACAAGGTCTTCTACAGAGGAACTTGGCCAGAGACACTTCAGCAACAAGCCAGGGCTTTGAAAGGACAGGGAAAATACCTTCCTCGAGCAGAGACACTTGTTTCCTTGTCCTGTGGAGCCTAGGGAGGCCAAGCAGTCCTGCGGGCTACAGGAGGCGGCCGGCCAGCCAGCCAAGCTTGGCCTTGGTGAGGGGGTCACGGACAGAGCAGCCTCTATGGGCAGCTGCTTCCAGCTGAGGGCCTGCCCCATCCATTTTGAGTCTCGTCACCAAGTCTCCCAAGTCTCATGAAAGAACGGTGCCTCACTTGAACATTTCTTTGCACCAGAATAAGTTTACCTTTCAATTCCATTTTCCTTGAACTCTTTGAAGTACCTGCATGTGTGCTCTGAACCAAAGTGACAGGAGAGGGAAAGACCACCCACACACGCATGCGTCCTTCAGCCTGGGCTCCACACAGCCCGTGAAACAGCTGCCCTGAGCAAAGTGCCAGTGACATGAGCGCAACAAAAATATTCGTACCCCGGGCAAGAACAAAAGTGCTACTGAGAACCGAGAAAACATCCTGGGAGAAAAAGGGTTTGGCGCAAAGTTTACAGAAAACAGTGGCCTGTAATCACTCAGCGTTTAACTACATGTCTGGCAGGGGGCCAAGCACTTTCACACACATCACTGTATTGTATCCCATAATCCTTACGAGCTGGGTATTAGATATTTTCATCATTTTACAGATGAGAAAGTGGCTTGGAAAGGTGAAGGGCCTCCGAGCTAGGATCTTCCAAGCCTGTGGATAATACTGCAGTCCTCTCCTACAATCTTGTGCCCCGTCCGCTCCTCCTTATCTGCTGCAGATCAGGTGGTGACATGGAAGGAACTTTAAGTCCTCTGGACTCAGCCCTGAGCACCCAGGAGCCTCCTAAAGAAGGAGGAGGAGGGCACAAAGTGTCAGCAAGGAGCTGTGGGCTGCTGCTGGAGACTTCTATCCAGCCCAGCTGCAGGTGAGCCCTTGAAGAAGGTTGAGCACTGGCTGGCTTCATGGGACAGGCCCTCCCGTGCTCCTGATTTCTCACCCTCAGCGCCCCGATGCGCCCATCCCTGGAGGGAAGCAGCATCGAGGCAGCTGCCTCAGCGCCTTGGATTCCTGCTCGCTCTCAATCACAGCTCCCTGTACCTGACCCCGGGGCCACTCCTTACCTTCTCCGTGACCGCCCGCGCACACTCGATCAGCTCCCTCTTGGTGTAGCTGTCCGTGGGGCAGACCTGGAGGGCCCCGGCCTTTTGCACCAGGAAGATACAGCCGTGGCCCAGGTCCTGCACGCGTGTGCGAATCTGGAAGCCGATCTGCAGAGGGAAGCCCGGGATGGGGAAGCAGTGATGGACCCTGCCATCGAGGCCCTCCCTATGTGGAAAATTTCCCTGCGCCCTATGGGAGCCTGGCTAGGAAAATTCCACTCCTATTAGAAGCCCGTGTCTGGTGAAGTATGGAATTTGGTTGATTTTGCTTCCCTCTTCAGAGACTGTAAAATGCCCCCAGTCTTCATGAAGCAAGCTAGCAAAATGCCTCCCTGATGTTAGCTGCCTTGGCTCTGTATGGCTTATCTGCATCTGGAGCCACCAGGTAAGAAAAGTAATTAGATGGGCTCTGTGGGATAATTCTGTTACTCATTCAACAAGCATTTATTGCGTCCCTACTGTGTGTCAAGGCCTCTTTGAAGCAGGCAATGCATTTTATTTATTTCTCACAGCAGCACTAAAGGTTAATTACAAGTGCAAAACATAGCTTTGGTCTTGGGCATTTTTTTAAAGTGTTCAGATTCTTACAACCAGAAAACCCTCTTTCTCAGCTGGACCACATGGTGGGGACGACCATAGGAACCTGGCTTCCCTTCCAGCAGGCCAGGTCTGAGGTTTTCATAAAAGGTACATTTGCGAAGCTAAAGGCTCAGCAGGCACACATTCTACTCCTGGGCTATGAGATTAGAAAAAGCAGTTGGCCTAAGAAAAGCTGAGCAGGTCCCACTGTGGGTAGGCTTCCAGCTGTCTCTCCAAAGTTTGCATTCCCTCTGATTTTGCTTTGCGTCACTTCTCATTTTGGTCTGATCAACACAGATGCCATAAACAATCTTCTCCTCCAGTCTCCATTAAAGACACAGAGCACAACTTTAAGCATGCGTCTGGTTATCTTGAAGACTTCACAACAGCTATAGACAATCTGGCCCATCATTCCAGCGACTATCCAAAACACTGCCTACAAGAGCTAAAGTACTGTGAACGGCACCTGGGCAGTTAAGGCCCCCTGGAAGCTATTTTCCAGTGTCATCTTGCCCGAGTTTCAGGAAGGGTGAATTTGGAGAGTGGCTGGGGCTAACAATGCTCTCCCCTACTGCATTTAAGGGAGAAAGATCCTTTTATTTCCTAAGACACAAAGGACTTTTGAAAATCCATTTACTAGAAAATCCTCATGAGCCACAAAGTTGAGTCTCTGCTTTTTTGGGCATCTTGTACACTGTACACCAGGCAGGGCTGTCTCCTTGACCTGCCCCACGGAGAATGCAACATGAGCAGCTCTGCAAAGAGGCTGGGGCTGGTGCAGCAATAAAGCTGCTGCCAACAGGGAACAGGCACTGGAATCCAGCCCACACGGCAGCACTGCCACTTACGTGTATCTGCTGGGCTGCACATGTTTGCTGGTTTATAAACAAGGTTGAGCTGAAGCAGGAGGATGCCCCATTAAAGTTTCAGATTCAGCCTGCCTCTTGATGCCTTCCAGATGCAGCCAGGTTAACCCTAAGTACTCAAGGGTCAGAGTTCATCTAAGAGCAAGAGCTCTAAGGATCATCGATCCCTCCGTGATGAAGTGCTGCCAGTCAAGGAGGGAGGGAGTGGTGGGAGAAACATTCGCAGGATTTATAAAACAAAGACGACCTTACAGTTCAAGTTCCTGCAAGGGAACCCACGCTAACCACTGCAGATGTGTGGTCTTGGACAAATGAAGCTCCTGGAGCCTCGGTTTGCTTATGTGTGGAAGGGGGACTAATGATTCTTATCTCACATGCTGCGGTGGCCAGGGAGAATGCAACAGAACCCACACAGCTTCTGACCCGTGGCTGCAACTTGAGAAGCAGCTCTACCACTGCTTTCCAGGGGCACAAAGACAACCCAGGGCACATTCACGAAGGAGGGCAACCAAAGCAGCACGGTCTACGTGCAAATGCAAAGGACACTCTGTTCTACCAGAGGAACGTCTTAGAAAGGGAATGCATTTGTAAGACTATTCAAACAGATAAGGGCTTAAAAAATGCTAAGCTTCTCAAAGCAACGTTAAATGTTTCAGCAAACATGACCCAACTTCCCGAGACCACAGGGTGATCCAGCCTTCTACCAGTGTTGATTATAAAGGAATGTGGCTCCAAGACATTCAACTTGGGGTTTAAATTGGCAACTTTCATGAAGCCTTACTTGAGCCTCAAAAACCCCCTCAATTCCCTGCCTGCCCAAATGAAAGTAAAATGGAGAAAACCCGATGGCTGGCTTTGTGCCTTGAGGGAAATGAAGAGTGCCGCCTTTATGAAGCTTTGGATCTGATTTCACTCGGAGGGGGTCTAAGAAATAATGATCATCTTTCCTTACTGCCGAAAACTAAGCAAAACATCCAGATTCTTCTCAGTACTTAAAAGCAATTACCTCTGAAGCCAGGGCAAATATCATTTGCCTGGGATGGCTTTGGAAGTTAAAAGGGCAGTAATAAAATGTAGCTGACAAACTTAGCAAACACAGAAGGAAACACGAAAGGTGTGTTTGAGAGGGTCTTCTGAAAGCTGGTGGAAAATGCATATTATAAAAAAAACTGCAGGGATTTTGAGGTTTTTTTTTAATCCAAATCAACTTCTCTTTTGATTCTGTCTCTTCCCCACAGACGGTGTGAGGTGCCCTTGTGCGACAGGCTGTCAGTCTCCCAGCTCCAGGAAGAGGCACTTGGAGTGGAAAGTTTTAGACAAGTCCAGAGCAGGCACCCAGCTCATCTGAGTAAAGGGCGGTGTGGCTGCCACAGGCGCTCAACTAACGTGCCTGCGAGCTTTGAAGACAATCAGTATGGCAAGTGGTTACGGCGGCTGGTCCTGAGACAAAGCTCCGGTTACCCAATCTTCTCCCCAGGATTGAGATCGAAGGGCTGTAGCTCCTACAATCTCAATTTCTTTTTTTCTTGTCCTCTTCAGTAACTGCACAGCTGCCAGAGGGCTGTCACTTTAATGTAGAGCGATCTTAACAAAGGTTCGAGCTTGCTATGGAAAAATGAGCAGATAAAGCTCCTGCTTGATGTTCGAGGGCACAGCTATGGCTTTTCCTGTAATTGTCACATTCTGGAAAAGACCAGAGTGCTGACTCCACACAGCAGACTGCGCGGCTGCCATGAAAGAGACCAGTTTCTTATTTGCCCTGGATATAAGTGTTTACACATGCTGTGATGTGGGATCCTTGTGGGTACACAAATAATCCCACAATCTTGGAGTCAGAAACAACACTACATTGCTTTAGGGATCTCCTAACCTTCTCAGTTTTCCTCCCAAATATCTGTCTGGCAAATGCACACAAAGAATTCTCCTTTGCAAACCGCTGGTAATTTTATATTCTCTCTTCCCCCTGTTGCTCCAGGTCACACTGCTTGTGTGTCAGGAATGTAAACTACATCTCAAGATGCAAGGGCAAAAAGGGAAAACCTTAATGAAAACCTCAGCTGCTCCCTGCGCAGGGCCAGCAACTCAAGCAACCAGCTGGGGCACTTTTTGCTGTGCATTTTTCTTTCTTGGCTGCTCTGCAATATTTTATATTTTTGCTTTGATGATCTGTGTTGCAGTAAGAAAATCTGCTTGTTTCATACATGGGCTGGGTAACTCCTAAGAATTCAGACATGGAAAGGGTCTTAGAAGGGAGATGGGGTCAGGGGTGCATTCCATTTTGCAAGGTTTCTGGGGACAAAGATCCAAACCTTGCTGTAATCACCATCTCTTTCTGCTTTTAATTCCCCTTCTCAAAGCCAGTCCTTTCCTGCATTGTTCCAACTCAACTTAACTGTAACAAAAGTCCCCTTACTCTTATTTATGAAATACAAAAATTACACATTAATCAAATGAATCACATGTCTAGGTAAATTATAGACTAGAACCACAGTCTAGTCTTACTAAAAAACAGGGAGTCTTTTTTTTTTTTTTTTAATTTGATGGGCTTGTGTCAAGAATCAAGTCTTGATGTCGGTCTCTGATAAGCTTCTTTCTTGGTAGTGACTTCACGTGCTCATTACAAACAGAATTATTCATGCTGCAGCCTAAATAATCATCCTGAAATCTCACAATGCAGGCGCTGTTAGGAGCTGAGTCATCCCATGCTAGCTATGTAGGGATGCAAGCACGTGTGATGCTTCTAGGCACATGCACGGTCACGCAACACGTTAGAAAGTCACTTTGCTTTGACTCTTCATTTCTGTAGCCCCCTCCTTGGGAGTCTTTGTTAAGACATGCTCAGACCTGACTCCAGGGAGAAACGGCAGCCCAGAGGAACTTGGGGACCATGACTATCGTGGCAAGCAGATGAGCAGCCCAGTCCTGACCTGTCGCGTCAACAACCTGGCTTACTGAGGAATGTCTTGCACATTCTGTGCTCAATAAACAGCTTGCTGGATCCCATGGCATGGCCACCTTTGTCTCCCCAGGGAGCCTGCCACCCACTCCACTGCATTCTCTATTTCAGATGGACCTTGTGTTCTTAAAGGAGCCATGGGTTCTTTGGGCCCCAGTCTCCTCCATGTCACTGGTGCCAGCAGGCTCCCTGGAGCTCTGCCCACCCTGGGCACCATCCAGTGACCCTCTCGGTTCTCAGAGATGCCAGAGATGGGTGCTTTCAGAAAGTGGCCTTGTGGGCCTAATGTTTGCCACTGTGAGACTGGTAGGGGAGCAGGCAATCTGAGGCCAAGCCTACACCAGGAGGTGAGGTAGAGGAAGGGACCCATGCCAGCTCTAGGAAAGCCCAAGGATAATCAGGCAAGAATCTGTTCCCTGAAGGTGGCTGCCTAGACAAGGAAAGCCAAGTCCCCTACTTGAGTGAGCCTTTGGAAAACACACAGATGTGTGTATTGTGGGGAAGACACCGGAAGCCCCAGGATCATGCATGCTTAGAGGCAAGAGGTGATGGGCCAGGCATAGGGGCCTGGCAGAAACTGCAAACCATGTCCTGCTGCTGGCTCTCAGCCAGAAGGCCCCAGAAAGGGGAAGAGCCTTGAGCACCGCCTGGGGCTACGGGGGTGGGCGCATGCACTGCACTGTACCAGGGACTATACTCAGTTCTAATTACTGGGCTGGGGTCTTCTGGGGTGGTAGCTAGGCCCCTCCCCGGGGCAGGGGAGCTCCAGGGAGCATGTGCTTCTAAACATAGGGGGCTTAAGGTGGCAGACCTCTTCTGGTTCCGCCGTGGCTGCTGCCATTTGGCCCTGGAGGGCCAGGTGCCCATAGTCACTGGTCATTTGTGAAGCCAGTCCTCCCAACTCCTCCGGGTTAGTAACCGACTTAGTCATCTGGAAAAAGAAAACAAGCAAGACACAAACACATACACACACACATACAGAGAAAAGCATGAGAACCACGTGTTAATATCATCGGAAGCCAAAGGATGTCATTCACTTTTAAGCTCCCGATGGGGTGAAGGTCAGGGCTTGCACTCGGGACTGGACCCTGGAGAGGGCAGTTCAAGCGGAGCCCATGCTGCATCACAGCAAGAGGCCAGCCAGAGCCCCTGCAGACCTGCAGCACCGCCTGCAGGCATGCAGATTCTGGCCGGGCCAGGCGGGCAGGTGCTTAGCGTTCAGGCCGTGCAGGGTGGAGCCGGGCCCTCGGGTTTAGTTCTGGCAGGTGAGGGTGGCAGCCTAGGGCAGCCCTGCCCTGTGGGGTCACCAGAAGTCCCCTGAGAAACCACCAAGGGGCACAGGCCCTGTGCATGCCACCTCCAGGAGCCCAGGCTGCTGTGGATAACCCACATGGGCTCCAGGCCCCCAGAAGCAGGCACCACCCAGGCAGAAGGACACCCGAGGACAGGGCTGTAAAGGAATTCGTGCATGAGAAATGAGGGAGAAGGCACCACTAAGGGCAACGACTCTGAGAACAAAGCATTGTGGTGAATTTGTGCCCCACAAATGACAAAGCTTCAGCCACAGATCTAGTTAAGAGTGTACCATAAGGGTCAGATTTTACCTCTTTATGGCCAAGACAGTATTTTATAATGTGCCTCAGTTTATTTTACTTAGCTAACATGCTAGTATCTGGTTTTATGCCTCCAATGATCACAACAGTTTTAACCTGTCACCCAGAAAGGCACCCTTGTCCCTTTTTCAGGGCCTGCCCTCCTGCCCCACCTCTTCTCTGGCTCTGGATAACTGTCTCTGCCTGTGGCACTTTGGCACCCTGACTATAAAGAGTTTTAATGGGCCGGCATTGTGGTGCAGCAGGTGAAACCTTCGCCTACAGTGCCAGCATTCCATATGGGCGTCAGTTTGAGTCCTGGATATGCCACTTCCAATCCAGCTCCCTGCTAATGCACCTGGGAAAGCAGCAGAAGATGGCCCACGTGCTTGGGCCCCTGCACCTACATGGGAGACCTGGATGGAGTTCTTGGCTCCTGGCTATGACCTGGTCCTGCTCTGCCTATTTGAGGAATGAACCAGTGGATGGAAGATCTTTCTCTCTCTCTCTCTCTCTCTCTCTCTCTAACTCTGCCTTTCAAATAAATAAATCTTTTAAAAAGTATTTTTAAAAAGCTCTTCAAAATGACCCCACTTCCACTGAGGTGGGACGGGAGCGACTGTTTCTCCCCTTCCTTTGCTCACCCAACTTCATGTTCCATAGAAGGCATATTTTTAGGAAACCCTGAGGGCTTCAGGCCCAGGTGTGGATTCCAAGGAATGTATATGGAACCCCAAGAGAGTAAGGTGGTCTCATGGGCTGCTCCACCTGTTCCCTACCGACAGGAGCACAAAGCTGCTGGGCATGACCTGGTGAGGTGCAACAAGCTCTTTCCCATCCAAGGAACCAGCCCAACTATCTCAGGAATAGCCATGTAACCTGAGACTGGGCCTCTTAGGATCTTGGATATCAAGGGTCTCAGCAGGAGAGCTGGGAGCCTGGCCCAGGAGATACTCCAGAAACATAGGAGACCACTCGGGAACATTTGCATCCACGGCTATGACTGCTCCCTGCTCATCAGGCATCGGGCACAATGTGGCTGCCCGAGTAGACCTAAGGCCTGCTTTCCAACAAGGACGAGCTTGGTCCTCTTTCCAGTACACCAAGATGGGTTCCCCTTTCACCTCCCTCCCCAGCCTGGTTTCTTTAAACAGCAGGAAGCCCGGCACAATCACAACTGTGTCTCCTCTGAATGAACCCATCAGCCAGGGACGCCTTCATGGTCCAAGCTCAACCTCTAGTGGACACACGGTTACATGACGGCAAAGCCATCTAGAGCACATGTCGGGTGGGGCTTGTTCTGGTCCCCCAGCTGGGAAGGCCACCTGATCTCTCCACTCAGGTTTATCTGGCAGGCATCAAAGAGGCATCTTCTGAAATTTTATCCCGTGGCATTTGAGCCTTCAAAAGTTCAGGGGAACTTACTGTGAACATCTATTATTCTGTGAGGATGCCATCTGTCATATCTGAATCATGTTTTAATAAATCAAGAAAGCATTCAGTGTCTCTCAAGGCCCTTTTTCTATAAGGACCCATACAATACAGTTCTGGTTGCATTGCATTTTAGCAACAAAACAGCCCTCCCAAAGTGACAAGCTCTGTGCTGGATAATCTCTGTTCTGTTTGGTTTTGTCTGAAAACATCTTCTTTTGATGAGAGTTTTAATAAAGCCCCTCAAGTCCTCTGAGAGGTGAAGAGGACCCTATCCCCAGCCCCCAACTCCAGTTTCCCTGTCATAGCCCCTTCTGGAGAGAGAGAGAGAGAGAGAGACAGACAGACAGACAGACACAGAGATCTTTCATCTGCCAGTTCACTCCTCAAATGGCTGTAACAGCTGGGGCTGGACCAGGCCAAAGCTAGGAACCAGGAGCTTCATCTAGGTCTCCCACATGGGTAGCAGTGGCTTGAGAACTCAGACCATCTTTCACTGCCTTTCCAGGCACACCAGCGGGGAGCTGGATAGGAAACAGAGCACCTGAGACTTGAACTGGCGCCCATATGGATGCCAACATTGCAGGCAATAGCTTAAACCATTACGCCACAACGGTGGCCTCTGTTCTCTCACTTTCTCTCCTTCCTTTGTTCACCCATCTTCACGCCCAGGTCTCAGTCATCTTTAATTCCCTCTCACAACTTTTTCAGGAGATGCAAACTCCAGCAAACTAAGCTTCGAGACCACAGGCAGAAGCTGTGACCAGAGATGGAGGACAGAAGCTGGAACTGGGAGGCCCTGGGAACAAGGACAAGTCTTTCTCCCCTGCACGGATCCCAGGCTTGAAGACGTGGGGGCGGTGGTGCATAAAGGGGGTGACCAGCAGCGGGAGGGGAGCTTTTGCTTCTTACCATTTCCTGAGCCGTCACTGCAATGGCTTTGGAGTATTTGACCACAGTTGTCTGATAGTCGACAAATGTTCCCTTTGGTTCGGGAGGAGTGCCTTCGTCAAGCTGTTGGAAAGAGAAAAAGAACCAAAAATCAGAAGCTGCCTTTCCAAGCATGAACTGTATTTACAGAATTAGGAACCTCAAAGAACGAGAGGCCCAAAGGCAAAAGAACCTTTCAACGCCTGCAGTAAGGACTGCGACAGAGGATCAGGCTGGGGCTACACAGCCTGGGACACAACTTTCCCTGAACCATCAACACAGACTCTACGCTAGTCTGTTTCTTCAGCAGGCATTTGGATGCTGCTGAAGACCCCCATCATGGGATGGGGCCCTGCTATGAAGTGAGGACTGTGCTGTGGACACGCTCCATCAGTGCAGACTGGGCACCTGCTGGGTGTCGGGCAGTACAGTGTGCCAGGACCAGTCCAGGAGAAGCAACATTATGGCCAACCTGGGGGAGTGCGGGAGCAAGGGGGTGCTTGGAACACTTAGCCACAGGCCCCCACCACAGTCCTTTAACCAGTTTGGAGAAAATGTGAAAAACACAGTGGTGAGTTCTTCAGGATTTCAAACTTATTTAGCTGAAAGATTTTCTTTTATTCTGAGATGATAACTCCTCCCTCCTACTTTCTTTGATATTAATGTGCCCTTTATTTCATGATATAGTAGGGGTACAGGACATAGGGTTTTGTTCATTTTATCTCTTTAATTTTTTTCCTTGGACCACAAGGAAAAAAAAATAAGGCCCAGATGAAAACAAATATGACTGCAACATGAAATCCCAAGACGCTGGGTAAAGGGGGAATGAGGAAGAGGTGACGGTGATGCCCTGGACTTCTGGTCGGGCAGGTGAGGGTGAAAGCCAGCAGTGGAAGTCCAACTGCACACTCCACGGAACAACCAAGGAAGAGAAACCCTTCATCCAGGCCTCTGTGGCTTGTGTCCTCAGCAGTTCCTGATTATTGCTATCACACAATACCACACTTTGTCCCCAGCCCTTCCAGAAAGATCCAGTGTGTTCTGGACTGAGTGAGCAGCAGTTACACCATGGACATCAGATGGGACAAGAACTACTTTCCTTTTTTTTTTTTTTTAAATTTATTCATTTGAAAGTCAGATTTACAGAGTAGAAGAGACAGACACAGAGGAGGAGAGAGGGAGAGGAAAGGAAGGAGGGAGGGAGGGAGGGAGAGATGGAGAGAGAGAGAGATCTCCCATCTGCTGTTCTACTCTCCAAATGGCCACAACGACAGGGGCTGGGCTAGGCCAAAGGCAGGAGGCAGGAGTTTCCTCCAGGTCTCCCGAGGGTGAAGCACTTGGTCTATCTTTCACTGATTTCCTAGGCACACAGCAGGGACTTGGACCAGAAGTGGAACAGCCGGGTCTCAACAGGGATGCTGGTGTTGCAGGTGGCAGCTTTACCTGCTACGCCACAACACCGGACCAAGAGCTGCTTTCCTTGACTATAGCCCATCACAGTCCTTAAGGCTCAGGACCATCAACCAAAAACTTCAGGACCTGACTTTCATTTTCCAGGAATTTATGGACTATTTCCCTATCATTAGAGTGATTTGGAAAAATACGTTCTCCAAAGAACACAAAGATTACCAGTAGAGTTTCAAATCTCTGTTCTTTAGTGTCTGTGGTAGACACATGACTTCTTTTCTTTTTTTATTTTTCTTTTTTATTTTTTTGACAGGCAGAGAGGACAGTGAGAGAGACAGACAGAGAGAAAGGTCTTCCTTTTTCTGTGGTTCACCCCCCAAGTGGTTGCTACGGCCAGTGCATTGCGGCCAGCACGCTGCACCCGATCTGAAGCCAGCAGCCAGGTGCTTCCTCCTGGTCTCCCATGCGGGTGCAGGGCCCAAGGACCTGGGCCATCCTCCACTGCCTTCCTGGGCCACAGCAGAGAGCTGGACTGGAAGAGGAGCAACCGGGACAGAATCCGGTGCCCCAACCGGGACTAGAACCTGGGGTGCCGGCGCAGCAGGTGGAGGATTAGCCTAGTGAGCCACAGTGCCGGCCACATGGCTTATTTTCAAAGCTCTGTTGTTCTGAAGTCCCCCAAACAAATCCACCGGGACTTACCCAAGGGCCTTGAGAAAAGGGGAAAATCATTCATTTTATGCCAAACTATCCACATTTGGAGCCTAAGAAGCCCACAGCCTAAATTAAGGGATGCTTTGACAAAGTGGAGCCTGGGCTGTCTAACAGGAGGCCAGGGCATTCCAGCTCCAGCTTGTTCCTTCATTAGTCTGATGATAACTACATGATGAGAAAGGAGAATTATTCTAATTAGTTTCAAGACCTCCTTTCTTCATGGAGATCTGAACAAGCAGTCTTCTCCAAATCAGCAATTAAAAGCCACTTACTAACTCCCAAAACCACATTAACACACTCATAATCTGACAGTGGACAGTTCCAAATACAGATGACGTCTATCATTCTCGGCTACACTATCAGGAGGCAGTAATTAGATGTCAATGATCGATGGTTCATTCTAAAGACTGTCAAGCTGATGTGACTGGGGACAGACGTCTCGGGGGAAGAGCAGGAGACAAGGAGATGGAACTGTGTGCAGTCTCATCTGCCTACTGACCCATCTCGACAACGGTTACTGGGTGGCGGGCAGTACTCATGCTATCCTCTACGTCTACTCCTGCCAGAGTTCACTAAGGGCTTCTATCCACTCTCTCTCAGTGGCTTCTGTGTTTGGCTCGCTACCAGAACCATGAGTATACTTAGCAAGTACTGAGATTTTTAGGCTCCATTCCAGGGAGCTTCTGACCAAGCAGGTCAGGCGTAGAAGGCCAGGACTCTGCATTCTAAAAGCTTCCCACGATTCCCAAGGCCAGCACTTGGGATTTCCTGCATTACTTCATTACAATAAGTCTATGAAGTAGACAGGAGAGATAAATAATCACGTCCATTTTACAAACTAGGAAACCAATGATATCAAATACGGCTCCATTATTCCTGCATGCACAACCAGAAGGAGGTTGGCAAGTGGCTTCTAAGAGCAATGGCTCATCAAGAATGAGCGACGCACTGGACATGTGAGTGGACATCTGTACGCTGACTGGAATGCCCAGGGCAAGGAGAGCCCTGCTGGGATGGGCCTTGGCTGCCGGTCAGCGCCTGAGAGTGGGGAGCAGATGGGCAGCAGTGGAGGAGTCTGGGAGCTCACGCCTACCTTGCTCATGGCTTCTGCGATGGCGTCCACCATGCCTCCTACCAGCCCCACTTCACTGGCAGCTTCATTCAGCGTCACCATGATGTCGTCCACGGCTTCCTTCATCAGCTGGGCGGCCTCTGTGATGGCGTCGTGGGTGTGCTGTGCCTAAGGCGGGGATATTGTGAAACACTTCCTCGGGCAGGAAGAAATGGTGCCCAGTCTTTCGAGAACTGTTTTGCTGAAGAACAAACTTAAAAAGCCGAGTGCAACACTATCTCCATGACAGAACACAGCAACAACAGTTTCCCCTTTCCCTGATTTTGTTTGAACATTTGATTGCAACAAATAAAAATCAGAAAACAAGACCCCTTTTTACAATGGAGAGGAAAAATAAAACTTTAATATCAAAGAGTGTCTTTTTTTTTTTTTTGGACAGGCAGAGCTGGACAGTGAGAGAGAGAGAGAGACAGAGAGAAAGGTCTTCCTTCCGTTGGGCCAGCCCCCAAATGGCTGCTATGGCCAGCGCGCTGTGCTGATCCGAAGCCAGGAGCCAGGTGCTTCCTCCTGGTCTCCCATGCGGGTGCAGGGCCCAAGGACTTGGGCCATCCTCCACTGCACTCCCAGGCCACCGCAGAGAGCTGGACTGGAAGAGGGGCAACCGGGACAGAACCGTTGCCCCAACCAGGACTAGAACCCGGTGTGCCGGTGCCGCAGGTGGAGGCCAAAGAGTGTCTTATGACATGACTAACATATTTTACCACGTTCAGGTAGTGGGAACAGAATGCCACAGGTTCTTAAATACAACACTTGACACATTTAATGAAAAAACCCATTAATGTTATCTTTAAAGACCCCTTCTCATAAAGATAAAATGTATTCTAACAAATGTAGATCTCTTCAGAGTTGCCCAGTAAGGTGTAATTCCGTGCCTGTAAATGGATGGGATTATGAGAATGTGAGCACACACAAGAGAAATCAACTTGCAGAAGAACCCAAAGTCTCTTCAACTATGCAAAAAATGGTCTTATTTGAGGCTGGAGAAATAGGAGAATAAGGAAAATTCCTCAAGGGCAAACGCTCTAGGCAAAGCCCCTGCAGCCCACATGTTCCTTTAACTGTACCTTAGAGATGTGTTTTAAGAACAGCAAGTGGGGCTGGCATCGTGGCACAGAGGGTTACACTACTACCTGTGATGCCAGCATCCCATATGGGTACTGGGTCAAGTCCCAGCTGCTCTGCTTCTGATCCAGCTCCCTGCTAAAGCACTGGGAAGATGGCCCAAGTCTCTGGGTCCCTGCTACCCATGTGGGAGACACGGAAGGAGCTGCAGGCTCCTGGCTTCAGCCTGGCCCAGTCCAGCTCTTAGGATCATTTGAGAAATAAATCAGTAGATGGAAGATCTCTCTCTGTCACTCCATTTCTCTCTTGCTTTGCCTTTCAAATAAATTAAATATATCTTAGGAAAGAAGAACTGTAGGTGTTTCACACATGCGTGATGCACTGAGCAGGGGCTGTGTAAATGAATGGAAAAAATGATGGCAAAACCCTAGTGCTGAGCTCCCTGAGATACCTCCAGCAGCAGTAAGACAAAGAGCCACGGGGTGGTCAGACAAATTTGGGATCTAGTTCTTTTTTTGTTTTGTTTCTAAGATTTATTTATTTATTTGAAAGTCAGAGTTACAGGGTTGAGGGGAAGAGAGAGAGAGAGAGAGACAGATCTTCCACCTGCTGGTTCACTACTCAGATGGCTCCAATGGCCAAGGCTAGGCCAGGCTGAAGCCAGAAGCCTCATCTGGGTCTCCCACGTTGGGGGCAGTGGCCAAGGTACTTGGGCCATCTTCTCCTGCTTTTCACAGGCCACCATCAGGGAGCTGGATCGAAAGTAAAGCAGTTGGGATATGAACTGGCATCTAGATGGAATGCAAGTGTCACAGGTAGAGGCTTTACCTACTATGCCACAGCCCCTGGATTCCAGGTCTGGTCCCACCACTAACTACATAAGTGGTCCTGGACTTGGCTTCCTCCCAAGTGAAATGGAATAATTTTTAACAATGCTCTGAGGTGAAATTCTGAGCTGAAGAAATGGGTGCAGGTGCCTTCTTTTAATAAAGGCCGTCTGGAAGGTGGCTGTCCCTTGCCCTGTACATGTGACCTAATGACAGGTGGTTCACAGCACCCAGGTGTCAGGTCTGCCCACAGAGTGGTTAGCACAGCCTTGGCCCCCTGGGAGGAGACACTGCATCTTTACTTTGGTAGATAAGAGAGTCGGGGAAGTCACTGGGAAATGGTAATTAACTTCTTAAGGTGATTTATTTATTTGAAAGAAAGAGTAACAGAGATATGGGGAGAAAGAGAAAGAGAGAAGGGGGGAGAGGGAGGGAGAGAAAGAAGGAAGGAAGGAGGAGGGAAAGAGAGAGAGAGAAAGAGAGAAGGGGGAGAATTGATCTTCCATATGCTGGTTTACTCTCTATATGTCCTTAACAGCTGGGGCTGGGCCAGGCTGAAGCCAGGAACTCCATCCAGATCTCCCACGTGGGTAGCAGGGACCCAAGTACTGGGGCCATTTTCTGTTGCCTCCCAGGTGCATTAGCATGGAGCTGACTGAGCGCAGAGCAGCCGGGATTTGAAGCAGGCCCCCTGATACCGGATGTGGGCATTCCAAGTGTTGGCTTATAAGCTGCACCATAAGGCCTGACCCATGAGTGATTCTTTACATAAAAGAGAATTCCAAGAAGAGGCTGTGCGAGTCAGAGGAGCTGGCCCTTTCTGAGTTGAAAAGCCATGGGAAGTAGGAAGAGTTCCTTAAATACAGGATCTGATGAGACATGAAAAGTGTTGGTGATGGGTGTTTATCCTGGAGGCAGCTCTGTCAGGATTGCATGGATCTGTGTCTTCCAGATGCAATGAAGCAAACTGGTCATTAAGCTTGATGGCTGATCTCACAGCACAGAGGGCGGAAGACACAAGGTGCGCACTGCTTCCTTCTGATGACAGACACCTGCAAGGTGTTCTCTCCTACACATGACCTCAAGGGAGGGCATGCCACTCAAATACATCCTCTCTGCAGAGGTGAAATGGAAGGTGTGGTTCCCCAGGTCTGGCGACACCGACAAGCCAGCCATCCCACATCATGCTAAAACGAGGCACATGTTTTAGGGGGAGACGAGTGCGACGTGCCAAGGATCTGTTCTTTTACACGGGCTCAGGAAAGCATTGGAAGCCAATTTTGGGGGCACAAAACTGCTCTGTGAACTGCTTGGGAAATTTTAAGGATATCTGCCGTGTACTGGGTCACTGAAACTTACAAAAGCATACCCCTTGGGGCCAGCGCTGTGGCACAGCGGGTTAACGCCCTGGCCTGAAGCACCGGCATCCATATGGGTGCCGGTTTGAGACCCGGATGCTCCACTTCCGATCCAGCTCTCTGCTATGGCCTGGGAAAGCAGCAGAAGATGGCCCAAGTCCTTGGGCCCCTGCACCCATGTGGGAGACCAGGAAGAAGTTCCTGGCTCTGGATTGGCGCAGCTCCGGCAGTTGCAGCCAATTAGGGAGTGAACCATCGGACAGAAGACCTCTCTCTCTGACTCTCCTCTCTCTGTGTAACTCTGACTTTTGAATAAATAAATAAATCTTAAAAAAAAAAAAAAAGCATACCCTTGCTGTTGCCTATCCAGGTCTAGAGGAATTCTCTAGAAGGCCTGCTCTCCTGCACACATTTCAGGTTTACAGACTCCTACAGGATTCTTCTACAAAGCTGCTTCCCATTGCTCAGGCCTCATCCAAGCCTTTTCTTCTTAGCTTCAAGTTCCAGCTTTAACAGAAGCATCCCGAATCCTGCACACCTGCTACCTGAGCACTACGGCTTCAGAAACCCACAGACACAGTGGAACCTCAATGAAGGCATATTTAAATAACCAAGAGCAGTCTACCAAGTGGAGACGGCAGGCTCAACCACCAGGTTCTTTTTGATTCTGGAGGGGTTCCTTGTTCCCGGTGCAAATGGCACAACACACGAGAACAATCAGATTCCGTTCATTCTGGACACATCTCAAGTCTGCCACCCAGGAGGCTGTGTTTCTTTATTACAGGGCTACAGCCACACAGCCCAGGTGGCAGGCACAGATGTCACAGGAAGATGGAAAAGGCTATGGGCAGTGGTGGGGTGGGGGACAGGGGGATGGGGGCAGAGGTTTCAGTTTTAGTGAAGGGGAAAGCCCATCCACATTTAGAAATGCCCAACAATGGAGAGACAGGGCTGGGGGTTTTGCTCCAGTGGCACAGACAGAAGGTGTTGGAATCCAGCAAGGATGCTGAAGGTAAGCAGGTGCATCAGGCCAAGTGCAGGACAGAGTTCAAGGTGTGAGGCAGAGATCACACACCAAGCGCCTTTACCATGAGCCTCAGGCCCTGGGGCTGCTGCTCCTCTCTTTCTTCTTCTTCTTCTTTTTTTTTTTTTTTAAAGAAAACCATCCATGACATCAGCTGTATTACCTCATTTCCTCTCTTCAGTTATGCTAGGGAGTCCCTCCTAATTAACCCCAGTGTCCAGGTAAGAAAACAGAAAGATGAAGCAATCCAGCAAGAGGCAGAGCTGGAATCTGGAACTAATTATGTCTGACCCCAAAAGCTGGTGCTATGTTTCTCCAAATAAAAGCTACGGATAAACTACCTAAAATTTTAATCTCATGACCTCCACCAACAGGGATATACAACACCTAACACCCAGCACATAAAGCCTAGCGAACAGATGCCCACAGAGTAGCAGCCAAGGTGAGTAAGTCCGTGCTTCGGGACTCTCAGGAAAGGATGCATAGAAGCAAACCTGAAGCATCGCAGGCATCTCTGGGGACAAGCCCGCCAGTGTCTGCAGTGAGGCCTCAGGTTGAACGATCCCAGAGAGGCAACAGGAGTGATCACGCATCACATCTCCCCTGCATCAGCCCGGGTTTCTTGTCATTCACTACACACCGTTTCACATGGGCTGCAAACCACTCCAGATGTCCTCACAAAGCTTTTGGGGCAGACAATGTCTGCTCCCAGAGATGAGGTGCCCTGGGAGCTCTGAACCTCCATGCAGATATGCTAACATCCTACAATCAAGACAACTCCCACTTCCAACTCTCACACTGGTGCTGAGCCCCTCTCCGAGAGGGAGGAAACAGGTGGTCCCCAGTCTAGAAGAGACAGCCTAGACTGTGAGAGAAGGGCGAGCTCTGGTTCTGCTCTGGGGAGCTTCAAGGGCGCTGGTTCACGCAGGGCATCTACCGTTCGCTGGGCTCCCACAGTCATGACAGCACGCTCTGTTCTTGTTCTACCCCAGCACTTCAGCAACTACTGATTTTTCCCCACGTCTCTGAACAACTTGTGGGCCAGTGGCTGGCTCTTAAAACTTTTATTATCCCCGGAATTAGGGCCCTAGTAACTTCCAGACTTGTGATTGAAAACTTGAACATAACAAATCTAAGTCCAAGACATCGCTTACATTGCTGGCAGTTTGGTGCTTCTAAACTATGGAAAGATTGTGTCATTCTTCTGCTTAAAGACAGCCAAGGGCTCCCTAGAGCGTACAGTAGAGGCCAAATGCCTTCGCACAGAAGCTGCCACCTGTCAAAACACAGCCCAGTGTGTCCTCTCATCTGGTCATCCCCACAGTCCGCGTGTTCCAGATACATCAGAGTGTCTGCCGTTATAATCTTTTTACAGCACTATCCATGCCTCTGCAATAGGCTGTCCCCTCCTCCCAAGTCCCCGAGTTTAAAGCAGAATGTGGCATAAAGTCACATGTGGCATGCTGTCATCAGCTCTGGACACTTAAAGAGCTGGGTGACAGAACAGGCTGAAGAAATGTTCCTTTTGCCTCCGGCCTCAGAATCAGCCCTTACGGCATGCAGATCTGGCTGAAGAGCCCATAAGAGTATTTTAGGCATGGAAAGCCAAGACACTCTGGCAAAAACAAACAAACACCTAAATGATAGATCTCTGTGAGTCAGATCCCAGTGGAAAGAACAGGCCATCAAAGAAGGAGGTACCTTTCTCTGAAGGGAGAAGAACTTCCACTTTGACTATGACCTTGTCTAAATATGATCAGAGTCAACGAACTCAAAAGGCTTCTATAGCCTTGGCAACTCATGACAAGAGCCTAGGGTGATTACTGACACCATAAACAAGAGTGTCAATTTGTTAAGTCAACAACAGGAGTCACTGTGCACTTACTCCTCATGTAGGATCTCTGTTCTTAATGTGTTGTACATTGTGAATTAATGCTATAACTAGTACTCAAACAGTATTTTACACTTTGTGTATCAGTGTGGGTGCAAACTGTTGAAATCTTTACTTAATATATACTAAATTGATCTTCTGTATATAAAGATAATTGAAAATGAATCTTGATGTGAATGGAATGGGAGAGGGAGTGGGAGATGGCAGGGTTGCGGGTGGGAGGGAAGTTATGGGGGGAAAAGCCATTGTAATCCATAAACTGTACTTTGGAAATTTATATTTATTAAATGAAAGTTAAAAAAATAAATAAAAAAAGAAATGTTCCTTTTGCAATTGGAAAGGGAGACTTTCATATTTAATTACTGTTCCGGAAGTAGCAGTAAAAGAAATGACCTTCACTGGAAAACAACAGAGCTCTCCTTTGTGTATGCTAGGTGTCAACAATGAACAGATACCCAGTAAGAACTACGGATTTTATTCCTTTAATAATCACACCTTACACATTTCTTCCCCAAGGACACACGTCTTCACACTATGTCAAGGAGAAACATACTTTATAAGTAAGCTCTCGTTAAGCATCTTTCCTGGTTCTCACCCTGCAATTTTCTGGAAAGGTCAACAGAAGGGTACTTCTTCTCACCTTAGAGTGGGAAATCAAATCCCACCAAGTGAGAGCGGGAGGCAGTTCCCCCTGCAGGATCGCAGTGCAGGAGGAAAGCAGAATGGTGCTACCCAAGCCCCTGACATCCGGAACCATACCTTGGGGTTCCCGCCTCCTTCTTTGGCCGCGTACAACATCTGCAGGGCAGACTCTGCGAGCGTCTTGGTCTGGTCCAGCACCGTCATCTGCTGCTGATGGTCAAGAATCTTGGAGGCGACACCAACTGCGGCCAAGATCAAGGGCTCGAAGTAGCTCGCCAGCTGCGTCACCTTTCAGGAAGAAAAGCCACAGGTGCATCTCGTGAGTGTCTCCTTAAGAGGCATCCCTGGTGGGGAGAGGGTTGGGGACAAGGACAAGGTGCCTCACAGGGAGAGGCAGATCCGCTGGTTGACTTTGGAAAGCACTTGCTAATTAACAGACTCCTGCTTAGTTTTTGCTTCCTTTGGGAAGTTTTTCATCTCCTTTTTTGCATATGGTAGAGGTGTTAAGGCTTCCACTCTGGGACCCAGAGTTAGAGATGAGAACTTTTAGAAACAAAAAGAATTTTAAAGAACCAATGACAGAAGGGGGAGAAGAGGAGGAACAGGACAGCAAGGGGTTGAGAAACAAGCCTGAGATGGAAGGAACCTTCACAAGCTTCGAAGGAAGCCAATTCAATCGCCTTGTGCTCCAAGCACAGTGGCCAAGACTTGGACTAGAGGAATAAAAAAAAAAAAAAAGCAAAACAATTTCCCATGAGCCTATATGCTTTGTTTATGATCAATTCAACCTGGGGGACGGAAAAGCTTTTCAGGGCAGCCAACCACTGCACCAGGATAGGCCTATTTGCAGGAGGACAATGCCATCTGTACAACAGGTACGGGCACCAAAGGTCACCAGCTACGTGCCACAGGCCATGTCACACACACTCACCAAGTGCATCCCACATGGCAGGCTCTCTGCTGAGTGCTTACCACACATTTTCTCATTCAATTCCCACAACTTTCAGAGGTAGATACAAATGGAGAAACTGAGGCTTAGGTTGAGCTGCTCGGAAAGGAGACAGGAAGCAGGCATGTGACTGCAGGACTGGCTTTCAACGACCGTGCCCCTACCATCTCTGCGATTCCCATTATTACAGATGCCCCTGGCTGAGACGCCTCAATTCAGGCGTTTTCAATTTTCCCAGGGTGGAAGGTGTAGCTATGTAACCGCTCCGGTTTTCACTTGCAGCATAATATTCAACAGACGCAATGAGTTCTTTAAGACTTTATTATAGAGGCTGGTACTGTGACACAGCAGGTTAAATCCCCTGTCTGCAGCGCCGGCATCCCATATGGGTGCTGGTTTGAGTCCTGGCTGCTCCACTTCCGATCCAGTTCTCTGCTATGGCCTGGGAAAGCAGTGGAGGATGGCCCAAGTCCTTGGGTCCCTGCATCCACGTGGGAGATCTGGAAGAAGCTCCTGGCTCCTGGCTTTGGATTGGTGCAGCTTCGGCTGCTGCAGCCATCTGAGGAGTGAACCAGCAAATGGAAGACTCCCGCTCCTGCCTCTGCCTCTCTGTAACTCTGCCTTTCAAATGAATAAGTAAATCTAAAAAAAGACATTATAATAAAATATGCTTTTTGAAGATGACTGTGCCCAACTGCCAACTGTAGGTTAACGCAAGTGCTTTGACCACATAGAATAAGGTATGATATTGCACAGGTCAGGTATATTAGATGTGTTTTTTTTTTTTTAAATTTTTTGACAGGCAGAGTAGACAGTGAGAGAGAGAGAGACAGAGAGAAAGGTCTTCCTTTACCGTTGGTTCACCCTCCAATGGCTGCTGCGGCCAGCGCGCTGCGCTGATCCAAAGCCAGGAGCCAGGTGCTTCTCCTGGTCTCCCATGCAGGTGCAGGGCCCAAGGACTTGGGCCATCCTCCACTGCCTTCCCGGGCCACAGCAAAGAGCTGGCCTGGAAGAGGGGCAACCGGGACAGAATCCGGTGCCCCGACCGGGATTAGAACCCGGTGTGCCGGCGCTGCAAGGTGGAGGATTAGCCTATCGAGCCGTGGCGCTGGCCTAGATGTGTTTTCAACTCATGATATTTTCCAGCTATGAAAGTTTATCAGAATGTAATCCTGTTATAAGCCGAGGAGCATCTGTAGGCTAGCTCTCCTGCTGTATCAATACTGTGCTTTAGAAGTTTACTGTTTGGTGTTTGTTTATAACTCTGTGAAGAATTTAAAATAAAGTTCCAGAATAATTTGGTAGAACCCTTTATACATAGCATCCAGAATACTCTATTTATAAAAAAAAAAAGCTTTAAAACTTTAATTTCAGAAATAAAAAGACAGATTTAGAGACAGGGCAGAAAGAGACAGCGCTCCCATTTTCTGGCTCATACTTCAAACACCTTCAACAGTGAAGACTGCGCTGGGCCACAGACAGAGCTGGAAGCTTGATCCAGGTATCCCATGTGGGTGGCTGGGACCCAGGTACTTGAGCTGTCACCTGCTGCCTCCTAGGAGCTGGAGCCAGGGCTTGGACCTAGGCAGGCGACTCCAACCCGTAGAGGATGTAGGTGTCTGGACTAGTGGCTCCACCACCCTGCCAAATGCCTACGCCCAGAATATCAACATCCTACTCCAACACTTTCTGTGTTCACTTCATAAGTCATAATCTACTCCCACTCTGATAAAGCACAATGTCACAAGCTGCAATTTCTTGTTCAGCACCTCATTCTGGTGGCAGTGACAAACTGCCACATTCTTCCCATCAAGTGGATTTAAGTTCAGACCTTGAGCCAGCAATTTGCTCACTGCTTCTTTCTAACATATGGGAGGAAAATGAGTGCTGAGCAGAGGCAGGCAGCAGGTCCACGCCACAGAGCAGTCAATGGGGCAGAAACAAAGCCAGGCCAGGGGGATCATGAGGGTGATTGCGGTGAGGAAGGCAAGGTGCGTGAGGAGGAGTGTGGTGAGGAAGGCAAGTGTGTGAGGAGGAGTCCAAGCTCCTTAGAGCTGACAGTGAGAAAGACTAGCATGAGCACTTTGCACAGCTTTATCTGGTTACCTCCATTATGGTTACCTTTTTTTTTTTTTTAAGATTTATCTATCTATCTATCTATCTATCTATTTATAAGGCAGAGTTATAGGGAGAGAAGAGAGGGAGAGAAGAAGGGAGGAAGGGAGAGAGGAAAGAAGGGAGGGAGGGAGAGAGAGAGAGGGAGGGGGAGGGAGGGAGGGAGGGAGAGAGAGAGAGAGAGAGAGAGAGAGAGAGATATCTTTTATCTGCTGGTTCATTTCCCAAAGGGCTGCAACAACCAGGCTGCAGCCAGGAGCCTGGAACTTCATCTGGGTCTCCTATGTGGGTGAAGGGGGCCCAAAACTTGGGCCATGTTCCACTGCTTTTCTCAGGTGCATTAGCAGGGATCTGGATCAGAAGTAGAGCAGCCAGGACTTGAACCAGAGCCTGTAAGAGATGCCAGCATTGCAAGTGGTAGCTTAACCTGCTATACAACAACACGGGCCCCCATTATGGTTATCTTACAGATGAATTTTAAAACGCTGGAGCAGGGCTACTATAGGCTTCTGTGTGAAATTTATTTACTTATTTTTAAAGGTTTATTTATTTATTTGAGAGGTAGAGTTACAGACAGAGAGAGGGAGAGACAGACAGAGAGAGAGAGATTAGTTCACTCCCCAAATGGCAGCAATGGCAGGAACTGGGATGATCTAAAGCCAGGAGCTTCTTCTGGGTCTTCCACATGGGTACAGGGGCCCAAGCACTTGGGCCATCCTCTGACGCCTTCCCAAGCCACCAGCAGAGAGCAGGGTGGGACGTGGAGCAGCTGGGACTAGAATTGGTGCCCATATGGGATGCTGGCACTGCAGGCAGAGGCTTTACCTACTATACCACAGGGCCAGCCCCCCTTCTAAGAGTTAGCACAGAGTTAAACAATAGAGCATTGTGAGTGTTTGCTGCCCAATGCCGATGCATTGGGTCTAGGGAGGCACCATGAATGGTGGCCCCCAGAAAATCCACGTCCAAATCCCTGGAACCTGTACACATGACCTTATGAGGAAAAGAGGTCTTTGCAGGTACATTTGAGTGAGAATCTTGAGATAAGGTTATTCCGAATTAAAGGGTAAGTCTTAAAGCCAGTCAAAAGCATCCACATGAGAAACAGAAGAGGGGATATCCAGGAGACAAGGTGTTCAGGGAGACAGCGGGAAAAGGCAGAGAACCGATGCCTGGAGTCTGCTCTGTCGCCTCCAGGGGGAGCCTGGCGCGCCCAGCACCCTGACTGTGGACTTCAGGCATCAGAGCTGTGAGGGAACGCATCTGTTCTTTTCAGACGCCCACTTTGTAATACTTTGTTACAGCAGCCACAGAGGTGTGCAGGTGGGGCCTGGGCACATGCATTTCCCATCATCTCCAGGTGAGGCTGGGCTGGGGCCTGTGCTGCAAGGAGGCAGGGGAAGCAGTGTGGCGATTCATACTCAGTCCCGGCCCTGGGTACAGCAGGCTCATCGCTCAGTTTCTCTGACTTTTCTTTTGGAAGGTGGGAGGCTGATTTAGCCAGAGGGCCCAGAGTCAATTTCTAAGTCAAGGGACGTAAAGATCCTGGTTTTCTCTTGATGTTACCCATGAACGTCAGAGTCATGCTTTGTGCTAAGCAAGTGCCCGCAGAGACAGGAGCACTGACCCCAGAGATGGCCAGGACACGTTCCTACGAGACTTGGAATCAAAAGCAACTGCTCAAATGTGGTCTGGCTTCTCTGCCAAACTCAGTTTCTCCACGATGGGCAAAAAGGCCCCATCCTCCAGGCCTGTGCCTCTCCCACTTCTCAAACCTCTTTATATGCAGGCAGACAAAACCTTGTCTTTAAAAATTTTTAAAATATATTTTGTTTGTTTGAAAGACACATACCCACCCACCCCTACACACACACACACACACACACACACACACATAGATTTCTCACCTGCTGGTTCACTCCACAAGTGCCCACAATCACTGGGGCAGGGCCAAGCTAAAGCCACAAGCTGGAAACTTAATGTGAGTCTCCCACATGGGTGGCAAGAACTCCAGTATTTCAGTTATTGCCTACTGCCTCCCAGGGCACACATTAGCAGGAAGCCGGAGGCGGCAGCAAAGCCGGGACTGGAATCTAGGCAATCTGATACGGTGTGTGGGCATCCTAAGGGGCAGCTTCATTGCTGCATCCAATGTTTGCTCCTGTTTTCTAATTATAAAGGAACTCAGTTGAAAAATAAAATTTTGCACATATGAAAAGGCAGATACACACTGGCCACGTTCAGTCTTCAAAACCCCTCCTCAGAACCAGCAGGAAGCTCAGCAGTGCTGGAGCTTTTCTGTAATCTGAAGAAGCAAGAACATTGATTTTGTAAAATCAATACCTGCGGAGAGGACTCTGGCTACCGTCTTTCTCGATATGCACACCGATGCTGGCAGCTGCACTGGTAACTACCGGGAAACCCTGGTGGCTTTTAAAATGCACTTGGTGGCCTCTCCCTCTGGAGGCACAGGCTGTATGAGAATCCAGCTCTCCTGGAAGGATTTTCAAAGTGAACCCCAAGAGTCAAGAAATCATCTGGTGGGGGCTCGTGCTGTGGTGTAGTAGGCTAAGCCTCTGCCCGCGGTGCCAGTTTGAGTCCTGGCTGCTCCTCTTCCAATCTGGCTCTCTGCTATGGCCTGGGAAAGCAGTGGAATACGGCCCAAGTGCTCGGGCCCCTGCACTGACATGGGAGACCTAGAAGAAGCTCCTGGCTTCTGATTGACCCAGCTTCTGCTGTTGCTGCCATCTGGGGAGTGAGTGAACCAGCGGATGGAAGACCTCTCTGTCTATCCTCTCTGTAACTCAGTCTCTCAAATAAATAAACCTTTAAAAAAAAAAAAAAAACAGCTGGCACCTCCAACAACGTGGGATGGACCTCAGAGAAACGACTCCTTTGGAGTGACTATGGTGGGTGGAGCAGCCAAGTCTGCAAGTTCACCTGCTCCTAAATACACTGTGTAAGAAACCACAGGACAATGCACCCTTTGACACAAAGGAAGGGGGCTGGCCGGTCAGCCAGCCAGCAAAGAAAGGTGGAAGACTCCAGGCAGGGACTGTCAGTTTCAGGTACCATCTTCTTTCAGCCAAGGTCAAGAGCAGCTGATGACTCTAAAGTTCCTGTTACCCAAAGGGTCGGACCCACAGCCCGAGAAATTTTACTACTGCTTCATCTCGAGCCTAGGGGAAGTCAGAACCTTAAGTGATCATCTTTGGAGAAATGGCCAGAGGGAGCTGAGTGCCATCTTCTGCAGCTTGAGCCAGCCCTGACCTGGGCATAGCCATCTTTCAGGACTAACAACAACAAAATAGGGAGATACCTCTGTCTCACGCACACGCGCGCGCACACACACACACACACACACACAGAGGCTCTCAGCAGCAACCCCTAGGTGCCCATTACCTTATGTCCCAGCTGAGCTGCCTCTCCCCGAGCCGCTGTGGCAATGGGATCGATGAGGTGCCCGATTTCCTGGACCACCGACGTCAGCTGTTCCTGCAAGGCCTGAGAAGGAGAGAATGGTCAAGTTCATCTGACACCAGCTCCCCACAAAGCCGCCCTGATTTCAAAAGGCCCGTGGGCAAGATGAGGGAGGCCACGCGGACCAGCCACCAGTGGCTGGATGCACACCACTGAGTGGCTGCTCCGTGCCTTTCTCGGTGATGCCCAGACTCCCCTCCCCGAGCTGGACTCCTCTATCACTCCTCCCAGGAGACACGAGGCGAGCCCCAGAAATGCTTTTCCTGCTGGCTCCTGGCTGCTGCCCACCCTGCCAACTGAGGCTCCTGGCATCTTTCCCTGGAGCTATTCAGCACAGTTACTGGAAACGTGGAGCAGCCATGGCTTTCCAAGAAGGAAAGACAACTCGGTCCAAATGCAGGCACATAACTGGGGTCTGAGGAACATCCAGGCTGCTGTGTTCTCAGAACTTAAGGTGAGGGGAAAGGAGGGTGACTTAAAAATGAGATCAGTCTCTGAAGGCAGGACTGCTTCCCCAGGGGAGACGCCTACTGAGCTCAGCTCAGACACCTGTGCGTTGCACCTGGTGGTATGCATACCAATACTGAAAACAACACCCTTAAGGCACTGCTTCTCAGATCTGCGAGATGTCAACTTCTCCACCCCAAAGACATGAACTCACTATGTAAGACAAAAGGCAAGAGAGGTAGACTCTGCTGGGAGGATGAGGGGATCAAGACTATGAACCAGTAGTGGGACAGATCCCATCCCTCTGTAGGAATCTTCTTAGGAGCTTTGCTCGACAGACTCGGGACTGGCACACCCCAGCACAGGACACTGGAGGTCTGCACACACCAGGGTGGAAGTAGGAGACTCCCGACAAAGCAACAATGTCCTACTCATCAGAACTGAGAATCTAACCCTGGCTCCTTCCCCAGAAAACAACACTGCATGTGGGCTGCAGATCTCTGGGCAGAGGTTACTCAATGACAGGAATGTATGAATATGCAAACTTAAAAATAAAGACTAGGAAAAGAAAAGCAGAAAGAGTGAGAGAGAGAGAGATGGGGGTAGACAGAAATTTCCAAACAGTCTGACAATATCATTTAGTTCATGACTTGTTATTTTCACATTCATTCATAGTGTGATTACAGTCAAGCACGCAAGACTATTCTAGCAGGGTTGTTTTATTATGGATGCTTTGCTAAATTAAGTATGGCAAAATCAGCACAATTAAAGGGGAGGATTCACTTCCCAGTGAGAAATTCAAGAAAGAAGACCCACTTGCTCCTCTCTGCTTGGACTTACGGTAGTGGCAGGGAAGCTAGAGTCTAACAGCGCTGTGAATAAAAGTGAGCATTACCAAATCTGTCCTGTGCAACTGCAGCACATTTAAGAAAAAACTTAACAGTGGTTTTGAGCTTCAACAATAACCACAAAACTGCTAAACCTAACTAAAGAAAGAGATACACTCCACACTATGAGATGCTAACCCTGTTCAACTTCAGAATTGTCCTGTCTACCCAGGGGATGTTTTTTCCGGCTCTTACTATCAACAAGAAGGCTACAGATGTCTAGAGTGACTTGGGACTTAGAATCTTCTTTTTGTCTGTCAGACTGAAGGGAACCCTAAAACTTGGCAAAGAAATAGTCCTGCTCTTTGTTGAAGTTCCTGGAGACAGTGTCCAAAGCTCCTGGGTAATGGATTCATGGGCAGTATGGCAAACATCAGCAACTAGCCCACATACACTCATTAACCACCATCGGGCACCAGGCTCCGTGCTTCAATAGAGGAAGGAGGGTGAACCAAGAGGCTCTGCATAGGTAATAGAAAAAAAAACCCAAGACAGAAGCAGAAAAATTCTATTCCAAACTCTGGAATAGAAAGGACAAAGGGCTCTAAATTAGTAACTGAATGCAAAAGATTAAGTTAGAATTCTTTACTTCTGATTGGACCAAATGCATTATCAGTTTAGTGCCAAGCTTACCCACTGATGAATAGTGCACCGATGACAGCAGAGAAACATTTGAAATTTACATGTGCTGGCTGGCTTACTGAGGTGTTAAACTGCATATGGCAACTGTGCCTTACCCACACACTCTAAATGACCCACATATGGGGAATCTCCCCCATATTTCAGCTACACCCTCATACCAGGTGTATTCCCTCCCTAATCCAGCCTGCTCCATCTGCGCTATCCTTCTAAGACTTTTCCAGGTCGGTCCCCAAAGGAAGGTTGTCCAATAAGCAAACTCCATGATCAGAAACATTTTGGCCCCACACATTCAGCCTCCCTAAGCCTGACACTGAGACTCTTCAGCACTCAGTGCTTCTGAGCCATCCCAGAGCCCCAGTTTACCTCCACAGAGATGTCGTCCCTCGTGGCCAGGCTCTGGCTGACAGCTGCCAGTGAGGCTTGCTCGATGTCCCGGATGCACCGGTTGATGCCATCGATGGAATAGTCGCACTCTCTCTGACCAGGGGCCTTGTCCCTGGAAGGGACAGTGGAAGTCAAACACAGGCTCCACGGGGCTCAAGTCCCACAACCTGCCGCAGCAATGGTGGGCCAGGAGCCCCTGTCCATTTCGCACACCACTCAGTCACCTTATTTAAAGAGTGAATCCCTGATCCTTGCTGGGCCATGCCTGGCTGTGTAGTCCACACATTTCTCCACAGTTGAAATAACTCCATTTACTTCCTGTGCAAAAGACATGGTGCTGCCCTCACCTCATGCTACGCCAGGCAACTGCAAAAAGCAATCTGGACTTGGGTTCTACATCCACTGACTTAAGCCCAGACCCTTATATTTAGAAAAAGGTCAAAGCTATTTGCAGCACAAACTTACTATGTTCTCCATGTTACATAGTAATCACAAAGTCCTGAGTTATGACAGGAGTTAAAAATATTTATATTTGTCTTTGCAAGGCATTAAGAAAAAAGATAATAGCAGTTTTGAGTTTCAAAAATGACCATGAAACGAAACATAACTAAGGGAAGAGGTACATGGCACACTGTGAGATACTAACTTTGGTCAACTTCAGAAAAGTTCCATCTACTCAAGGATGCTTTTTTAGGCTTCTACTGTCACCAAGAAGGTCAGAGACACCTAGAGTTACTGTAAACACTAGAATATTCTTTCTTATAAAGATTTATTTATTTCAAAGGCAGAGAGAGGGACTGCCAAAGTTACAGAGACGACAGACAGACATAGAGGCCTTCCATCTCCTGCTTCACTCCCCAAATGGCCACACAGGCTATGGCTGAGCCAGGCCAAAGTCAGCAGTTTCATCCAGGTCTCCCACATGGGGGCAGGGGCCCAAGGACTTGGGACTATCCTCTGTTTCCTTTCCAGGCATATTAGCAGGGAGCTGGGTTGGAGGTTGAGCAGCCAGTACTTGAACCAGTGCTCATATGGGATGCTGGTGTTACAGGCAGTGGCTTAACCCACCATGCCACAATGCCAGCCCCAAGATCATTCTTTTTGTCTTATTATTAAACTAAAGGAAACCCCGAATCTTGCTAAGTAAATGGTCACTCACGCTCTCTGCCTTAGTTCCTAAGGATACTCAATGCGGTAAAACTGATGGCTTTGTCTAGAGAGAGCCTGAGTATGTCTTGGGGAATGCCATCTAAATCCTTTTGGATGTTTTTTGACAGTAAAATGGAAACAATAGCAGAAAACAAGGTTGTTGTGATGATTAAATAGGCTGTTACAGGTAAAGTGCAGGGCTGTGGTTAAGTGCTTAAATTTTCTGTTACTGTTGTGACCACTGGTCTCAAAGAGATAGAGAGAGACGTGATGAAGATAATGGTCAACAGTGTTACTATTGAATGAAAAGTGCTTATCCCATTTCTATGCAAGCTGGGAGCCATCTCCAGAGGGGAAACTGACCTGATAGACGTGATGAGACTCTTGATGGAGTCGGACACGGTGTGGGAATGTCCAGCGAGCACAGACCAGGTGGGTGGGTCTTTTGGGTTGATGGCCAGAGAGCGGGCGGTGCGGATGAGGTATGAAGAGCTCTCCAGCATGGTCTTGGCTGAGACCAGGATGGGTTCCTGTGCCTGGGAACCCTAAGATCAAACAACAGAGGGGTCACAGGCAGGGTGCACAGACACGAGTGAACGAGTTGGGCACTAGAAAGTCTTCTTCTTTGCCAAGTCACCACCTCTGCCCTTTGGAAGGAGACGCAGAAAGCAGTGAACCGTGGAGTCGGGCTTACACAGAGCCTGGACGGTGGAGAGCTGGATGGACATTCACTCCTCCAGCAGCATTTAAAAGTGTGGCACATTCCAAGAAAGACTCAACTCCAGACCTGTGCACAGAATTCAACATATAAAGCTAGGATACTATCTCCCAAGAAATGTGTGGTTGCTAAGACTCAGAACTCTGTGCCTGCAACATCAATAAGAGGCACGGTAGCCTACATAACGAGAGAGACAGCTTAAACTGTCCATACTCATTCTGCACCCTACAGAGTCAGCCAGGGATGGCGTCTGCTACCATCGCCGCAGAGACTCCCTACCTCCGAGCTGATCTGTGCAGGAACACTGACAAACTCAGGGTTCGAGGCGAACGCCGCCAGGTTCTCCACGGCCTCGATCAACGGTGCGGTGGCAACACGACACTTATTGCGGTTGTCTTCAGAAAAGTCCCCATCCAGGGCCTGCAGGGGAGAAGACGTGGAGACCTCACTGCACCGAGAAGCAGAAATCACCCCGGAACCACATAAGCCTCCTCCTGGTGAAGGAAGGCGGTTCAATGGCAGTACAGGAAAATGGTACATTTATATAAACAATTGGGAAGAAGCAACGGGAGAAATCGCTGCCATCAAGCGGAGGGGCCCTGCTGGCTGCCCTAAGACATGGATGTGTAGCTCATGGGGACTGCAGACTTCCCGGTCAGTACCCACCCCCACTGACTCACAGGACACAGCAGCAGATTCAAACAGTGCCCTGCTCCTCACTCCCTCCAAACCGGTTTTGCTGAACCATTCCTTCCTGGGCTCCCTCTCCTCCAGTTTTATTCAGAGCAGGTCTATGCCCTCCTGAATAATGAAAATGCTTCCCACTGTGTGACACTGTATCTGGACGTCCCTGAATGCATAGAGGTTTGGCTGGTCTGACTGCCATTTTCAAACAAACACGACAGACCCCAGTGGCATGGAGTAGACTAGAATTACTGCCCTCATCACAGGAGTAAATCTTGCACACGTGGTATATATTTAAAAGGCCAGACACAAAACAGTGCCTGCTATACCATTCCATCAGTGTAAAATACAAACACAGGTGGCGCTCCTCTACAGTGTTGAAAATCAGGCCATTCTCTGGAGTAGGGAAGATGACAGGGAGCGCTGGGGGTGGGCAGGTGGGCTTCGAAGTGCTAATTATAAGTACCATTCTGTTTTTTCATTAGCTATGGTTTCCAAGGTATGTTCAGCCTGAAAAACTTAACTGAGCTCTACATATGATTTTTTTTACCTCTATGTATTCTTTTTAAAAAATGATTTATTTTTATTTTATTTATTTGAAAGGCAGACGGGAGAGACAAAGAGAGAAAGATCTTCCATCTACTGGTTCACTCCCCAAATGGCCATGGTGGTCAGGGCTGGGCCAGCAGAAGCCAGAAGCCAAGAACTCTACCTGGGTCTCTTACATGGGTGTCAGTGGTCCAATTACTCAAGCCATCACCTGTTACCTTCCTGGGCACATTAGCACGGAGCTGCATCAGAAGTGGAGCAACCAGGACTCAAACAGATGCTCTTACATGGGATACAGGGGATACAGGTGGCGGCTTAACCCACTGCAGCAGCCCCCTCTATTTATCTAGTGCATCATAATTAAAACAAAATTAGCAGTAGCTAACATTGGCATCAAGTGATGAGCTGTATGGCTGATAAACAGCGGGGATGGATGAGAATCCAGGATTGTGGGCTGTGCTCTGCAATGGCAGGCTTCCTCAGTAAGGGTTAACACTTATTTCCAAGGTTGCTCAACCCGGGGCTCCGCCTCCTGAAGACCAAGACTGTTAGAGTCAACAGCCTGCAGGGACAAGACAGCTACATTTGCATAACACAAACATCCTTGCTAGATGACCAGTTCAGCTTTTAACTTAATCATCATGAGCAATATATAAAAGCCAATTTAGGCAATGAGAGAATGAAAAACTAGAGGCAGTGACCCAGCAAACTGGGTCTGAGATGGGAGCATTTCTGCAAGAGGAGACAAGCATGGTCGGCTTGAAGGCTATTTCTCAATAATAACTACATTCCAATCAAGCCTTGGCAGTGTGGGGTAATAATTACACATCCACAATGCTAAATTTCCAGTGGAATTCTCATGAGCCTGGCTAATTCGTCATCTTTGCTAATGCAGTGCTTGCAATGGCACAGGCCCTTCCCCCACCAGACACGCACTGACCCTACCCTCACCTCTCTGACCCCAACATTCTTCCAGGCCTGATGGAAACCTTACATGCTGCCACTCCTGGCTCCTGGCTCCTGGATACAGCCTCATTTTTTTTAAAGATTTATTTACTTATTTGAAAGGTAGAGAGGGGAGGGAGGGAGGGAGAGAGAGAAAGAGAGAAAGAAAGAGAGGGAGAGGGAGGTCTTTCATCTATCTATCTATCTGTTTACTACCCCAAAAGCCCTCAATACCCAAGGGTTAGGCTAGGCCATGCCAAAGCAAGGAGCTGGGAAGTCCACCCAGGTTTCCTATCTGGATGGCAGGAACTCAAGGACTTGGGCCATTATTGCTGCCTTCCAGGTGCTTGAGCAGAAAGCTGGAGCAGAAGTGTGCAGTAGTTGGGACTCTGCCCCCAAACACCTGCCCCTATACAACCTGATTTCTAACTGCCAATGATTCTTTTAGCAAATGTTGATTCATGCTGCTGGCACTGGTGGTGCACAAGAGACCCAGACTCAGGCCTCCAGTCTCTCTGCACTACTGACATCACTCCTTGACTGGCCCACACCAGGCTGCGGAGCCACGTGGGAATTCCAGAGGGAGGCAGAGTGGTCACCACCTGGCAGGAGCCTGACAAACGTGGTCTAAGCACAGGCGAATGAGTGAAGCAGGCAGACAAGAGAGTTCTCAAGTGAAGGGCACTCACCGCACTCTGCCACTGGCTGGGTGACTTCTGCCAGCCACACCACTTCAGTGGGACAACACAGCTTCCAGCTCCACCGCAGATGTGGAGTTCCCCTTGCCACTTCCCCTCCTCCCTGCCTCTGACCTCTCCCCATTCCTACTGCCCACAACCCTCTCAGTTTTTCAGGGACGAGGGCACTGGAGCAAAAGCCACCAGTTCATCAATGAACTTAAACAGAAAAGGTGACAACCTGGGGTACATCCCAAGCACGCATTCTCTAATTAGGCAGTTTCATAAAGTGCACCAGTAGGTTGAAGAGACTAGGTGTACTTTTTCGAGCACAGTTCCTTAAAAAAAAAAAAAGGTGACATTTCCTGTACCCCAGTGCCATGGCTGGGACAACAGTGAGAATGTCAAGTTATGCTCAGTGCTGTACTCCATTTTCAACCAGAAAGACCTATTTCCTCCCAAAGATGCTTTTGGCATCAGAAAGGATGGTTTGCACAGATACTATTTCACGTCTGAATGCTCCCTCCACGGAGCCAGGCTGAGCCACCCAAACACACGAAATTCTCCAATGTGCCCAAGGGTGAAACTTTCAGCAGGCTCAAAAGTTTCCTGGTGGTCATTCCTTGTTACAGAACGTCCAACAGGCCAGCCATAATGACAGGGGAAATCCACTAAGCCACACAATCCAGCCACCTCAGGACAAGGGTACTCCGGACCCCCGGGCCAGCTCCTCTGAGTACTGTCAGCAAAATCTCACAGTTGAGTGTGCAATAATCAATATTCTTTGGGACCTCGAAGCAACCTTACAGATAATTTAATCCCCATCCCCAACTTTCCAGACAATAAAATCAGCACCTGGAAAGTGTCATGCATTGTCAAGGTCACCCCACCACTTACCAAGACTCCTGGCTTCCCCCTCCTCTCCTACTGACCACAGATGAAGGCAACAAGAATAAGGCGTCAGCATCCTCAGAACAATTTTTTCCTCATTTTTCTTGCAAAGAAACTGACTCTAGCAATGCCAACCCAAAGATGACCAAGAAAACCTACTCACAGCCAAGTCAAACTGGATTACTGAGAGCGGCCTCGGATGTCTGCGGTGCGCACTGGAAGTGCTCCATGGCAGAGCCCTGAGCTCAAACTCCGCCGAGAGGGACAAGGCCAAACTTCAACTTCTCAGAAAAACAAAAGCTGGTGTTGCATAATTTCTGCTTGGCACCCAAACCTGAGTGACTGCACATTTAAAACAACATTCCATTCCATGCATCTGATTCAAGGCTAGGTAATGAGCTGACCCAAGACAGAAATGCTGGCTAATGCACATGTGGTGGTCAGCAGAGTGAGGTCAGCCATGGCTAGGGGCGGTGTCCTTACCCACCTGGAATTTAGAACCATCTCTGAGAGTCAGCGGAGCTCCAAGAGTGTGCTCTTGTTGAGCTGTACTTTGGGGTTTTAAAGGATGCCATCGGTAGAGATTAAGATCATTGGATGCACACTTTGTCTATGGAGGCTGCTCACCTCCCTCCAGGTCATCTGCCTCCCTCCTTTCTGCCTGCACAGGTGTGGCTGCTGGGATTTACACATGGGCGTCTTCGTAAAAAGGAAAAACACTAGGCTAAGAAGTGTGCAGCGGAGAGTAAAATGCAGTGGCGAGGGCAGCTGTCCTAAGTATTGAGGGAATTAAATATTCATTTTTCTGTTTGACAGGATACTCTACCATCCCTTCCAAACAGGAAATCTATTCAGTACATAGCACAGCATGTGCGGTGAAATGACTTTTGTAGCATTTGCTGATTAGCAAATTCAAAACAAAGCTCAGAACTCCTGGTCAATCCTGCCACACAAGGCCAACTGAAAAGCCAGGCACGCAGTGACAAGTTAGGGCCAGCGTGTTGGCTTCTGCCGCTCCTGCATCGCTCCTGATCCCAGGGTGCTCCCGGGAGACGGGCCTTTATCTTCTACACATCGCAGCCACCCTCCATCCTTCCTCTGATGTCTCTGCACAGGCCTATCTTTGAGGCCATCACAAGAGCTCATTTGCTGCAGAGAATTGCAGAGGGTTTGACACTGTGAGCAGAATCTGAAGAGAAAATGAGATCTGAATAGAGATGCTTTATAGAGAAATGGGTCAGGATTTAAAACCAAGCAGGCGGTAGCAAAGAAAGAGCTCCGGGAATGCCTTTGGAATAAACAGCTTCTCCGCCTTTTTCTTCCCTGAGTCCATATCTAAATCTTTAATGAAGAGAAAAGCACTGATGTTAACTGAGCTAAGTGCATGACGCAGCACCAGTGACGTCACTGCTTTCAACTATACCCGCATGGCTCTTCCTCCAAACTGACACACAGGAACCCTCGCAAACGTGGCTGGGTCTTTCTCCCCAGCCTGCAGAGAAGAATCGGCTTCTCTCCCCCAGAATGGAACAGCATGCCAGGCTGATAGCTGGAGCTCTGGGGGCTTGGGTCTGAACTCCTAGCCACCACTTACTGGCTGCGACACCTTAGCAAAATGATTTAACCTCTTTGCACCTCAGTTTCCCACCTGCGAAGCGGGGCTGATGAGCACAGGCTGGCTGTGTCGACTGAATGAGTGATATACACAAAGCCCAGAATCAACACTTTAAGAAGCACAATGTGTTCACAGCTAACACCAAGAAGTACAAAGGCAGCTGCTCCCAGGGTCACGGGCATCTGGTCACTGGCTTCAATGATTTCTTTATTTTCAATCTACTCACTATTGCCTTCAGTCAGGCAGGGTATTTTTTTCCTTATTTCTTCATGTTTTTTGAAGATTTATTCTATTTGAAAAGCAGAGTTACAGTGAGAGAGACGGAGAGGCAGGGGGAGGTAGAGAGAGAGAGAGAGTGAGAGCGAGATAGAATCTTCCACCCACTGGCTGGGACTGGATCAGGCCAAAGCTAGGAGCTTCATCCTGGTCTCCCATGTTGGTGGCAGGGGCCCAAGCACTTGGGCCACCTTCCACTGCTTTCCCAAGACACATTAGAACAGAGCTGCATTGGGGTTGGTGCTGTGGCATAGGGGGTAAAGCAGTCACTTGTGGTGCCAGTACCCGAATGGGCGGCAGTTCAAGACCCGTGGCCTCCACTTCCTATCCAGCTCTCTGCTATGGCCTAGGAAAGCAGTAGAAGATGGCCCAAGTGCTTGGGCCCCTGCACCTGTGTGGACCATCCAGAAGCTCCTGGCTTCAGATTGGCCCTGCTCCGGTCATTGCAGCTATTTGGGGAGTGAACCAGCAGATGGAAGATCTCTCTCTGGCTCTGCCTCTCTGTAACTCTGCCTTTCAAATAAATGAATTAATGTATAAATAAATAAATAAATACTCTTTAAGGGAAAAAAAAAAGGAACAGGATCGGAAGTGGAGCAGCCGAGATTCGAAAGGGTTTAACTCACTGTGCCACAATGCCAGTCTCTCTCCATTTTTTAAAAAAGATCCTTTGTTTAAAGAGCTAGGGAAGTGCTGATAGATGTAACTGCCCTGCACTCTGGCCAACCAGCTTCCTTCCTCCTTTGGCTCCTGCCAGGCTCATCTTGTGAGTGACTTCACGCGATCATACAGATTTTGTGCAGTGAACCAAACGCGAGCTGTGCCACATCCTGCACTCAGGTGAGAACTAGGCAGAGTGCCATCACTTTCCCACTCACCCCAGCGACACAGAAGATCCTCCAACCTCTCTGCAAGTGGAAGCCTTCAATAAAAAGCGCTAACACCATGAATGTGAGGGCGATCTGGCTGCAACATCCGTCACCCCATTGATCGCCAGGGTTGATCTGGCTGATCTGGCTGGCTAGGCAGGTGTCCCCTTCCTCCCTCACCGCTCCACGTGCGTCCCTCCTGAAGCTGCGCACTCGTCGAAGAGGATGACTTTCCCTGCTACAGGAGGACCGGTCTTCGGTCAAGGGTATACAAGTAGCTGCACTCCCATGCTAGAACCTCCAAACAAGCTCTCAAAAAGCGTTAACACCAGTGCAGCCACCCGCCGACGCCTGCCCCAGCAGCGGTTGGCTTCACACAGGACTCAGAGCTTGCTTCCCGTGACAATGCTCTTTTGAGGCCCATGGAGTGTGGGTGCTGGGCTTCCTGCCTGGGGTCTGCTGTCCTGGCTGTGCCTGTCTGTTCACAGCTGCCTGCTGCCTGCTGGTCCCAGCTGAGGGTAGACTGTGATGGTGGTTTCACCATCCACTGAAAAAAATGCTACAGCCCAGCCATTTCAATCCTCTCTTTGCAAGTTAACCCTGCCTCTGACCCCAACTCTGCCCATGGACTTCAACCCCAAGATGACTTTGTGAGACACAGAATGCTCAGTTTTTAGAAGCTGATGTTCTGGGTCAGTGTTGTGCCGCAGTGGATATTGGTGCCGGTTCCTATCCCAGCAGCTCTACTTCTAATCCAGCTCCTTGCTACGGTGCCTGGGAAAAGCAGAAGAGGATGGCCTAAGTACTTGGGCCCCTGCCACCCATGTAGGAGACCTGGGTGAAGCCCCTGGCTCCAGCCTGATCCAGGCCTGGCCTCTGTGGCCATCTGGGGAGTGGGATGACAGAGAGAATGAGAGACACACACACACACACACACAGAGAGAGAGAGAGAGAGAGAGAGAGAGAGGAGAGAGAGGAGAGAGAGGAGAGAGAGGAGAGAGAGGAGAGAGAGGAGAGAGAGGAGAGAGAGGAGAGAGAGGAGAGAGAAAGAGAGAGAGAGAGGGAGACACAAAGACAAAGAAAGATCTTCCATCTGCTGGTTCATTCTCCAAATGGTTGCAATGGCCAGGGCAAGGCCATGCTGAAGTCAGGAGCTTTGTCTGGGTTTCCCATGTGGGTGGCAGGGGCCAAACACTTAGGTAATCCTCTACTGCTCTTTTCAGGCTGTTATCAGGGAGCTGTATTGGAAGTGGATTAGCTTTGATAGCAATCACTTTTAGGGGCTGGTGCTGTGGCGTAGCAGGTAAAGCTGCCACCTGCAGTGCCGGCATCCCTTATGGGCATAGGTTCAGGTCCTGGCTGCCCCACTTCCGACCCAGCTCTATGCTCTGGCCTGGGAAAGCAGTAGAAGATGGCCCAAGTGCTTGGGCCCCTGCACCTGTGTGGCAAGACCCGGAGGAAGCTCCTGGCTTTGCATCAGCACCACTCTGGCTGTTATGGCCAATTGGGGAGCGAAATAGTGGATGGAAGACCTCTCTCTCTCTGCCTCTCCATCTCTCTCTGTGTAACTCTGACTTTCAAATAAATAAATAAATAAATCTTTTTTCAAAAAAATCACTTTCAATAAAAGCATTGTAATTTCTCATTTCTGTCTCCCTCTGTTACTCTCTTGGTCCAGATATATCTAGTATAATGGTAGAGGGCTCAACCAGCCACTTGAAACCACCCCAAGTTAACATCCTAGGGTAATTCTTTTTTTTTTTTTTTTTTTTTTTTGACAGGCAGAGTTAGACAGTGTGAGAGCGAGACAGAGAGAAAGGTCTTCCTTCTGTTGGTTCACCCCCAAATGGACGTTATGGCCAGCATGCCGCGCCGATCCAAAGCCAAGAGCCAGGTGCTTCCTTCTGGTCTCCCATGTGGGTGCAGGGCCCAAGCACCTAGGCCATTCTCCACTGCCCTCGCTGGGCCACAGCAGGGGCTGGACTGGAAGAGGAGCAACCGGGACAGAATCCAGCGCCCCAACTGGGACTAGAACCCAGGGTGCTGGCGCCGCAGGCAGAGGATTAGCCTAGTGAGCCGCTGCGCCGGCCCATCCTAGGGTAATTCTAAAAGGTCACAGGTGGTGAAGAGGCCATTTGTGATGCCTATATCCCTTTATTGGAGTGCCTGGTATATGTCCTGGCTCCTCCATTTCTGATCCAGCCTCCTGCTAATGCATATCCTGGGAGGTAACAGGTGACAGCTCAAGTCCTTGGGCCCCTGCCACCCACATGGGAAATTCAGACTGATTTCTAAAGATTTATTTATTTGAGAGTCAGAGTTTCACACAAACACAAACACACACACACACACAGAGAGAGAGAGAGAGAGAGAGAGAGAGAGAAGTCTTCCATCTGATGGTTTACTCTCCAATTGGCCGCAATGGCTGGAGCTGCGCCAATCCAAAACCAGGAGTCAGGAGCTTCTTCCAGGTCTCCCACGTGGGTATAGGAGCCCAAGCACTTGGGCCATCTTCCACTGCTTTCCTAGGCCTTAGCAGAGAGCTGGATTGGAAGTGGAGCAGCGGTGCCCATGTGGGATGTTGGTGCTTCAGGCCAGAGTGTTAACCTGCTGCGCCACAGCACTGGCTCCAAAACTCAGACTGATTTCTAGGTCCCTGGCTTTGGCTTGGCTAAATCCTGGCATTTGTGAGTATTTGGGGAGTGAAATAGCAGATGGAAGATCTCTATCTCTGCCTTTCATATTAAGTGAAAATAAATAAAAATTTAAAGTGTTAATAGAAAATGGAATCATATTTTGAAATATATGCATATGACTTATCTTCAAAAAGTTCATGGAAAACATTATAAAATGCATGAATTTTAAAACATTTTTTGCACAAAACTAAATTAAAAAAATATTTATTTATTTGAAAGGCAGAGAGATAGACAGAGAACTCCCATCCACTGGTTGATTCCCCAAATGCCCCCTACTGCTCCAGCAGCTCCAGGCCCAAGCTCAGAAACTCAATCCAGGTCTCCCACATGGGTGGCAGGAAAACAATCACTTAAGCCATCACCTGCTGCCTCCCTGGGCATTACCAGGAAGCTGGAATTGGAAGCACAGCCAGGATTTGAACCCAGGCATTCAGATACGGAATATGGATGTCCCAAGTAGCATCTTAATCTCTGCATCAAACACCTGCCCTTAAACCAGTCTTTCCATCCCACTTTTCCATGCTGCTTTTGAAGTACCCTTTTACAGCTCAAGTCAACACACTGTGTTTGTTACTGAAGCACTGCGCCCAGAGAGGCCTCATAACCAGGCCTTCGTAGCTGCATGTCTGTCCCCATGTGTCTCACATACACAGGCTGGCAAGGTCCTTCTCTCCATCACCCAGGAGGTTTGTGGAGACCATGGCTGTCAATACTGCATGATTAATGCCTCCACTGCTAAGGCACCTTCCTCAGTGCCAAACATTATCAGACTGAACTGGAAGCTCAGCTTCACTGAAGATGAGGCTTAGGGGAGCAGAGCTTAAATCCTGTTTCTCCTTCCCCTCTGCCACAGGGGCCACAGGCATCAGAGACCTACCTTGATGGTCTTTACCAGGTTGGCGGTGCTGTTGGCAACCTCCTTGGCTGACTGCACAAAGTGCCTCTTGGCCACAGGGTTGGCCGTCTTGGACGAGGCGATGCGGCAGGCATTGCACAAGGCCGAGGTGTGCTTGGCAACAATCGTGGCAGCCGACAGGACCTACAAAGCACGGGGCTAGGTTGGGGGCTCCACCTGCACTGGGGCGCAGAGGGGCCTGGGCTGCTCTTCTACTCACGCACACAAGCCTGTGTGATTGCACGGGTGCCTAGCTCTGCAGCCCCAAGGTCACTCCAAGAAAGGAGTGGGTGAAGAGCAGTAAGCAAGAATGAAGGATAAAAGCAAAGGAAATGAGGTGTTCACGCTATGATGGGGCAACAGCAGGGGTGGGGGTGACTCCCAGAGGCCTGAAGGGGATGCAGTCAGCGGGGCTCTGGAACTTCAGATGGGACGTCAGGGTCTAGGCATGGGCAATTTAAAATTTTCAAGCAGCCATATTAACATATGTAGAGAAATCACATGCTGCATGCAACTCAATACGTGCAACATATTGGATCATATAACCAATGCACATATACTACTTCCAAGATTTCACTATCTTTTTCTTTCATACAAAGTCTTCGAAATCCAGGGTATATTTTATATTTATAACCCATCTCCATCTAGACTCGCGACTTCAAGTGCTTAATAGTCATATGTAGCCAGTGGCCATCACACTGGAGGGCCCAGATCTAGATGAGTTAATTAAACATCCAAGTGTGAAAGCTCCCTCCTCATCCGGTGCAGGTGGGCTGGATGCACTGTACAAAGGGGCCTGGCTCAGGAAAGATCCAGAGGCTCAACCCATTTGCTCTCCTTTGCTGCACTTGCACCTTCTGGCCTTAACTGGACAGGTAAGGAATCTCAGGTGCACTGAGACACACACACCAGCTCTCAGGCCTGCTTCAGTCCTCACAGTCCCTGGACTGCCTTCTTGACTTAGGTCCTCCTTGTGCCTCCAGAACACTGACTCCAAGGTTCATGAGGGACAGGTCACTCTCAAGACTGCCTGCGCTTTCTCCCCATCAGCCAGGTCTGTTTCCCTCCAGCGCGTGCTGCGTTTATGAATGACTAGAGCCCATAGCACTGGGTATTATGAGAGTCACACATACTGTCTATGCCCAATTGTCTCTCTGGTTCCTTTCTGTCTTGCATATTCTGATGCAACTGCAAGGCCCAGCTCAGGGCTGTCATCTCTGTGATGTGACCCTCAACGGCCCCCTCAGAGAATCCATCACACCCAGACCACTGCATTCCAACATTGCTCAACAGACTAAGAGCCAAGGGAGTGGAAGATTAGGTCTTACTCATGTTGACCCCTGCGTGCTCAGTACAAAGCAGGTTCTTTGTGTGAGTGCCCTGAAGTGTAAGGCAGCATGAGACTTCAGGTGTCACTGTGATGACTTCACTCCGATTACCTGCCAGCACCTGTTTTTACACATTTACAAATATCTACTTTCACCCCATGTTGCGACATCCCTCCTACTCACCATCTACAGGACTGCATTTAGCAGGTGTTGCAAGTTCTGTCAAGACAGGAGTCTACCAATTTCTCACCATCTCCAACAACCCACTTAGATGAGCTTAGGGTCTGGCACACCTGACACTCCCCTCTTCCGTGGTTACCTGTGACGGGCTGCTGCCGGGGTCCACCAGGTTCTGGCATGCCATCTGGATCGCCTGGTTTGCCCTTGCAAACTGGATGGGGTCCACGAGACCCTGGTGGCCTGCCTGGCTGTTTGGATCAGAGATGCCAACTAGGTATGCAGCCTGGAAAGAGAAGAGAGAAAAAGCAACCTACAGCTCAGGCTCTGTGGTCCTAGGAGAACCTGCATGGATGAGGGCACGGTTTTCACGCATGGTCGATCCTTGGTGCAAATTGGGCAGGGCACCCTCATCTTGCTCCCAGTAAGCACGGAGTGACAGGCCTATGCAGCAGGAGTTCGCCGAGGCTTCAGGAAACAAAGCCCCATGTTCTTAGAAGAGACCCAAGCAGCTCTTCTGTGGGGCTTCCTGCTGCCTTTATTGCTCCTTGCAGCCTTTTTATGACCCTGAGGATACCTAGCCTCAGAATAAGGCTGACTTGGGCTAGTAGACAGGCATGGCATCAATGCACTGATGGTGTAGAGGGGCTGGGGTAGCAACCCTGGAGTCTGCCCCGGGATGTTTCTCATCTCCCAGCTTAGCATGTCCTCCTCGTTCCAGTCAGCATTTCCAAGGGCAGGCAGACTCTAACCTTGGCAACTAAGAATGAGTGGGAGGGCCCAGAAAACGACAACAAGGACAGCAGCATTTTGGCCCACGAGGACAAAGTAAGAGCAGGCCTTCTCTGTAATTTTTTTTTTTTTTTTTTTTTTTTGACAGGCAGAGTGGACAGTGAGAGAGAGAGACAGAGAGGAAGGTCTTCCTCTGCCGTTGGTTCACCCTCCAATGGCCGCCGCGGCCGGCGCACTGCGGCCAGCGCACCACGCTGATCCGAAGGCAGGAGCCAGGTGCTCCTCCTGGTCTCCCATGGGGTGCAGGGCCCAAGGACTTGGGCCATCCTCCACTGCACTCCCTGGCTACAGCAGAGAGCTAGCCTGAAAGAGGAGCAACCAGGGCAGAATCCAGCGCCCCGACCAGGACTAGATCCCGGGGTGTCGGCGCCGCAGGCAGAGGATTCGCCTATTGAGCCGCGGCGCCAGCCTCTCTTTAATTTTTAATTCCAATTCATGACCAGGGATTTTGACATGAATTCATTTTCCGATGCCTGTGGGGAAGAACGAGTGGAGAGAATTTCATCTCCCAAATTAGGGCTGCTTCTCTTTGGTTCAGTATAAATTTTCTCAGTTCAGGTAATTGCCAAATGAGAAACCCTTCCAGGTAAATGCTGACATCTTCGTTGCTTCTGTCCCGTGAGCCCAACAATGACTGGAAATGCACATGGCAGTGCCACGCCAGTCTAGCTTGTGGCATCTGTTTATTCCACCTTCGGATCCCAAAGCGAGCACTCCATTTCTGCAACTACAGAGCCTTGCAAAATTTAAGCTAGTGCTTATTTTTCCCTCTAAAACAATATGCCTGTAACAACAATCATTGAAAACAGTAAAAATAAACATCGGGCTCCTGGCCTGTATGCTGGGCCCTACATCATTTCATGAGTCTCTCTGTCCTCAGTCACCAGCTGAGGCCTTGTCTGAATGCCCTGGCCAGCACAGCAGCCACTCACTTTTCCATGTTTCTGTGGTGTTGCTTAGAGGAGGAGCAAAGCTAGGGCTCCCCATGCCTCCCGCAGGGATCTGGTCACCCCTGGCATCCAGGATCCCACACAGGACTCAAGGCTAGAAGACCTGCAAAGGGACCAGCCCCTTACCTGGGCCGCGGCCTCCGTCAGCCCACAGAGAGCCTTGGATGCAATCCCCACACATTCCCCAAAGGCAGGGAGGTCCCCGGTCTTGGCGTTCTGTGAAATCCCTGCCATTGACTCGCCCAGAACCTGCAAAACAATCAGTGAGATTCTGCCCAGTGCTGCTTCCAACCAAGGGGCAAAGGAGGCGACACTTGCAAGTTCAACACTCAAGGCCACGCAATTTCCCATCTTCTCCTTTATTTGCATTATGAAGACTTCTGAAAGAATTAAACCTCTTCTTTCCCATGAAGAGAAGTGAGTAAATGAAATTATGAAGCTTTCATCTGAATGTTATCTATATCCCAAAGAATTAATATACAGACAACAAAATAAAATCTACACAAGCTGTCTCAGGGTGAAGGGTCTAAACTGAGTACTACCACTTCCCAGCACATAAAAATCACATCCGCTGAGCTGCAGGTGAAGTCATACTTAGCAAACAGAAGGAGTACCCCTGTGCATATCATTCATTGACTTATCGAAAATAAAGTTCAACAGATCTTTGTTAAGGATGTTTCTGAAATATTTTAAGTACTTTGCCTCATTTTGAAAATTATTGGTATCTATTTTCCTTAGAGGTCTTTAAAAGAACAGATGTAAGGGATTTTTAGCATTGAGAATTCAACCCACAGGTCAAGTCCCCTGCATTGGGTCACATGGGCAGAGGCAGGGCACCCACCCCAGAGCTGGCGTCTTCTGTGGCCTCATCAGCACCAGGAGGCTGGGAGTGCATGCCAGAGTCACAGACAGTGGACCGAAGGCTGTTCAATCTCTTGGAGAGATTATGGCATTGCCAAGCCTAGAGTCCAACTCAGAGTTCTCCATTTGTTAATAAACCACCTTGAATGGGGAAGTGAATTCATTCCCTAAAGTTGCTTAGATAAACAAAGTAGGAGTTTGGCCTAGCAGTTGAGACACTGGATTGAAATGCTTAAAGTTCAAGTTACGGCTCTTCTCCCAACTCCAACATCCTGGTAATGTGCACACTGGGAAGCAGCAGGTGATGGCTGGGTCCCCATCATCCATGTTGTAGACCCTTACTGAGGGCCATGGTCTTGGTTTTGTTCTGGCCCAGCCCCAGCTATGGTAGAAATTTGGGGAATGAATCAGCAAATGGGAGATCGTTGGCTGTTTGTGTCTATTCTTTCTCCCTGTTTCTTGAATAAATAAGTAAATGACATACGTACGTATATACATACACACACACACACACACACACACAATAATAATTCAGTTTCCATAAGGATTTGCAAAGCAAAAAAGCCAGAAGTCATCTTAACCCTGCATTCCTCTTTTAGAAGGAACTGTTTCTTTGGACCTGTGTATGTAAAACATATGCCACCTCCTCTTAGACGATATATTAAGTTCCTAAGGTGCTGGCCAGAGGAAATTCTAGCTTTAATTCAATGCAAACTGAGCCCCCCCACCCACATCAGCCACATGGAAGTTTCTCAAAGCTAACGTAAAAGTGATGGGAACAAGCAAGCACTTCTGATGTTCGAGGTACAAAGCTGGACCACAGCAACTTGACACCCGTTCATCTCACTTGATTTCCACTCCAACCTCCTGTCTTTGAGTCATTTTCAAAACATGATTACCACAGATACACATTTCTCAACTGACTTTTTCTTTAACTGTTCCACTAAGAGGCCTTTATAGATATTCTCCCCCTAGACACCTTCACCATCAAATTATATCCTAAGGAAGAAGGTTTTGTTGGGTACGGTTATGAATTTACTGGGTGAAGGAAGCCATTGTATTATCTTAGATTTTTTTTTTTAACAGTCCCTGCCCCATGCCAAAACAACAAAACAATTTACACTTCTCTTGAGGATGCAGATCATGGATAGAGGCAAACACACACACACACACACACACACACACACACACGAGGATCTCACACAAGCCAAGGCACTGGCGGGCTTGCCACAGCAGTTCAACAGCAGTTCAACCCCAAGTGGAAAACATACATGATTCAAGTTGCAGTAAGAACATCTGTGATGTAATACAAGTAGTGGCTCTCAAAAGATGGTTTCCTGCACCACAGAGGTGGGAACTGGGAGTTTGTTAGGGCTGCAGAATCTCAGCCCCACTCCGATCTGCATCAGCTACTTGGGAGGGGGCCCAGCCATCCTCGGTTAGCAAGCCCCCCAGGTGACTCTGATGCATGCTATAGTGTGAGCAGCACCTGAGCTAAGGGCTTCACAACAGGGTTTTACGATGCAATGTGCACAGTCGCACAGGTTGGCCACAGGCACAGAAAACACCAGTGCATCTATGTTTTTCCCCACCCCGAAGAGCAGTGTTAACTTCCGAATTCTGGCACAGATGGGCTTACCTTGGAGTTCTCCATGACGCTCTCAATGCAGTCAAAGTAAGAGAGGTCACTAACAGGCTCATTAGGATTGTCCAACATGCCCTTGACAGTCTACAGAAGGAGAACACAACTTAACAAGCAAGCAGGTATCACCGAACAAGAGAAATCCGACACAAAACAAAGCCTTCCACTTCTGGCCATGGTCACTCATTCAACTGATTCCTGAGTGGGATTCGCATGACATTATCAGGGCTGCACGCTGCCTGCTAGCAGCAACACACGGGCTGGGGTAAGGTGCGGGTGTCTCAGGCTGGCTTTGCAGAGATGAGAAGAGCTTGCTTTCAGTTTTAAAGGATCAAAGGATTTTTTTTTTTTTTTTTTTTTTTTTTTGGACAGGCAGAGTGGACAGTGAGAGAGAGAGACAGAGAGAAAAGTCTTCCTTTGCCATTGGTTCACCCTCCAATGGCCGCTGCGGCTGGTACACTGCGGCCAGTGCACCGCGCTGATCCAATGGTAGGAGCCAGGTGCTTCTCCTGGTCTCCCATGGGGTGCAGGGCCCAAGCACTTGGGCCATCCTCCACTGCACTCCCTGGCCACAGCAGAGAGCTGGTCTGGAAGAGGGGCAACCAGGACAGAATCCGGCGCCCCAACCGGGACTAGAACCTGGTGTGCCAGCACCGCTAGGCAGAGGATTAGCCTATTGAGCCGCGGTGCCGGCCGAGCACAGGATTTTTTAAAATGAGGTTTGAAAGTTAGCGCAACATAACACACTGATGGTCATTTGGGTAACTCTAAGGAGTTTAAATTTCAAGGACTGCTTCATTTGCTTTTTTATGAATGATAGGAACCTCAGTTTCTCAATTCTGGAAACTTTTCATGGGAAGGCATCAAAGAAAGTAATTGTCCCCAAACTTTCCCTTAGTGTTCCAGCACCACTCGTTTTAAATTTAAACAGTAAAGAAAATGCCTACTCTTGTTTAGGTCCCCACCAAGCAAACAGGTACAGACTGGATACTTTATCCTTATTGCCAAGCCACTACAATCAGTGCCAGCTTTCCGACTATCATCACCTCTGCTAGCAACTTGGGAGGGCATGTGCCAGGGCAGAAGGGCCTGGGGATACATCTACTCAACTCCTGCCCACCCAGAGTGCACACTGGGGCCCAGCATCCTCCGGAGTTCAGCCAACAAAAAGTCAACATCAGGTGTTTGGTGCAGCTGGTAAGAAACCTCTTGGGACACCTGAATCCCATACTGGAATGCCTGGGTTTGAATCTCGGCTCTACTTCTGATTCTAGCTTCCTGCTAAAATGCACTTGGGGAGACAGCAGGTGACGGTGCAAGTATCTGGGTCCCTGCCACTCATGTGTGGGACCCAAAATAAGGTCTTGGATCTGGGCTTTGGCAGGCACTTGGGGAGTGAACTAGTGGATAGATCTCTCTCTCTCTCTCTCTCTCTCTCTCTCTGCCTTTCAGATAAAACAAAAATAAATACCTAAGATTTTAGGAAAGGAAGACAACATCATCTGAGTTAGCAAAGGATGAAGAGAGATACGTAATGGGAACTGCTGGGCCATTCAGCTCGAGGAGGAGAGGGCAGCAAGCATAGCCCATGGCATTTGCTGCTGGGATAATGAAAACTATTCCAGTAACAGCAATCCTGAAATAGTCACATTCTGGCAACCAAAGATACCCCTGAAGAACACAGCGTACCCAGGCCACGTGGGATCATTAGTTCAACAGCCCACACAGCATTTAGGTTTGCCAAAGCAATCGGATGGGAACAGGGTGCTCATTCAGCCCAGGTGAGGAACCGCTGCCCTGTTTTCAGAACGCTGCAGCCCTGTGGTCACGATCCCCTCCTTACCCAGCTGTGCACCACGGCCCGCTGCCACTGTTGGAGAGAGCCTCAGTCCAACGCTGGGGAAGCCGCAGTGGGCATCCTTCTCACTCCAGACCCATGCTGATCACCCATCCAGCAGACTGAAGGTACACTGGGCACAACTAGTTCTTACCTACCGAGAGCACCACGGGCTGCTGAATGTAACCAGCACTGAACAGGGCTGCTCTAAGAGCAACCAGGCACCCTGATTTTATGTGGATCCAAAAATGTCCCGTGGGCATGCCTGGATTTTCAATTGCAAATAACCAGTCTGTGAATTTACATTGAAAAGCACCCATAACTGCCTTCTAGGCCATGAGGGGGCTGCACGGCCACCTTGATTGTACAGTAATAAGGGCTTGTGCTTAAAGTGTATAGGGAAATCATTTTCACTCCAAAAGCACACCTACCCAACCTCCATTTCTCTCCCAATTATTCTAGAATATTCTCTCCAGCACTTTTCAGGTAGACAGTGCTGATCTTCAGCCTATACCCAACCCCCAAAGGATCCTTTCCTAGTTGAAATAAAGTATCTTTGCACATCTCATCTTTGTGAACTAAGAGGAAGCAGAAATGATTATCCCAGTCAAACACTTATCTCTAGATCCTTCCCACTACGATTAGGTGTTTGCCTCCCAGAAAAGACAGAAGGTGAGAGGAGAGGAAATTAACCCCCATAGAATTACAGAAGCGACACCCACGCACGTGCACGTGCAGGCTCCCACCCTCAGCAGGCTTCCAGGGTACCTACCTCGAGCTCCCGGAGGGCGTTGTCACACTCCTTCTGGCCAGGAGCTTGCTGGGTGCACAAAGTGATGAGCTGATTGATGCTCTCTGTCACAGCTCTGTGATGGAAACAGGAAAAGTTGTTTCTTTGTTTCCTTGTGAAGATCAACAGTCATTTCCCCAACAACACTTTGTGGTTTCACCAGAAACATTCATGCAATTCATTCACTATTTAGACTGAGGGCCCCCTGAGAGCTCTTATACTGGCTCCATATAACCGAAAATAAACCACACCCAGGGAACACAGAGTAACCACCTTGCTGCTGAGTTTTCATTTCATTTATTCTTTTTTTTTTTTTTTAAGATTTATTTATTTATTTGAAAGGCAGAGCCATAGAGAAGCAGAGGCAGAAAGAGAGAGAGAGAGGTCTTCCAACCACTAGTTCACTCCCCAAACGGCCACAATGGCTGGAGCTGCATTGATTTGAAGCCAGGAACCTCCTCCAGGTTTCCCACATGGGTGCAGGGGCCCAAGGACCTGGGCCATCCTCCACTGCCCTCCCAGGCCACGGCAGAGAGCTGGACTGGAGCAGCCGGGAACCAAAGCGGCACCCACGTGGGATGCTGGCACAGCAGGCGGTGGCTCTACCCTTCACACCACAGCACTGGCCACTCATTTACTCTTTATTTATTTATTTTATTTGACAGGTAGGGTTATAGACAGTGAGAGAGAGAGAGAGACAGAGAGAGAGAGAGAGAGAGACAGAGAGAAAGGTCTTCCTTCCATTGGTTCACTCCCCAAATGGCCGCAATGGATGGAGCTGCGCCGATCTGAAGCCAGGAGCCAGGTGTTTCTTCCTGGTCTCCCATGCATGTGCAGGGGCCCAGGCACTTGGGCCATCCTCCACTGACTTCCCGGGCCACAGCAGCGAGCTGGACTGGAAGAGGAGCAACCAGCACTCGAACCCGGTGCCCATATGGGATGCCGGTGCTGCAGGCGGAGGATTAACCAAGTGCGCTACGGCACTGGCCACTACTCATTTACTCTTAAGAGGTACTAGTGGTTCTTTTGTGAAGGTGTGATATCTTAACATAGTCATAAGGAAGAATTTGAAATGAAGTCATAAATAGCGAAGACATCTCATTAGCACAGGCTTTCATTAGCAGCCCAAGAGAAATAACATTTTCCCTACAAGGCTCTTTTGCGAAGCCTTTGCATATTTTGGGCTATTTATTTACTTGAAAGGCAGAGATACAGAGGGAGAGAAGGAAAAGGAGAAAGAATGAGAGAAAGAATGATCTTCCATCTGCTAGTTTACTCTCCAAATCACTGCAATGGCTAGAGTTGGCGAGACTGAAGCTAGGAACTAGGAGCTTCTTCCAGGTCTCCTATGTGGGTACAGAGACCCAAGCTCTTGGACCATCCTTCATTGAAGGATATCTTCACAGGTATATTAGCAGGGAGCTGGGATGGAGGTGGAACAGCTGGCACTTGAACTGGTATCCACATAGGATGCTGGCATTGCAGCTGACAGCTTTACTTGGTACACCATAACGCTAGCCCCAATACATATTTTTAAACATAGCAGACATATAAGGGATTATAGACATATAAGGAAAATGGAATTATAGTTTTTTTATGGTGCCCAAAATTTTAAAATCCATGCACATGAGTGGTCTTCAAAAAGCTTATAAAAAAGCACATTATAATAACTACATATAGATTTTGAATTTCTTTGCATCAAAATATACTTATTTTTAAATTCCATTCTTTGAGTGCTTTAAAGAACCTTCATATAGTAATTGTCTATCATTTCAAAAATCTATACAGTAAATTGTGTATGAATAACTTGTTGCTTGAAGATAACCCCAAATTATTTTTAAAAGCTTATTAATTTTTATTTATTTGACAGGTAGAGCAATGCAGAGAGAAAGATTTTCCATCTGTTGGTTCTCGCCTCCAAGCCACAGTGGGGTCTGTGTCAGGCTGAAGCCAGGAGCCTGTCTGGAACTCCATCTGTGTCTCCCTTGGGGTGGCAGGGACCCACCCAAGTACTTCACCAACATCTCCGCCCCCCAGGACATGCCTTAGCAGGAGGCTGGAACTGGGAGTGGAGCTGCACCACAGTGCCTGTAACCTCCCCACCCCAGATTCTTTAAGACATCTACTTTCTTTGTTAAAATTAGAAAGGATAAACTGGAGACTCTCACAAGGTTTTCTGTGTGCTCTGTTCTCCTTAGAATGTAGGAAGCATCGCAGAATTTCTTGTACACGGACAAGGATTCCACCCCTCCTGAGCACCCCCTGCTTGATCTGTCTGAGGTTACAACATGGATAATTTAGAAAGTCACGGTTCATTTTGATTTAACTTTCCATAAGGTGTGAAAAATACTTTCTCTCTTTCCTTTTGGCATGTGGAAGTCCAGTTGTTCCAACCCCACTAGTTGAAAAGACGAGCCTCTATCCAATGAATTGCTTCTGTGAAACTGCTGACCATGAAGCGGCCATCCACGTTCCAGTCTATGAGGGTCTACTTCTGGGCTGTCTGTGTGCCATTAACCTGTGTGTCTAACCTTCCACCGACACCACACTGTCTTCACTGCTGTAGCTTTATATTGAGTCTCAAAACTGAATATCTTGCACGTCATAAATGAAAAACCTAAGAGATTTGCACCAACTCCCTAAGGAGAAGCTACAAATAAGGAGCTGACACATTGAAATCTCTGACTTCAGAGCCAGACTCGCTCTCCATTTTTGCCTGGCCAACCTGGTGCACGCTTCTGGCAGTGCCTTGAACTCCATGCACAGTTTCTACAAGGCAGCTACAAGGCAGCTTTAAACAGAAACAAAATGGGGCTCATATTGCTGTTAATTGCTAACATAACACCGTATAATAAAAAAGATGCCTCATTTTATTAGTGAAATTGGCTTTGCAGCTTCCCACAGAATATCAAATTAGACGGAAAGGATGTTGTGAATGGACAAAAGCAATCAGCTTAATTATTGGATGAAAGACTGCTTGCAATTGCAAATCGAGCTGGGATGATGGGAAGAGGAAAAACATTCTTGAATTCAGGAAAGAATCCCCATACATCGTTGTTCAAAGACTGATCCTGGTGACTCATTTATTTGGGGAAAAGCGCTTCAACGAAGGTGCAGGCTCTGCTGTGCAAAGCAGGAGAACAACCCAGCCAGCAGGGCCCTGCTCAGCTCCAGTGGCCACGACCTATGCACCTGCAGTGTCCCACAGAGAGCCCAGCACCATGGCCTGCATGGTAGCCTTCAAAGACTTGCTTCTGAGTGGACAGGCCAGCTTATGTCAAGACATTCACGGGTGCAGGTTGCCCTCTACTGTGTGACGGCAGGGTCACTGAGATTTTTTCCACCCATCACAGATGTTTTTCATTCAAGCGTGTTTCTGTATTTCTGGTTTATCTGTATCTTTTAAGAGACTTATTTATTTGAAAGGCAGGTGAGACAGAGGGAGATAGAGAGACAGAGGCAAAAAGAGATCTTCCATCTGCAGGTTCACTCTGCAAATAGCTGCAATGGCTGGGGCTGAGCCACTCCAAACCCATGAGCCAGGAGCTTCATCAGGGTCTCCCATGTGTGTGGCAGGGGCCCATGCACTTGGGCCATCCTCTGCTGCTTTCCCAGCAGGTTAATGGATTGGAAGTGGAGCAGCCTACACTTGCACTGGTGGTCATGTGAGATACAAGCATCACAAGCAGTGGCTTAACCCACTATGCCACAACACTAGTCCCTTTTTTTTTTTTTTTTAAACATAATTTCTGTATTAAAGATGTAAGTATTTCCTGGCCTGAAGCACCAGCATCCCATATGGGTGCCTGTTCTGCTCCACTTCTGATCCAGCTCTGCTGTGGCTTGGGAAAGCAGTAGAAGATGGTCCAAGTCCTTGGGCCCCTGCACCTGCATGGGAGACCCGGAAGAAGCTTTTGGCTCCTGGCTTCGGATTGGAGTAGCTCCAGCCATTGCAGCCAACTGGGGAGTGAACCAGCCACAGGCAGAGGGTTAGCCTACTTTGTCATAGTGCTGGCCCCTGTACTTTTATTTTTTATAGTGTTTTTAATGCTCAGAGTTATACAAGTTTTTTATTATTTTATCTCATTTTTATAATATATTTAAAGTAAAATATATTTAATGTTTCATATGTAAAATAAAAGCTCAATAACTATAATTTTGCTACTAGAGCTCGCATTTCCATCTTGAGTTCTATCTAGCCATTATGTTTTTTTATTTTTTATTTTTATTATTATTTTTTTTTGACAGGCAGAGTGGACAGTGAGAGAGAGAGAGACAGAGAGAAAGGTCTTCCTTTGCCGTTGGTTCACCCTCCAATGGTCGCCGCGGCCGGCGCGCTGCGACCGGCGCACCGCGCTGATCCGATGGCAGGAGCCAGGAGCCAGGTGCTTCTCCTGGTCTCCCATGGGGTGCAGGGCCCAAGCACCTGGGCCATCCTCTGCTGCACTCCCTGGCCACAGCAGAGAGCTGGCCTGGAAGAGGGGCAACCGGGACAGAATCCGGCGCCCCAACCGGGACTAGAACCTGGTGTGCCGGCGCCGCTAGGCAGAGGATTAGCCTAGTGAGCCGTGGCGCCGGCAATCTAGCCATTATGTTTTTAAAAAATTGGGAGCTGCAACTTCAAAAGTTAAAAAAGCCTTTCTGAACTAAATCCATTTAGTGCTCAGAGAGATTGAGGATTCTGTCTGGGAATTCACAATGGAAGTGGAATTGGGGCGGGATGGGAGGACAAAGTGGAGCCATCTGTGCACCAGACAACCTCTGAAGCCCAATCCACAGGTGAGCAGCTGACACGGCAAACAGAAGCACCAGACATCTTCCTTCCTCAAGGGGAGAGGAGCTTAGGAAGGGAAGCAAAAGCAAATCAATATCACCCCTAAGTATCCCCTAGGTCCTGCTACCCATGAGGCCAGGGAATTAAAAAATAAAAGAGGTTAAATGTATCTAGGACAGCAAGGTGCTTGTGATCCAATCCAACTGCAGAGGCGAGACAATGGAACACACAGAAGTGGAACCAAAGAACCTGATGCTCAGGGCAGGACACCAGCTGGGACAAAGAAACACAGAAAGGAAGAAAATCAATCACCATGAGGCATGGATTCTGCACAGAGGAGAGTGTTCAACGTGAGCTGGAGCAATTGGAAAAGTCAGGGCTGAATGAGACCCTGATGGAGATAGGGAGAGAACATTCTAGAATCGACCAACGCGGGAGCAAAGGCCCCATGGACCATTTTCTCCCTGAGAGGGTGAAGGCAGTCCTTCTGCTCATGCTCCTTGCTGGGTGAGCCTTTTCCAGACCCAGGAGACCTGCCCTGTAGGACCCTCAAGCCCAAGCACAGGGTGGGTGTCTGGTCTACAATTGAGGCACCCACACCCCACATCACAGTACCTGAGTGGGATTCCTGGTTCTGCTCCCAATTCCTGGTTCCTGCAAATGTGCACCTTGGGAAGCAGTGGTAATGGCTCAAGGAGTTGTTTTCCCACTCCCACACCTGAGACTTGGATTGAGTTCCTGGCTCTAGACTTCTGCCTCCAAGCTGCTGTGGGCATTTGGGGAGCTAACCAGCAAATAGGCAAGCACACTCTGTCTCTCTCTGCCTCTCAAACGCCTATATGAAAATTACAAGCAGAACACCAAAAGTCTGGGGGTGGCTAGGAAGGCAGGCACGGCTCACACATTCCCAGGAACTCTGTTGGGAAGCGGACAACTGGCCAGGGCCAGGAGTGAGGCTGGCAGCTGTGGATGTGAAGGTGTCCCAGCTTTGTCGTTTTTCTGGCCGGGGTGAAGATGTGAGAGCAGCAGCTCAGAGAAGATGCGTAGACATAGGACCCTCCCTTGTTTTGTAATTACAAGCTCAAGTCCTATCCCCTTGCCTAGGTTCAGGGTCACCAGACCAGCCCCTGGTGGAGAAGCCCGATGACTGGCTCATGGAAGGTCTCCAGCTCCCCACAACTGATCAGAAAAGAGCCAGAGCCCATCCAAGAGGGACATCCAACAGAAAATGACTTTCTGCCTGTAGACATCAAAAACTGAGGACCTGGGCTCCCTGTGTGTACCTGGGCTTGGGAGCAGAATTCCAAGCCGAGAAAGACATTCTCTCCTTTCAAAGCAAGCCTCTTTCCCAGAGCACAAAGGCCCAGGGACCACAAGGATAGGTGTTTCAAGTCTGCTGACACAGGTGCAGGACAGGCTTGAGGCAGTCTGGGCCTGCGTTCCAGCAGTGGCATCCCTGAGACTATGGGGGCGTGCACACAGAGGACAGGCAGGGAGGGCTTGGCTGTATCAAGAATATGGATGGCAGGGAACTGAAGACTTCAGGCCAAGAGATCAGATATTGTCACTCAATCCTCTGTTCACTGCACAAGGCCAGGACAAGATGGAGCAGTGCTATGTACTGCCCTGACTCCGCGAGCACCAGACCCCTGTCACAGGCATCCTGTGTGCCCAGCTGCCAGAGCTGTGCCTCGCCCACATCAAGCACACCATAACTGCCCCCCCCCACCGTGGCAGAGTTCTGCCTCCCACGAGGAGTCTGCCTGACCCACCTGACCTGGCTGCAATTTGTGCTGAGAAACTCACCCTCCACCCCGCCCCTGGGAGCAGAGGCTTGCAAAACCATGCCAAGAAACCAAGGAGAATGTGCCACCTGCCTTGCAGAGTTTCCTCCCAAGATGGCAGTTTTCCCATGCTGATTGTTAAGTGCCTCCTGGGCTATAAAAACACAAGCCTGGGAACTGTCAGCCGCTGCAAGTCAGGAGGGAGGCACAGAAAGCTTGGTGACTGGGGCTCCAGGTGTGTTCTTCAAAGCCACCACCAGGGGGCCTGCAGGGACCCACATTGCTTCCCATGTCTGCTTCCTTCTGTGTCTGGATTTCCAAAGTCCAGTACTCGCCTCTGCTTCCCACTGTTTAAGAGAGTGAACAACACGTTTCACCGTGGAAGGCAAAATTTGGGAATGAGGCCAAAAAATGATAACAAACATCTGAGCTCAGATAACCGGAAATGTCAATTGCCTCAGCCAAAGACTCTTAGGAAAAAGCAGTCATCAAGAAGAGGGGTTCTATATCAGAATTAGCGCTGAACAGAACAGACCAGATATCACCACCACCCCCAATCCCATCCCAAGCCTTCCACCATCAAAGGAAGGAATGAGTTTACAGGAACAATCAAGCGATGAGGTGGGGAGATGGGAAGATCATTATCTAATTCCCTAGCGGCTGGAGTGAATGTTTGCAGCTACAATATATTACCAGGCAAACAATGAAAAAAAAAAACAAAACAGGGTTTTGCAAGGAAACTGCTCTGCCTTTATCTAGTCCTACACACACACACACATGAAAAATAAAACTATGAACGAAGAGGAGATGGGAGGCTCTGGCCACTAATACCTAGGGATGCTACGTAAGGATGTTGCAGCCCACGCCTGCACTCTGCAAATGCACACGTGCAGGAGGTAGGGCAACTCAACTCATGCAGCTCAAACAGTTACGCTCAGGCTAACGCGTAGGACTCCCGACTTCCACAGCTCAAAACTCAGCGGCTGAGCCCCTATCAAGTACGAAGGAACACACAAACGAAACCCTGCTTTCGCCACACAAGAGGTCAGCACCAAGCTCAGCCTTTCCCACAATCACTCTTCTGTACGTTTTGAAACATTTCCAGCTATTCCACACCCCCAGTAGTCCTGCCTGCATTATCTCACTGTATCACCTGATATTAAATCATGCTAAGAAAACATCTGTACCACCCAGAATCGTAACACACGCTCCCCTCTGGGTTCAGGAAAACCAATGGAGGCTGCTCATCGAAGACGTTCCAGGGCTGTCGCTGCAGCTGCTGTGAGCACTAGCATTCAATCACTAGCCACTGGGCCCAAGGAACAGCAATTATGTCGTGTCATTCAGTTTCCTGGGGGAGAGCACCAGGAAAGGAGGATACTAAGATCATCCTCAACGCAGAGTCGTGTTGTAACACAGCTCCAAAAACAGTTACTCCCACTGGGACTCCACTCAGCCCGCGCTGGAGCCCACCCACAGGTGATGGATGGACTAGGTTCAATTACAACAATTATTTATTTGAGAAGCAGAGAGACAGAGACACACACATGGAAACAACTAGCTCCCTTCCAATGGTTCATTCCCTAAATACCCACAATGACTGGGGGCTGGGTAAGAGGTGCAAACAACCCTCCCATGTGAATGGCAGGAATTCAACTACTTGAACCATCACTGCTGCCCCCCAGGGTCTGTGATACCAGGGAGCTGGAATCAGGAATTGAACCCAGAGACTCAAGTGGGATGCAGGCATCTTCACTACTAGGCCAAAAAGCTGGCCCTAAATTCAATTCAACATTAACGTCAGGTACATGGTATGTGTTTTTTAAATGTCTGTTGAATGACTTTCTGAAAACTGTCTTCTTTCTACTTGTAAGTCTTTTCAGATTTCTTTTCAATAAGCAAATGTGACTTTCATGGTGTGAAAAAACACAGCACTACTTAAAATCTATTTAAGCCATTAGGCTTGCAAGTCAGTGGGGGCTGGAGGTCTGTGCATGTCCCTACCAAAAGGCTGAATGGGAAGACACAAGGCCTCGGTAGTGGGGAAGGAACATGGACATGAGCCAGTTTTATAAAATTCCACACTCTCCATCACTCGATGCCACTGACAGCAACATAACAACAGCACCAATTCTTTGCTCAGTCAGAGCAGCATATCCCACAGACAGCAACAACGTTCTTGAAACACACGTGAAGGCACATACTCCCCACTCTTACCTTGCTGCTGCGGCCAGGAGATTCTTCGCGTTGGGAGCTCCCGGATCTACAGAGAGAGATTTGGCTGCTAACAAGAGCTTGCTGGATGCCATGGAGATGTTCTTGAGGTTCCCTATCACCTGGATCTGGTCTTCTTTCGTCTGGAAGGTCAACAGGAGCCAGAGGCATTAGGGACTGACTGCCCATTTCTCCCGGGAAGCACTCAGAGAGCTCAGAGCAGCATCTTGAGATGCAGGCCAAGTTACCTGTACAGACTGTGTTAAAACCAATTCATGGGCAGACACCTAGCTCACTGAGATGCTGCCAGGGTCTACACTGCCCCCAAAAGGATGCTCAGACCATGATGTGCACAACTAGCGATGAAATCCTTCTCCAAGTGGGTTGGCCAAGAGCTGTGCTTTCTCACAAGCGGAGGCACTGCGGGCCGTGGTGAGGGGGAGCCGCACCAATGCACAGAGCAGGCACCCGTTCCGGCGTCTTGCTCAACAATGCTGCAGTTGTCATGGGGCCTGGACATCCCGGCCTGGCACAAACGCCCAGCACTGCCCCACTATTCAGAGCTGCTCGCATCCCAGAAGTGCCTGACTTGGGAAAAGACACATCTCTCACCTGGCTGGCTGTCCACTGGAGCAACGAACCAGGTACCTAACAGAACAACACACACCCCTCTGCCTCTCTGTTTGGGAGCAGCCAGGATCTCAGGAGAAAGCAGCTCTGCAAGCTGCCACCAGACCAGCCAGGCTCCCTGGTTGTGAACAAGCTGCTTATCTGTTCATCGGAAGGAGCCAGTGTGTAATCACTTCGTGCTCACAGTCAGCCGCAGTGCATTCAAACGGGCCCACAAAACCTCAAACACAGACACATTTTTTTTTACTCTATTATCCCACATTTGAAGAGCTGTCCCGATCTCTGCTAAGCATTCTTCTCTTCCCCCGGCCCCCAGAACGCCGAGGTAAAAGGATGGCATCAGCGAGGGTCCTGGGAAAAGCCAAGCTTCCTCGCCAGGAGTACTTCACCCAGAAGCGGATAGCATCTTTGGGAATGCCATTCCTGTGAGGTCATGGGGATCCCTCAACAGCACCACAAATGCAACTGTGTGGCCTGTTGACAGGTTCCATATTCCCATCACAGAAGAAACACCTGTTTGTCCAACTGGCCACAAGGGTATAAGGGTCATCAGAGGAGATAAGCTAAGGTCATGGTCAACTCCAGGTAGTCACCTCCACCTGCACTTGGCCAGCCAGCTCAATACCAACGTGGTCTCCTCTTATACCCACCTGTGCTTGGCCAGCCATCTCAATGCCAGCATCGAGGAATTCGTCGAAATCATCACTGAACTTTCCAGAGGCTGCGGCCAGTTCTCCGCTCTGACCCCGGGTTGCGTGGACGACTTCCCCAGCAGACTGGTTCAGATCAGCTGCTGCCTGGTTCAGTTCACTCTGAGCTTCCTGGAAAGGCTTTGTGCTGGGAGGGAGCTGTGGCAGACAGAGAGCACACCCCATGAGAAGCCCTACTTTGCTCGGGAAGGATGAAGACAGGCAGTGTGGAGCAGAGCCAGGCTCTCTGGGGCTGCATTTCTGAGACACTGAGACTGCAAGGCTCCGTGTCCTTGGAGCCCAGGTCAAGCTTCACCTTCAACATACACACATGCATTCACTCGGGATTACTGATCGCCTACTTCGTGCTGTGTGCTGTGTCCCCCAAGCATCCCTCCCCATCCATGAGCCTCACCGAATCCACAAGCAGCTTCTTGCTGGACTCCCCAATGCTCTTCAAGGCCACGTCCACATCCTTCTGCCCAGGGAGGCAGTTCACGCAGTTATTCAAGGAGTGTGACACGGCTTTGGCCACCTGAAGGCACAAGGCGGGGAGAGGGAAGCACCGTTAGGAAGCCACTTCCAGTATAAGCCATACCCTCGCTGGGCTTCTCGCTCTGTCCTAATGAAGGGCCTGACGCAGCGACACAGCGTTCACCACCTGCTCTCCAAAGCCAGGCTCCAAAAACACCTGCAAGTTTCCAAAAACACCTGCGGAGTCAGGGTGTTCACACCAGCGAAAGGAGCCCAGGAGACACCTGCCAGCACAGCCACGTTAACTGTGACCACAAGCCCCAGTCCCATGCCTCACCTGAGCTAGCCTCTGCTGACTCTCTGCATCTCCAGGTGCAATCAGGGCCTGCTTGGCTTCTTGGATGAGCATGGCGGAGCCCTCCATCACGTCCCGAGCAGAATCCAACATGGCGTGGGCAGCTGCAGGGTCACTTGTGGATGCGGCCACTCCCCGGGCAGCCTGGGCCAGTGTTTTCAGAGCCTGGGCTGTCTCTCTAGCAGCCACTCCTAGGGATAAAAGCCCATTAGACTTTCTATTAGATTCTGTCTAAAAGTCACAACTGCAAACAAGGACTGGGGCCCCTCTGGATTAGGTGTTGTTACAGGAGGGCTTCCGTGGTTAATTTTACAATATAGTTGCTGTGCTTCTGGGCCAATCCAAGAGAAACTGTAATAAATGCAATGTTGAAAAGTTTTTCCCTCTGACGTCCCCTGTTACCACAATCCTAAATCTAAACACCAAGCACCAGGGAGCAAGGGTATCTGTTTTTTCTCCTTCTCAGATCAGAATGCTGTGAGAGTCACATACATTGTTAGGTCTAACAGCTCATTCGTTTTTCATACTGCACAGTGTCCAGTATTTGCTTATTCCTCTTCTGCTGACGGACATCTGGGTTGTTTCCCATTTGGAACTGTCATGCATAAAGCTACCAAGAAAGTCCTTATACATACAGAAAAATTTCCATTGTATATAAACCCAGGAAGTTGAATTGCTGGGTCACAGTATATAGGTAGCTTCAGATGATTCCACAGTTTTCCAAAATGGTTTTGCCATCATCCAAACTACCAACAATGCCTAAGAGTTGCAGGTGCTCCACATCCTAGCCCACACTTACTATTGTCAGATTTCTAATCTTAAACTTTCTAGTAAGTGTGTACTTGTATTACAATGAGGTTTCAACGTTTATACCCTAATGAGTAATGACATTGATCATCTTTTCATACACTTAATGGCCATCTGAATGTCCTCTTTCATCAAGGGCCCACTTCTCTCTCTAAATTCATTGCTAGGCCTGAGGTTTCCTAAGGTCAGACACTCCTGACGGTGTGCTTTGAGATAGGCTTCTTGTTAGGACATGCAGAATACACATGAAAAAAGCACATAGCGATGTCTCACTCAGCTTCAAAGTGACCATTTTCTACAGGACCAGTGGGATGGGCTCCAGCAGCCCTTGAGCATGGCTTTCATCATGCTCCTTTGGCAGAAGAGCATGGGAGGTCTTTTCCTCACTGAGCACGAGGCCCCGTAATACAACAGTGGAGAAATCTCTGGGCTCACAAAACAAGACAGCTGTGCAGTGCAGTGCAGTGCAGAATTGCAAGTTGCACAGGTGGAAGACAGCTCCACGAGCTAATCAAGGCAGGTCACAAAGCTGTCAATCTACCTCTTATCACATGGCAGTCCCGCATGCAGTTTGTAGAATAAAATGTGTGTGTGGTGTGCACATACAATTTGAGATGGGGGGAGGTGTTTCCATCTGCTGGTTTACTCCCGAATGCCTACAAAGGCCAGAACTGGGCCAGAGCTGGAGCCTGGAGCTGGGAAGTCAATCCAAGTCTCCCAGGTGGGTGGCAGGGACCCAGTTTCTCTTGCTGCTCCTTAGGGGAAAGCTGGAGTCAGAAGCCACAGCTGGGAATCGAACCCAGACACTCAGATGTGGAATACAGGTATCTTAATGAGCGTCTTAACTGCTAGATTCAAAATCTATGCCAAAAGAATTTTTTAAAAGAGTATTTATTTTTTAGAAAGGCAGAGATACAGAGAGAGGAGTAGAGAAAGAGACTTTCCATCTGCTGGTTCACTCCCCAGTTGGTCACAGGCGCTTCCTCCGGGTCTCCCTTGAAGGTGCAGGGGCTCAAGTACCTGGGACATCCTCTGCAGCTCTCCCAGGCACATTAGCAGGGAGCCGGATTGGAAGTGGTGCAGCCAGGACTCAAACTGGTGCCCCGATGGGATGTCAGCACTGCAGGCAGAAGATCAACCTCCTGTGCCACAGTGCTGGCCCCAGGAATTTTAAACAAGTGTTTTTTAAGGCAGAGGAAAAACCCATAGGAAGAAACACGAAGGTAAATGCAGCTAAGGGGAAGGTGAAATTCTGCCTGAGGAGAACAACCATTCCGTTGTTCTTGTGACATTTGGATGAAAGACTGAAGGCTGTTGCTGCTCACAGGAGCACTGGGTGTGTGGGTGGTGCTCACATGACCACAGGGACAGGCTTGTGGGATCCAGGTTGTTTGCCTGGGGATCTGATCGTGTCGGGATCACCACTGCGAATGTTGCTCTGAATTCAGCCACACTTAGCCCTGGGGATTCATGGGCTGTCTGGCCCTGCTGGCCTTGTTTCATCCTTCTGATGGTATGACCTCCTTTTTCCTGGAAACCTGAAGCTCTGGCTTTGCTGCTGGTTAGCTGTGTGGCCTAGAGTGCTGCCTTTCCCCCTGGACCTCAGCTTCCCTGAGTTGTGGGGCCAGGGGCTGTAGGGGAGAGGATGTATTTAGGAGAAGCTGAGATGCTAGCTCTGACCTTCTAGAACTTTCTTGTGACTTCTAGAATCTTCTTCTTGTTTTCCCATTCATCATACAGACTCTTGAATCCAATTCTACTTGAGTTGTATGAGAATTCAGAAGAAAAAACATTCAAATGCTTCAAAGAAAAGGCCATTTAGGTAAGACCCATTTATGGAAAACTCTTTTTATGGGCTCCGACAATGCTAAAAAGACAGAAACTGGAAGGGCTAAATTCCAAAAGTCCAAGATTGTCCATCCCACGTGTTTCCCACTCAGGACTCGCTGTGAAATCTCAAGGCACATCAAGGATGCTCCATGGAGGAATCAGGTTTCCAGGAAAAAGGAGGTCATACCATCAGAAGGATGAAACAAGGCCAGCAGGGCCAGACAGCCCTCGAATCCCCAGGGCTAAGTGTGGCTGAATTCAGAGCAACATTCGCAGTGGTGATCCCGACACGATCAGATCCCCAAGCAAACAACCTGGCTCCCACGAGCCTGTCCCGTGGTCATGTGAGCACCACGGCACCACAACAGTCAGTGGGAAATTCTAACGCAGACTCCTGGTTCAGTGACCACACTCCTTTGAAAACACAGATGACTTTCAGTCTTCTTGCCATCTGGATCTTCAATTATATTCAGTGGCAGAGTCTCAAGATGATATTCCAAGTGATAACAAATAGAGGAGCACGCTTCACAATGGCTGTAGTTCCTGTGTGTTACATATGGACTACACAGCTCACCAGGTGAACACCAAGTGTGACATAAATCAGCCAACTGTTCCACAACGTCTGCAAAAGGTTGCTTATGTGGCTGGATGTCGCCACACAGAAACACACTGTACACTGCACTGGCCAACCAAACACTGCACTAAATGGCCGCCCTGTGGGTAGCTCAAGTGGAACTTCCGAATGTGCCTTGTGTGCCCAGGGGAACTCAGGCCCAGGGAGAACCTGGCCACGTTCGCTCTCTCTTCTCGCCTTCCACCCATCCTTAAACTGTCCTGAAACTGCCTGCAAGGAGAGGAACAGTTGCCTTCTGATTTTTCAACCTTCTCAAACCCTCTTCTCACACGACTTCCTGGGCGATAGCTCCCTCTCTCCTGATTTCCAGGCCCTTCCTCAGGGCTGCTGTTCTCATTTCTTCTCAAGATTTCTATTGCTCAGCTTTCTTCTTAACTAGTTGGGCCAGGTTTTTTCAGAGTTACACTTAATAAACTTTTTCTACTACTCCCATAGACAAATTTATCTCCTTCCAGTCACCAGGTTCAAGATATATGGCATCCACGTCACTTTGCTTACCTCTACACCTGCCCATTTCTAACCTGTCACCAAGCACTGTCAGATCTCTCTCTCCACCACAGAATGGGTCTTGTCTGGGTTTATACTACAGCCTGTTTTCTGGTCTCTCTTCTCCAACTTTGTTCCTCTCCAGCGTATTCTACACAACGAAGGAAGGGCGCCCTGCCTGAGGGTACTTGAAAAGGTTTATGGAAAACTAGAATTAGAATTTTATTATAGTGTACAACCACTTTGAAATCCAGCCTTGTCTACCCCAATACATGTTTTTCATGAACTTTTTGAAGGCCTTATGTATGCACAGGTATAAAAGGCAATCGAGCTGTAAGCTGCAGTTGAAAATCCTTACTATTTTCTCATGTCCTTACATCAAACCTCAAATGATTTATGTAGGCTTCTGAGGTCCTTTAGGACGTGACCTGGCCTAACTCTGCAGACTTGTCCTCCTTGCTTTTCACCTGAATCTCTCCCCCAACCCCATCCCCAGCTCCTTAGCTCAGGCAGCCCTCTTCTCTCCCACGTGTGAGACACCACTCAGTGGAGGCTCCCACAGCCTGACGAAACAAGCAGTGTTTCTCCGAGGCTGGGTTTCAGATGCCACCCACACAGGCTGTGATGTTATCAGATGATGTTATCAGATGATGCAATGTGTAAGGCAATCTTCCCCCACCAAACATGCATTTCCTCATCGACATGCAAAATCTTGCAAGATTTTGGGATGTGTAGAAAATCTGTACAACATTAAGTATGTCTCATATACTCTATGTTTTGTAAAACCTCAGTATCTCTCAGATACTCTGATTTGCTTTCATCCTCCTAGAATGCCAAGAGGAGTTCTAAATAAGCCTCACAACATGGTCAGGTGTCAATTCTCTTTGGCAAATTCCATGACCTTCCCATTAGAACAGAATTGTAAATTGCTACTATTGCAGGTATTATAGCATAACTTCCTTTGTATTCCTATTGTGCTCTTTTTACAGTTTATTTATTTTATTTGAAAGGCAGAGAAAGAGAGACAGACAGATGACAGAGACAGAGACAGACAGAGTCAAAAAGACTGAGCGATCTTCCAGCCCCTCCACTCTCCAGATGCCAGCAACAGCTGGGGCTAAGACCAGCCAAAATGAGGAGCTGAGAACTCAGTCTGGAGCTCCCACACAGGTGGCAGGGACCCAAGCACTGGAACCATCACTGCTGCCTCCCAGGATGCACATCAGCAGGAAGCTGGTTGGGAAGTGGCAGAGCTAGGACTCGAACCAGGAATGCGACAAGGGACGTCTTAACCACTATGACAAACGCCTGCCCCTCATCTGCTCTTTTTGTTTTCGAAGTAATAAATGTACAGTTTTAAAATCAACGAGGATTTTGTATGCAGTATTGACAGAATAACAGATTCAAGTCACCCTTCCCACAGAGAAACACCTA